GCTGAATTCACTGTCTTCTGTGCTTCTCCGCCATCTCATACCGCAACAGGTGCAGATACACTAACTGCAGTCAGATGCCATCATCTGTTAGCATAGCTAAATAGCAAAAGCAAAAAAAAAAAAAAAAGGAAATGAGGTCATCATGCCATCGCTGTTTCAATCCATTTAACAACCGGAGTAATCCACTTCCTTTAGATACGCCACAGCTACGTTCTTTGCTTTCCTTTGTGTTGTTCTACAATCATAAAAAAGAAAGATTGAAAATAGCCGCTTTTTCCCACTTTGTCGCAGTCAAAGAGGTTAAGTGACGAGCAAGCGCTGTCGCCTCCGCCGAAAATTTCTAAAACTCACGGACCAGTGCAGTCGTGACACATGTGCAATTGGCGCATACACCCAGAATGCTGCGCCTCTTTGGCTGAAAGCGATCACGGGATGTGCAACAGGTTTTCGTTTGCCGCGCGTGCCAAAAGTGACAAAGGCAGCGTAAAACAAAACAAAAAAACCAAAAACAAAAAATGCGAAAAATAAAAACAGCAAATGACAACAGGCGTTTCCAATTGTTATTGGTGCCACGCAACGGTGTACGGTTATGGCTAACAGCATTTGTGTATATAGACCGTCAGGTGGGTACCATTCTGGTTTGGCCGTCCACTACACTAATTTCACAACGTTAATTTGAAATATAGCAGAGACAAGTGTAATTTTTCTTGGACAATCATCTCCAAATATCTATTTTCTCTACAATGCGTGCAATAGCAAAGCAAAGCAAAGCAAAGCTTTTTGTTGCTTGGCAGAATTTGTATGGTTATATAAATTCTGTCAGTTCCAACTATATTTGTACACGAGAAGAATAGAAAGCGTGCGTGTAAGTTAAATGATATATAGATTCATGATTTAAATGGAGAGCTGAATAACTGTTAAAAGCTGCTCTGGCTGTTTCCAAAACTTGAATTGATCTGTCGAGTTGATGTGATCTTCTTAGCTGCTGGGTCTATATAAGAAGACCTTCACAACGTAGCCCGGCGGTGGTTTAGATGACTGTCCCACGGCTGATGTGGCGTGATTTCCAAAACCTGATGGATTCTTTAGAGTTCTAGTGATCTCTCAAACTCGATGTGATCTATCAGAGTAGATGTGATCTTGTTGACAGCTGGATCTATATAAGAAGAGCAGGAAAGAGTGCCTGTGGCGGTGGTTCAGATGGCTGCTCAAAGGCTTATGTGACGTGATTTCTAACAGATGATGTGGGCTCTATAAAAGAAGACCTTCACGACGTAGCCCGGTGGTGGTTTAGCTGATTGTCCCACGGCTGATGTGGAGTTATTTCCACAACCTGATGTGTTCTTTAGAGTTGTAGTGATCTCTCAAACTTGATGTGATCTATCAGAGTAGATGTGATCTTGTTGACAGCTGGATCTATATAAGAAGAGCAGGAAAGAGTGCCTGTGGCTGTGGTTCAGATGGCTGCCCCACGGCTGATGTGGCGTGATTTCCACAACCTGATGTGTTCTTTAGAGTTGTAGTGATCTCTCAAACTTGATGTGATCTATCAGAGTAGATGTGATCTTGTTGACAGCTGGATCTATATAAGAAGAGCAGGAAAGAGTGCCGGTGGCTGTGGTTCAGATGGCTGCCCCAAGGCTTATGTGACGTGATTTCAAACAGGTGATGTGATCTTCCTAGCTGCTGAGTCTATATAAGAAGACCTTGACGACGTAGCCCTGCGGGGGTTTAGACGACTGTCCCACGGCTGATGTGGCGTGATTTCTAAAACCTGATGCGCTCTTCAGAGTTGTGATCTCTTAAACTTGATGTGATCTATCAGAGTTGATGTGATCCTGAAGACAGCTGGATCTATATAAGAAGAGCAGTAAAGAGTGCCTGTGGCGGTGGTTCAGATGACTGTAGCAAGGCTTATGTGTCATGATTTCGAAGAGGTGATGTGATCTTCCTTGTTGCTGGGTCTATATAAGAAGACCTTGACGTCGTAGCCCGGCGGGGGTTTAGATGACTGTCCCACGGCTGCTGTGGCGTGATTTCCAAAACCTGATGTGCTCTTTAGAGTTGTAGTGATCTCTCAAACTCGATGTGATCTATCAGAGTAGATGTGATCTTGTTGACAGCTGGATCTATATAAGAAGTGCAGTAAAGAGTGCCTGTGGCGGTGGTTCAGATGACTGTAGCAAGGCTTATGTGACGTGATTTCGAACAGGTGATGTGATCTTCCTTGTTGCTGGGTCTATATAAGAAGACCTTGACGACGTAGCCCGACGGGGGTTTAGATGACTGTCCCACGGCTGATGTGGCGTGATTTCCAAAACCTGATGTGCTCTTTAGAGTTGTAGTGATCTCTCAAACTTGATGTGATCTATCAGAGTTGATGTGATTTTGTTGACAGCTGGATCTATATAAGAAGTGCAGTCAAGAGGGCCTATAAACTGTGCCGCCAGCGACTGCGATGCTGATGTGATGTGATTTCCAATAAGTCATATGATCTCTCTCACTCAAAGTGCACTGGTAATGTGATCTTGGTGGTATATAATTTTTGTATGACAGACGTATCATATTTTTGCGCTCGTGTAACGCTATAAAGCTTATTTATTTTTTTTTAATATTATTCTTTTTTCTGGTAATTTAGCTTTAATTGTATTTGCAAATAAATAATCGAATGCCTTCCTCGTGTTCCATTTATTTTTTACAATAATTGCGGCAAATGATTCCTAATTCATTTTCAATTAATTGCAAACCCTTTTCCGAACTTGTAACACTTATCTTAAAAGCATAAGCAAAATAAATTGGTTTTCACTTTTGTATGCCTATTGCACCCTTATCAAATCGAAATTCAACAGATTCACTGGACTTGAAGCTAAAACAAACAATGTGTCATTAGGAATTCACCGAACTGGCGAAATAAAAAATAAAATTGTTTTTCTTTCTTTATATGTATATTTAAAATACATTTGTACATATGTATGTGCATTTGTTCGTATCTATTTATGGCAAAATCTAGTAAACAACAACACAATACATCTAACGTAATTTTATTTTTCCCATTATTTTGTTTACACCTTTTATTATGCGTTCTTCATTTACATATTATGACGTGAGTAATTTGTGTCGGAAATGGATGCAAACACTCACGTTTCGCACACTTTGCAGGCAATCAACTAATGCTTCCCAGAAAATTGTTGTGCAATATACATTAATTTTATTACCATGAATGCTTAAACTTAGAACCAGTGACTCGTTAGCTCTGATTCGATAGTTTTACATCGATTTCCCATTTTAAATATTATCGTTTTCTGATATAAAATACTTAAGCACTTAAATATAAAATATAAAATGCTTTGAATAAGGATTATGGAATGTCATTTGCTGTATGCGCAACTAAATTGGGAAGGCGGAAGACTGGTACAGGGTAAACAAAACGGCACCGGATATGGATAATAAAATATTACTGATACAGGACACACAATACGAAATATATTATATTAAATGCATAATTCAGGATCTGGCGCAGGCAAATAAATTGCTGGGAAATTAGTTATCAGAAAATTTTGTGCGGTCGTCGGCGAGTGAGTTGCAGTGAGTGCTACTATGCACAGCGTCATGGATTTGAAATATACTTTGAGTTCCTACAAGGCATGATATAAAAAAGAACTCCCCACAAAAATCCATCAACAGTTCGTTGGCAACATCAATGCTGTCACCCTGTCATTAGAAGTTTTAATTTTGGCAGCTACGCTTGTCGTACCGTCAGGACCCAAGCTTTCCATGCTTAGTTCAACCGATTTTTCCAGAGTGCATATATATATATGTATGTATACGCATGTATATATATAATATAATTTAATACGTTCTTTTAATTAAAATATTTGTACTTTGGTCGTGTCAGCTACTTGCCTTATCAGTAAATTATTTTTCGGACATATTGTGACGTATTTAATGTACCCTGTACATATTTATGTATGTATGTATATACATATATATTAGCTTATGATTTCAAAGAATTACAAAACAACTAGTATTTACTTATTTACTAATTAATATTATTGTCTTGTGAAGCATAAAATATATAGAAATAGTATTTTGATTGTGTGTTTTTTTTTTAGAATTCCTAAAATCCTTATCACTTTCGTTCGGGGAATAATTAATTTTAAATTAAAATTCCAAAATACAATTTTATTATGAAACCATTTTTCCTATTAAAATAATGTTGGAATGAATTTCCGATTAAGCCCTGGAAATTTCCATATTAAATTATGAATTTTGAAAACAAATTAACTTAACGCCGACCCTTAGAGTTTACTCTGCCGGACAAACGCCACTATGTTCATACATAACATACTGCAATGTCAAGGCCATGTCGGAATCTATCGGAAAAGGTCTAAACATATAATCTCATAAATAATCTTTAGTGATTATACGTACATATATTTATACATAATATATATATATAAATATGTATGGATGTGTGCACATAAAGTTTTTGTATTGGTATTTCTTAGTGTTTCGGATGTTGGCCAAACCAGTACTTGGACATTGGACTTGCGAATGATAGTACGCATTGCTAACCACCCGGCTATTGCACATAATTACCTAAATGTTAGTGTGAGATTCAATTTCAATTAATAACTAATGATAAGCTTAAATTGACAGAAGCGTCGTTTATTTTTGTCTGCGATTTCTTTATACAAAATATACCACTGTCTAAGACACTTTAAAGTTCAAATTTCAGATTTATTGAATAAAACATTAAATATCTGCTGATAAGCACATCCATATGTACATATATATGTACAAATATATACATGTTTACATGTTTATTTCTGCATGTACGAATAAAAAAATTTAAAAAAGCTTCTGAGTCCCGAATTGCTTTTTATTTCTAAGCAAAAATACGCTTTTGTTTGAAAACTGGCTTAATATTTTTATTCAAGACCATTTTCTAGCCAAAACTAAATAATATTTAAATTATCAAATAAAGAATACAACACAAATCATTTTTATATTGCTTTTTTATTTATTTACTAAAATAACTTTACGTATTTCACACAGTACTAATGTAACTTAGCTTGGTACATTTATTCATAATTACATTGTAATAAATATGTGATTATATATTTGAGTTCATAGATTTGTCATTGAATAATTGTAATTGAAATCTGTAATTTGTTTTGCAATTCTACTGCTTTTAGCTATTTGAATTGCTTCCTTTTACAAAGCTTAATTATATTACATAAAAATGCAACTTTAGTCTGCTGCAACTATTATTTACTCTCTTTAATTTTAACCTTAATAATTACTTTTGAATTTAAAAACGCCAGCAAATACATGCATATTTTTGCAAGTACATATGTACTCATAATATTAAGGAAATTCTTTAAAGTATATATCAAAAATAATAATACAGCGAAACGCCTGCTTATGTATATAAATCTTATAAAATTATAGTTTTGTAAATATAATATTTATAAATAATGCCTTAAATTACGCGTTTCATTACTCAATGGAATTGATTTTATCGAAACTTAATGTTTGACCGTTTAATTCGCCATGAGGAAGTTAAAATTTGCACAGGGTGTCTCAAGTATTTAGAGCATTTTTTTTTATTGTTTTCACTAATGAGCGCGGGAACAAAATGTGTTTTAAATATAGGGGAAATAGCTTAAAAGCAAACAATCATCATTAAGTGGTTTTTGTAATCTAAACTAGCTAGAATAAATGAATAATCACAATGTTAATAACGCGCCAGAAACATAATTCCGAATGTGTTACTTTGCAATAATAGAAGAAACGCAATGCAAACAGTTTCCGCCAAACGCGAATCAGCAAGAAAAAAAAACAATTTAATTTATTTCACTTTTAAGCTTTCAGATTCAAATATACACTTTAAAATTAAATTTTCTATAGACAACAACATTCCAGTATTTTGTCGATTTTGTTACACACTTGCATTAGCTTCGTAAGGCTTCATTTTAGCCCCAATGCACTCTCCACATTATTGGCCAGTCTCATTTCTACATGCCCTTTGGCATCTTCTTCTTAGCCGGCTTTTGGCTACGTATGTGTATTGCATATACATACATACATACATTCATGTAAAAAAAATACATGTGTATATCATAACTCCTCGTCTGATCTAGTATTTCTTATTTTCCCGCACATAAGCACGCTTGATCGTGGTCTCCTTCACGCATTTGCCTTCCTCATCATACTCCAAACATTTATGTTCATTGCGTATTATAAAGCATTGCGATGGCACCATGTTGAAGAATAGTTGTCCGATCGTATTGGAAGGATCATCATTGTTCATTTTCAGGCAGGCACGGAAACGTCGATCGCAACTGCAATGCGATAGCGTGTATGGACGATAATTGAACAAGTTATAGCGACTACTGAAAGACGATATAAAGATTGGGCAATGGTCGTGACGGCGGCAACATCTGTCGGCATCTGCAGCATTACCAAGCTGATTGTAATTATTATTGGCTGTATTGCCGCGCCCACACCATCGTGTATGAGGCGCTATAAGCCAATCATCGAAACCTCGTCGCTTACGACTCAGTATATGTGCGTTGTTTGCTTCTTTATTGTTTTCAACATCTTCCAAGTCGATACCACTGTCGTCGCCGTCGGCGTCGCTTTCATCGCTGTCGAATTTAGTTTTCATATCGCTATTTTCGTACGCATGAAAAGCACTTCGCTGAGCAGACCACGCCACCGCATGTACTGGCGTATTGCCAGCGCCTACGTCATAGTTTTTATCGTATGATCCATGAGGTAATAATTGCCAGTTACCCAACGCATCGGTCTCTTCATTTGTGTCAGTGTACGATGCTGACATTGCGGCATTGTTGTTGCTGCTGCTGTCTTCTGCTGTGGTTATTTCGCCCCTTCCTTGCTCTTTTTTACCCAAAACGACTGTCTGCCGAACTGCACCATCAGCCGAGTTACTGTTGTCTTTGTATTGATATTCTGATGAACTGGGCACATATGAATGTCGTTGGGATTGTTGATCTTTTCGTAACCCTTCCAATTGGTTTAGGAGGTTATACTCCTCAAGCACGGGCAAATATGCTGACCTTGTCCGCTCGATATAAAAGGATTGTAGTAGCACCAGCATAGTGGTTATACATAGCATGTGATATTTTTTCATTGTTAATCACTTTCTTTCAGTTAGACAGTTCTTTAGTAATCCAATAAGATTAACACTATGCCAACAGAATTCACTGTTTATTTCCCTTTCCGCTTATTCAATTAATACTTCCGAAATGTTATTATGTGTCTATGCACAAATGTGTGTGTGAATAATTTAAAATCAATTTAAGATGCTTGCTTCTAGCACTTTCTAGCAGTATGAACGATACTCTTGACGGCAAAAATGACACTAACTAATTGACTAAGCGCCCCTTAGCCAATCGAGTGTTTATATACCAACAGAACAAGTGCACTTGGTGGTGCTCGCGGCAAATTTTGCTAATTTAATGATGAGTCTTACGAAGTAAAGGTACACAGAGTGTGAGAACGAAAAGCGGGAAGAGATAAATTAATCTGAATAAAAGAGTGTCGGGCAGCCCTTTAGGAAAGTGAAGAATGTATTCTGTTTCAGATATTTCGAAAGAGATTTTAAACAAAAACTAGCGCGGTTTAAATCCGAATTTTCTAAACCTATTTACATAAATTATAGTACTTTTGAGCTTATGTTTTTATTGCCAGGCCTTCTTCGACCGAAGAATTTCACCCCCTCAAATCGTTTTTAAATAAAAGTAATCGCTAGAAATAGAACCCTAATTTTTGAAAAAAAAAAAACAAAAAAAAAAAATAGCGTTAAGACCTCCACTCTTATCTGTCTCCATAACGAGACTTATACCATACAGTGCAGAAAATTATTTAGCATAACTTTAGTATAGAGCCTGGAGTTTTTCTTTTTGATATTTAACTTTAAATGTTTATAACTTTTAAAGCATAAATTTGCATGCAATAAAATTTATATTTTTGGTAATTGTAGATCTCCTACTACCAACTCTGAACATTTCCTAAATAAAAACACAGTCTCCACATTAATGTCAACCCAATTATTTACATTTTTGCATCATCATTTGGCATAACACACGCCGCAATCGGCTAAAGCTCCTATACAAACTTTTCATGCTTTAAGCAAACTTATGGAGCTAATCCATATTAACCGATGTGATTTAAATATCAAGCTTTGAGATTTCTTATTCGTGTAAGCGAACCCTAATATGTTTACATGCAACCTTGTGGTAATCACGACATTTCTTATAAGAATGTCAAATCTTGAGCTGGAATAATGAAAATCGATAAATACTCATAACATTCCTAAAACTTGTTCGCAGATTTATTATTTCGCACTTTCCTCTCGTTAATTTATTAAATTATCTAAATCTTTGAAGTGATGGTGTTTCTTGCCATTTCTTCGTACTTAATTTTGTTATTTGTGTAAAATGCAGAATTCTCAAGCTAACACTGGTAGACAGGCTAGGCAACAACTGCAGCAACCGTATCAGCACGGGCATTCGCATCACCATCATCATTACACAGAAAACAATAAGTCACCATCATCTATACCACCCAATTCGTTAGCTATTGCCAAATCGTACGTGCCCGCAGCAGCTTCGACTACCTCCGACGATACAGACTTTCATGAATCGGAATCTCGGTATGAATGTGCCATTTGCTTACATTGGCTTAATGAACCTATGATTACAACTTGTGGTCATCGGTTTTGTAAAACATGTCTGACAGAATGGCTTAATAATCACAATCAGTGTCCGTTGGATAATACGAAACTTTCGGAGAACGATTACTTTCCCGATAACTTTACAAAGCGCGAAATTGAACAAATCAAACACAAGTGCCCCAATTCGCCATTGGGCTGCGCAGTAGTGGCTTCGCCAATAGAAGTGGATCGGCATTTGCCGACATGCCCATACAGAAGACTGGAAAACTCTGAGGAAAAATGTCCATTTGCTAGCGTAAAATGTGACTTTGTCGGCAGGCCAGAAACCAATGCGCTGGAGGAACATCTAAAAGACGATATGCCACATCATATGCAACTTATGTTGCAAGCATTTCAGCAAACAGCTATTTCTACATGGAATCCACAAAAACCGACCACATCAAGCGGAGGAAAGGTAAATGGAGTGCTACCACCACCGCCACCGCAGTACGCCAATGAAGCTGACGAGCAACTCATACAAAGCATGTATCAACGCATTGTTGTATTGGAACAACGTCTACGTGAACAAGATTTAAAATTGGAAAATCTAACAAAACAATTAGCAGTACGCCAACAAATTGATGCACGCTACAGTAACGGCACAGTCGTGTGGGAGATAACAAACTTTCGAAATGTAGTTGAACAGCTACGCACTGATGCTAACCATTTACTTTACTCACGAGACTTTTACACATCTCCACATGGCTATAGGTTTTGTGCACGTCTGAACATACAACCACGACACGTAAACTTATTAAGCCTACATGTGCATTTAATGCAATCTGAAAATGACTTCCACTTGGATTGGCCGTTTAAAGGGCGCATTAAGCTGTGCATGGTACATCCGAAAGATCCTATTCTATCGCAACATGATACAATCATGACAAAACCGGAGGTAATGGCATTCCATAGGCCGCGTGAACGTATAAGTACACGTGGTTTTGGTTTTGTGGAATATGCGAAAATAGCAGATGTGATGCTAAAAGGATTCTGTGAGGAGGACAAGGTGGTAATCAAAATTCAAATAAATTTAGTTTAGAATTAATAGAAGGCTTAGTGAGTAATAGATAAAATGTGAGAGCTTCGTTAATTGTATATTGCATTAACGTCCTTAAGGAACATTTTCTATGCTATTAAAATTTCGATTTATTCATTCGTGGAGAGTACGACTTGGAAAGGTTCAGAGCTTAATTTAATTAAACAGATGTAGTATAACGTAAACGGACATACTTGGATTTGGAAAAAAACCGATTCAGCAAAATCAAATGTACTTTCGGCATTTTTGACTTGAGTCACTGAACCCAATTATACATGTACATATGTACGTTTTGTAAGTACATCAGGTGATACATTGTCACCTAAATTTGAAATCAGGTATCAGTATTAAATGATGTCAACATTTTTTGGATAGTAATTAAACATAAAATTCAATACAGAAACAGAAAGAAAATAAAAGAACAATAAGGTAGAATTACTGTGCACATCCAGTGGTTTTATGCAGTTTTGTACTCTTATGTTTAAATAATATATACGTTGTAAAAGTACATATATAATTTTTTAAGGTGCGGGAGTTTTTAAATATTTTTTAAAGCGATTTTAATGGTTTTTAGTTGGTATTAATAGTATTTTAATCTCCTATAGTGATTATATTTTTCCTTCCAAAAAGTATATACTTACATACATAAATATAATACATACATACATTTATATACCTACTTAGATAAAATAGTAGTAGGTACTCATAGTATTAAAACATGACAATTTTAGATGGAATGTTGCCCTTTTTGGGTTTTTGTACGGCAACTTAAATCGCTCAAAAATGCAAAAAAAAAGTTCAATTTTGTTGTAAACATATTCGTGTAACAAAATATTCTCATACATACTTAAAAATGTGTATAATGTAATGAAAATAAAATCATAAAAACTGGCAACTAGTCTTTTATTAAAAAAAAATATTACAAGCTCGACACCTATGACGTGCGTTTTTATTAATCGTAACAGTTATTGTTTATTTACTAAAGAGTGTATTTAAAAACATAAAAAAAACGAATGAGAACTTAAACAGCTGATTGTACGTAAACTAGGAGACCCTAAGTGTTTAGAGTTGCCATTCTTTCAAATGAGCCCTTTTTAATAACCTAAAATTTAAAATTTGGTGAGTTGCAAAATTTTCGCAGCGGAAACACACAAAAATTGTAGCTCCGAAGTTATATGCAAATTTTAAGGTTATGTCTGTCAAAAGTGACTTGTGAGCTGTCACGAATACGATGATTATTTGTTTGATGCCATGAGATAATAGAGGACACGTGCGTTAGCACCAACACACTCAACTGTACCGTCTTTACAACCGAACAAGTAACAGGAAATCCAAATTTGAGATTCTGCAAAATAATCGTTCAAATAGCTCAGGCTACTAATTTATTACCGTTTTGTATATATCAATTCATTTATTTATGCATATTCATACACAAATACATACACTCAAGCACATATTTTTATCATCAGTGTACTTTGTCACTTAAATAGTTTAAGAAAATCACCTCCAATCCGATTTTTATTTCTCACACGTATATGATTGGCGCTTTGTAACCGCAGAAGCGATTTTCGGCCGAGCTCCTCCTACAATTTGTGATTTTGCGTCTTGATGTTTTTCCAACAAATGGAGGGACCTACAGTTTATACTAAGCCGCCTCCGAACGGCTGATTGTTTTCTTATGTCAGAGGGGTGGGAGGGGTTGACACTCCCTGCCGAGGGGCGACCGCAATTGGAAAATTTAACTTCATTTTTTATTTAAATTAATTTTCTATAACTTTTGGTCGTTGGTCGCATGGGGATTTGAACCCGAGCCTTCCGAATGGCTGTACGAAATGCTAACCACTCGGCTAGCGCGGCCGCGTATGTATATATGTATTCAAAAAAGAAAAATTGTTGTTGTGTAATAAATTCGGCTACCGTTAAATTGTTTTTACGTGAATTTACGACAGTCACGCTTCTCGTGCAAAACACGTGCACGTGTTTAAAAACCACGAAGATCATAAATTTGGATACATATATACATATGTACTTTAATGTAGCCTGTTCTTTTAAAATCCAGACACACACACATTCAAATCCTAATCAATTTCTAACGAACGTTTTATAGATTAGATTCAAAAGCCATTTAATCCGATTATATAAAGATTTGCGTATAGATCGCGAGTACACAGTTATTCGTGGTCATTTGGACATGGAGGTAACGGTGGCATTCTTTATCGGCCTTTTAGGTAATTATTGCTCAATTGGATTATAGAAGTAGGGGTCGCTTTATCTTCATATATTTATTCTACGGAAGTTTTATAACCCCAAATACTAATTCTAACTGTATTTAAAAGCCGTAACACTCGCACATCCTTTAAGGGAAAGCGTGCACGATACTTTCGAAACGCGTGACAGCGGAGATGTAAGGTTTTACTTGTACACTTCTTCAAATCCTGAAGAACCACAAGAACTTCGCATAAACGACATTGAATCAGTGCAGAAATCGCACTTCGATAAAACACGCCATACGAAGTAAGTTTCTATTACATATTTAATTTCACTGACATGCCGTCCACCAACATACGGACCTACGTATCTTCTAGGGTAATAATCCACGGCTGGGGTGGTTCCTATTTGACTTCACCAAATGGCTTAGTACGCCGTGCATATCTATCCCAAGAGGATTACAACATAATTTCGGTCGATTGGCAAATATATGCCGCATTAAATTATTTCTCAGCACGTGCGAAAGCACCGGCTGTCGGTGAAGCGATAGCGGAGTTGTTGGACTTCCTGAAAGTGGAATTTAACCTAAATTATGACAAAGTTGTGGTGGTGGGGCACAGCTTGGGAGCACATGTGGCCGGCTTTTGCGGTAAGAGTGTGAAAGGTGGTAAGATTGCTGGCATTGTTGGTTTAGATCCGGCCTCTCCGCTCTACAACTACAACGAACTGGAATTCCGACTGTCCAGCAATGATGCCAAATTCGTGCTCAGCATTCAAACAAATGGTAGCTTAAAGGGTTTCGCTGAACCAATTGGTGGTGCGACTTTCTATCCGAATTGGGGTCTCAAACAACCTGGCTGCGGCGCCGATATCAGCGGCACCTGTTCACACGGACGCAGCGTAACATTGTATGCTGAAGCCTTGCGCGGCTACGCTTTTACGCCGATGTATGAGTGTGGAGATTATGAAGAAATTAAAGCGAAATCTGGCTGCAACACAAGTGTACGGGGTTTGGAAATCGGTGACCCTCTGCAAATAGCACAAAAGGAGGGCATATTTTATTTTACAACAAACGCCGAGTCGCCGTTTGGAGTTTTGGACGAAAGAAGTTTGCCACAAAAGAAGATCAGAGATTAAATATATATGTAATTTCTATTATAGACTTGAACGATATGCGATAAAAGTGTAATAAAGATGACCGAATACCGTTGTATGCCTGGCAAACATTGAGTATGTCGGGGCTGAGTATACTTTCATATCTAGGCTTTAGTTGCCAGTATTACTCGGGCTTGGCGGGGCAGATCGTCGGTCTATGGTTGCTTTGCTTAGTGGTCTGATTCCGATACCAACATGCCGTGGATGAGAGTTGGCAAACTCTGTGTATCAAGATAAGGGTATGGAACCCGCATAGCCGAGGGCTTCCTTCTGGCGGTCGTTTGATATGAGCAGGTGTTTGTGCGTATGATCTTTGCGATAGCATTCCAGATAAAGCTTAGGTTTAGGTTGAAGTGGATGCTGGGCTTGCAACACACTTAGGCTCATTGTGCATGCCCAGATTCCTTTGAGGGCGAAAGTGGAAAGGAAATGTCATTTTTGTAAGCTCATCCGCCATTACGTTACCTCATATAATACTGTGTCCTAGTCCCATACTAAGTAAGTGAGAACTGCAGTGCCATGGCTTTTAGTGATTTGCGACAGTTCTTTACCCGCACCGATTTTATTGCGATGGATTCCATGTTGTCGTTGTTCTAACCCAAAGTTTTTTTTTGGGAATTTTGCGGTAGCGACTCCTTGGCCGCATAAAAATACGGTCGTTCCGGTATAAAGACCCGACTGTAGCAGGTACTATTTTAGTCACCTCTTACGACAGGCATGCCTTACCGGCGGTAAATTCTTGAAAACCCGGGGGGATATATTCCGTTGACGTTAATGCTGCTTGGCAATCAGAGAAAATGTAAATACACTTCACCGAAAGTGCCATTTGACCTATGCAGTCATCAGTGTCTGTATGGCCATCAGTTCTGCTTGAAAAACTCTCCAGTGATCCGGCAATTGCAGTTTTGCAGATCCTAAGTTCCTTTGAGTGCCCAATTTTAAAGCTATTCAGTTTTGATTCATGCGTATTGGTGTATCGAGCAAGCATATGATATGGTAATTTATAATATATTATGCTGCCTGCATTAGTTGATATCTCACTACATCTACATGCAACCTCAAAAAAATCCTCAGCCTTCCTCACTTGCTGTCGGATAGTGTCTTGGTGATATTGATCCGTCTCTGTAGTCGGAATAAAGGAGTGCAGGATCTGGAATATCTCTGTTAATAGATGTTCGTTGCAAGTACGGTGTTCTTCTCTATGTCAGATTTCCTTTCTACTTAGAAACCCAATAGGCGAGAATACGTAAGAAACCAGTCATGATACGGAAAGACTTCGGTGGAAGGAATATAGAGGAGCGGCATCGTTAAAGCGCACTAACGCACCAGTAAGGCTAGCTTTACAAAATTGCACTGAATAAAAGGCCTATTTACGTACGCACTTGAGTATTTATATATAAGTTTGTCGGAGTACTTAATTTATTTTATTCTTGCATTTGCTACATGCGCACTTATTTAGTAAGGATAGACTTATACTAGCATAAAAATTTGAATTTTAAAACTATTCCAAAAAATACGCAAACACATACGTAGACATACATATGCGTATATATACATAAAGTGATATAACTATTGAATTAATTATAAAACTAATTAGCGACCGAGTCCATTGTTGAGGCGGTCGCACTCAAAACACCAGTTACATCCATCAATGCATCGCCAATTGAGTTAACGGTATTAACATTATTTGCAAGAGCCACACCAACTCCAACATTATTTACAAGGCTCATATTTGTGTTAGTACCAGCAGTGATTTCTTCTGTAACTAAAGGCCCAGGTATTACAACAACGCCCGTGTTCGTATTGTTACTGACACTCCCACTTCCTACAATGCTCCGACTTAATGCCGCATCGTGAGTTCGCATATGTGCATTCAGACCACCAGATTGAGCAAATGTTTTGCCACAAACTTTACACTCATGCTTTCGATCCTTTGAGTGTAGTTTTTTGTGAACGCGTAGAGACTTTTTACGCTGAAATGTGGATCCACACATGTCACATGCAAATGGCCGTTCCGTGCTATGTGTTACCGCGTGTACATTTAAATCGTGGAAACTATAAAAAGCTTTACCGCAAACATTACATTTTGCCGGTCGCTCGCCGGTGTGTCGTCGCATATGTGCTTTGTAAACACCGTGATCACGACAACGTTTACCGCAAATCTCACAAACTACAGGTCTTTCACCAGTATGACGCAACATGTGTGCCTTTAGCTCTTTATCGGTGAAGAAGTCATTGCCGCATTCCTGGCACTTGTGTGCCTTGATGCCGGTATGACGTATCTTATGTCGTTGCAGGTTGCCAGTTTGAGAGAACTTCTTACCACAAATATCGCATATAATGCCAGTGTGCTTCCATTTGTGTGCTCGTAAATTTCTTTCAGCTTTGAAACATTCGCCACACTCGTCGCATTTATGGCTCATTTTGGGTTCTTTTGGTTTTTTCGTTTTTGGATTATGCGTTTGCCGATGATGTGTTAACATGCTGCGTTTCGTTTTATAGGAACGCATGCAGTCCGGACATGGGTATGGAAGAGAATCGATGTCATCTTGCGGCTTTGGTTTCGGCTACGCATTTAGTATGGGTATAAAATTAAATTAAATAATTCACAAATACATAAAAATTTGAGAATGAACATACCTCATCGTCGGACGAATCTTGTGGACGCCAATCTTCGTCATTTGCATCGCTTTTATCGCCCATCGACTTTGTATCGCTGAGTTCATCATTATCCACATCTATTTTGCTTTTACGCTTTTTTTCTAATGGTTCCTCAATATTTACTTCTAAAGCTTGTAAATCAACGAAGTCAAATGGTTTTTCATCGGCCAGCGGTTCTATGTCGGAATCTGGTGCCTCAAAGCTTATCGAACCTTCGCCTTGATCACTTACATATTCGTCCTCACTTTTAATTGGATCTACGTCAATTTTAATCGTTTCATTAGTAACCAAAGTAGGTTTCTCAACCTTTTCGGCTTTAGGTGTCAAGTGCTGCAGTTGAAAATGTTGTGGGAATTCTTCGAACTCTACGTTTGACCCGCATAAACAGCACGCTACATTGTAGTTATTAGAGCTAAGACAAAATATTTCACCGCATTTGAAATTATGATATTTGCTCGTATCCGACGGCAAGAGTTTTAACATTTTCGTATTTAATTGTGTTTAAACCCGATACTTTAAATGCAACAACTAGGATAATTTTTGGAAATGCTAACTCCACGACAACAAAAATTACTTATTTTCTTATAAATGTCAGAAATATTTGCAGTGCTACCAAATTAGAGAAAAGACTGCTCTAATGGTGGCTAGTTATAAATATAAGGATTTCATTTATCATTTTATTTTGGACTAGAAATTACTTTTTATTTTAAAGAAGTATAATTTTAAAGTCAGATGTTTTAAAGATTCAGAACAAAAATATCATATGATTTTTTTAAATATCAAAAGTATCCAACAATATCTAAAGGACGTTTATTGGAGTAAGCATCAGTGCGGCCATTTCAAGGGAACGTCAATTGTTTGTAGTATTTGTAAACAAATATTGATTTTTATGTATTCGACGATATATACAGAGGAACTGGTGTAAAATTTCCAAGGTTTTGTTTTAAAAAGTATTTTCTTAGATAAAATGGCTGATGGTACTTCAACAGCTAATGCCAGTGAAAAGATGGCCACTTTGTTGAAAGAAGCGGAAAATTTGAAAATTAAACTTGAGGAGGAACGTGCTAAATTAAATGATATCAATTTATGGGCTGTAGCTGAGCGACTCGAACCGATTGCTTTCGTCAACATAAAACCCCGGAAGGTGTTGAAAGGTCATCAGGCAAAAGTGCTCTGTACAGATTGGAGTCCAGATAAACGTCATATTATTTCCTCATCACAAGATGGGCGTCTAATTATCTGGGATGCCTTCACAACTAATAAGGAACATTTCATAACAATGCCTACAACTTGGATAATGGCTTGTGCATATTCGCCATCAGGCAATTTCGTTGCATGCGGTGGATTAGACAATAAAGTTACAGTATATCCTATCACTTCAGACGATGAAATGGCTGCTAAAAAACGCACAGTGGGCACGCACACCAGCTATATGTCTTGCTGTATTTATCCAAATTCAGACCAGCAAATTCTTACAGGTAGTGGTGATTCTACTTGTGCATTATGGGACGTAGAAAGCGGTCAATTGCTGCAAAGCTTTCATGGTCATTCCGGCGATGTAATGGCCATTGATTTAGCGCCAAATGAAACCGGAAATACTTTTGTTTCCGGCAGCTGTGATCGTATGGCTTTTATATGGGACATGCGTTCAGGACATGTTGTACAATCTTTCGAAGGACATCAATCCGACGTGAATACTGTAAAATTTCATCCCAGCGGCGATGCAATTGCAACAGGCTCAGATGATAGCAGCTGTCGTTTATTCGATATGCGTGCTGATCGTGAGATAGCTGTTTTCGCTAAAGAGAGCATTATATTTGGTATTAACTCGGTGGATTTCTCCGTTAGTGGTCGCTTATTGTTTGCAGGCTACAACGATTACACTGTCAATCTCTGGGACACGCTGAAGTCTGAGCGTATTTGTCTCTTATATGGACATGAAAACAAAGTTTCTTGTGTACAGGTGTCACCAGACGGTACCGCACTTTCAACCGGTAGTTGGGATTATACTATACGGGTTTGGGCCTAAGGAGTTTTGTGCTTACAAATATTGTTATCTATATATAAATATATATGTATGTACATTTTGTTATTTTTGTTCATAATCTACTGTTGCGTTTTAATTGAAATTCACGATGTTATCACGAGTATTAGCCACTTATGTGTTAATTAAATATTATACAATAATAAATTATTATAGTTTAATACACTTAACTAGTCACAACAAATATACAAGTAAATTTATTAAATAAACCAGTTTATATCTGGCTAAGAAGATTTTGGTCTTCCGCCTTATGCTGTCGCATATGACCCGCTAATCCAGCCATCTGGGCATACGCTCGACCACAAAGTTTGCAAACGAATTTTTTAACCCCCAAATGTAAATGCTTATGATGGTAAAGTGCTTTACTACGTGAAAATGTGGCACCGCAGACATCACACTTATGAGGGCGTTCCGTGGAATGCATTGGTTTGTGTTCCGTTAACAACGATGCTGAGATAAATCGCCGCCTACATATTGTGCATTCAAATGGCTTTTCTCCTGTATGTGTGCGCTTGTGTACGACTAGCGCATCCTTTTGTCGGGTGCGATATCCGCATATCTCGCAAATATAATTTCGTTCATCAGTATGAATTTTTTGATGCACTTTTAGACGTGTCGAAGTCACAAATGCCTTTCCACAATTTTCAAAATCGCATACAAATTCCTTAACACCTTTGTGGGATTTCATGTGTATATGTAGTGAACGCGAATTTTTATAGACGCGTTCACACTGTGTACACGAAAAGCCTATGTGTTCTCTACGAACATGTGCGTCCAGTGAACGTTGATCCATAAATTCAGCAGAGCATTGATCACACTTATGGTTTTTTGGTCGGAGGTGCTTCATATTTATATGCAGTTTTAATATACGTTCCGTAGTGTAACGTTTCTGGCAATGTGCACATGAGTACTCTTTCGGCTTGCGGGGCTATAATGTTGATATAATTTTTTATAAATTAGATATTAGTACAATTTATAAAATTACCTTTTTTAAAATATGATTGTCGTCGTCGCCATCGCCATCATCGTCATCATGTTTTGAGTTATCCTCATCAGCATCTGTGACCCCGCCATCCTCAAATGCATTATCATTATCAGTCGGTTCTACACTAGCAGCTGTTATTGTCACATTCTTCTTATTTGGACTAAAAGTGGGTTCAGTCAAAATGCTTAAGGGCTTTACGTCGGCAGCCGCTTTTGCGCTGCACTCATCCAATTCAGCTAAATATTCAACATTTTCAAATTCCTCATCTTTAATACATTCCTCCAATTCACCATCCCCCTCATTATCACTATCACTGAAATGTACATTCCCACGCAGGTGTACATTCTTATAGTGCAACATAAAATCATCAAACTCAAAGATTTTCATTTTGCAGAGCACACAAACTATCGTAAAATTAACATTATCGTAACAAATTATTTCGCCGCAACGTATACTAGTTCTTATATTTTCATAACTTGATGGTAGCGTACAATTTCGCAGCATTTTCACACAAAAATTACAAACAAAAAAAAATTCTTAGCTTTTTGTTGATAAGCACAATTTTTTGTTTATTTGACTATTTGAGTAGTGCTGCCAAGTTAACTTTGAGCAGATTTCCGAAAAAGCCAAGTGTGAACTCTTATTACAACTATAATGTTTTAAGTCTTTAAATTTTCAAAAATTTAATTTTCTTTTCGATGACCATGGATGCTTTTCATTCTATATATGCAATAATAGCCAAAGCGCATATAATATTAGCCGTGTATATATTAATAGATATAAAGCTGCGTAATATTTAAATATCAAACATATTTACTTCCACTCACAACTGTCTTATACGCACCCATATACTCTTCCGGTGGAAATGAGTAAAATATTTCAAATAATTTAATACACTTTGAGTTTTATTTTATCCTGTGCGTACATAAACTTACTATATTTACACTTTGTTTTGCGCTGGATTTAGTGGCGTTTTAGACCGGCTTCCAATTCACTTTTAAATTGATTGAAACTGCAGGAACTATCATTATCCACGATTTTCATATACCATCCGCCGGTGTCTTCATCTTTAAAACATTTGATAAGGTTTACATTTACAGGTTTTACTGGTAATCCACCCGGATAGTCTATAATGGCAGTTATTTGCATTTTATTACAAGCTTCTAAAATTCGTTGCAAGTAGTTTTTCTGAGGTGGGACCTATTAAATATCAAATCAGGTTATTTATTCCCCTGCAAAAATACTTAAAGTTTACATTGTTTGAATTCCCATTACTGTGCATATATGCCGTTATCACGAATTGCATGGTTTGGTAATCTTTAATCTATAGTTTTAATTTACATATACATATGAATATATATAAATTTAGATACATATAGTATGTAAAGTAAATTTTATATTTACGTTGTTCAATTCTTCCTGCAAATACACAATTCCGCGTTTAAAGTGATAACACATTACCAGCTGGAAAGCGATAAATAAGAGATCTAGTACTGCATGTTCAGCATTGGACCAAATGTATTCTTTGCTTTGTGTCCCTCCATGCGTTTTTGATTTAATATAAGTGCTTATATCTTTAAACTTGAAATTTTCCACACACTATTGCCAAATATATTTACATTGAGAAAAGTTTGAAAAAAGGGAAAAAAGTACTTGTTCCTATTTACCACTTCCTGAATTGACACATAACGTCCTTTATGAGGTATTAGAAACCATACGGTATATTCCATGCATGAAATGTACTCAAAGGTTACGCGCATATCATTGAAAATCTTTAAAGCATGCGTTGCCAGCATTACATCTAGAGCTGACTGCCCCGCAATACAGCAGTTGGTTAATTTAGGCAACAAATCACAAGTGTTGTAATGATTTTTTAAAAATAGTTGCACAAACTGCACAAATAATGGAGACATAGTTTGCCTTAATAAAAAAAAAAATTTAAATATTTAATATCTTTTAACTTCATCCAACGGAAAAGCGTAAACTTACTCTTGATGCTTAACACCGTTCATTTTTGTGGCCATAAACTTTAACCATTTACCTTTAAAATCGTTAGATGTTATAAATGGTTGGTGTAGAATATAATCAATATTTGTGCGAAATTTTCCCTGAAATCCGTAGATGCTAATTTTTTCCTTCGCTCCTCCGTCGATACCATATTCAATCAACTCGGGATTTGAACGAAAGTCGCGTAATGCCTCCAATCTGTGATACGTTTGGGCCTGTAATCGATGGTGTTTATGCCGCTGTTCGCGTTCCAATGCCCTTTGTGACGTACAGGGTTCATCGCTATCACTACCACTCTCAAAATTAGTTCTGACCATCGTGACACCTGTAGTGGCCAAGTCATCTTTTGAAATAAGTAGCACTACACGCACGTAACCCTTATGTAAATTCTTGAAATGAGTTAATGATTCAATGCTAGCATATCGGCCACTACAAATGAATTTCAACGCAGTGCTCATGGCGTGACGCAGTGGACAGTTGTTGTTACCTTGAACTATATAAACTGCATTTCGACTTTCTTTAAAATGCAAGCACACATGCCCGCAGTCAAGTATTTTACTTATTTCTAACTATAAATCAATTTTTTTATTATTTACACACAATAATGTATATTTTATACAAATACCTCTTCGATAAACATTTCCGCTTCAGCTGTCAAACCGTTGTATACAATTGCAAATTCGATTTCCGAACAGAAATGTATAGTACGAATCCTCAATTAGCGGGCACAATATAAAAAACTTGCATGAGATATTTTCGTGAAAAAAAAATATCAGCACCCATATCAAAGAAAATCAAATATTACTAAAATCTGTATGTAATTTTCTATGTTTATTTAAAATAAATCATATACATGAGCACCAACGTATGTAGGTATATTTTGAAATATCAACTATGAAATTTATTTTAACTTAAGAAATATTTAATTTTGAAATTTGTATAACAAGTTCAAAATAGCTTAAAATCATTATAGTTTACGTACTTAAAATTCACATGCGTACTCATTTACAAGAATTACTAGTCAACAAGAACCCTCCTCCCGGTGTCGTCTCATATGACCAGCTAACCCAGCAAGTTGGGCATATGCTTGTCCGCATACCCTGCATTTAAACTTTTTCTCATCAAGATGTAAAAAGTTATGATGATATAAAGATTTCGCACGCGCAAATGAACGTCCACACACTTTACAAACATGTGGGCGCTCTGTTCCATGAGATTGTTTATGTTCTCTAACTGCTGATTTTGATATAAAACATTTACCGCATTCATCACAAGCATATGGTTTTTCTCCTGTGTGCGACCGGTAATGTACCTTTAGCATTTCCGGCACACGACACGAATACCCACATATATCACATATAAAATTTTTACCTTTTGTGTGAGTACGTTTATGAGCTTGATATTGTCGGCGTGTGAAAAAACTCTTCTTGCAGTTCTCATAATCGCACACAAATTTCCGTTCCGTCCCACGTGTGTGCGTTTCCATATGACGTAGCTGATTTGTGCGCGAAGTACATCTCCTATCACAATACATACATTTCATTCCATCGTGTTCTGCTAAGCAATGTTGTTCTAAACTTCGCAATGTCTTAAAATCCAATGCACATTCGTCGCATTTTTGAGATTGTGTTGCGGCGTTTGGACTGTCTATAGGATTATGTGCTTTTTCCATATGGTTACGCAGATTTTGAAGACTTTTGTATACTCGGGCGCACAACTCACATTTGTGCGACTCAATTTGATGATCACTGTTAACTTTCTTCTAAAATATAAATGATTGTATTGAAGTTATTCTATATTATCATTATTTGGAATACCTTGTGGCAATGGTTTGGTGGTGCATATTCTTCATCATCGTTTTTGTATACGATATTATTTTCTTCTTCACTTTCCGTCACATCTGTTTTCGAGTTATTTTCACTCCATGTCATAATTCGTAGTTCTGTTCTTTCCTCCACCTCCTCATCAGACATTTCACAAACAGGATCGTCCAAATAGTCGACCTCAATACTATTGTCATCAACAAAAACCTCATTCTTTACGTTCGACGCTAAGTACGGATCCATCTCAATGAAAGCTTCCTCTGTTCTCAACAAATCATTTTCAAAGTGTACATTTTTGCAATGCAACATAAAATCCTCATAATCGAAGGCTTTGAGTTCGCAAAGTGTACAAACGATCGTGAATTCAGTGGAGCTGTGACAATAGATTTCTCCACATTTTGCATTTGCCCCTGCACAAAAAGTACTGCTCGGTAGTACTTTGAGCATATCGAACTTTATTCAATCCTTTGTACGACTGGTTGTGTAAACAAATCCAATGTATTATAACTAATTATTGAACAGGTATTTTGGTTCTACATCTGACAACATGAAATGTTTGAGCTCCATAACGCGCATGTGTACACATCAACACATAAGCGTGCGTTTGACAGCTAAGTGGAAGACTTGTACTAATTTCAAAAAATAAATGTACTTCTTATAAAGAACTTAAATTTCTTAATAGCCTTGATTAATTGCATATGTCGAGCATCTTAAGAACCTTAATTTGCTGCATTTGAGTATTTGTTTCTGAATTGACGAAGTTCTTTTACTATCCATTTGACATCTCACTTCAGCCGATAGCAGATAGTACTTTTGCGTCACGTTGCTTGACAGATTCACTTTGACGTTTAAGATGAAAATAAGAAGATCTAACAAATTTTCTCATAAGCAAAGCTGGATCGTGTTGGCCATTACTGGTTTTAAATCATTGTACAGTAGGTTTCTACGATGTTTTAAAGTCAATTTATTTTCTTAATTCATTTCAAGGGATTATATTGGAAAACTTCGAAGCAATTTAGTATTATACAACAGACTTCTGATAGATAGAATAATTACTGAACACTATGTTCATTTCTTGCCCTGTATAACGGTTCAAAAATTTCAAGCAGGGCCATATATGATTAACGGTAGCAAAAAGAAATTTTTAGTTGTTCCTTTAAACTCCTGTCACCTGGTCACCTGTAATGAATTCATCTTGCGATAGCATTCCCAATGGTTAGTCAGCTGATTGACACTTTTGATATTGTCAAATTAAAAAAAAGAATACAGCCGACTATCTTAATTTTACCGGGAAAACTCTTTCCCTTGGTCTTCTAATTATTAATAACTATTTTCGGAAAGTTTTATAGATATGCTAAAATCATTTGACACATCACAAACTTTTGTAAAATTTGTTGAGAAAAAATGTGCTGAAATATATTTTCGGAAAGAAAATTCCTTCACAATAATATGCCTTCATTGCGAGTTGAAAACCTTCGATTTCGAAGAGTATTTACAGCATTTCAAAAGTACTCATCTAACATCATGGTCTTCATTCACAAGTACTTCCAGCACAGAAATAACTGAAATTAGAATTGAAGAAGGCAACAGCAATGAATCCTCTCTATGTATGCCAGATGTTTACAAAGATTTTAGTGCTCTGATTGAAATGCAGGAGGTGCCGATTGCCGATACGGGCAGTTTATTAGCAGACAAAGGGGAGAGTGAGGATTTATCGTTTGATGTTTTGAATGACGACAATGATTGGTTAAGTGATCAACAAACAGAAAACAGTGAAGAAAAGCAAAGTGATAACAATCCCGAATTTATTCCTAGGGTATGTGGTGAATTTTTATTTAAACCAAATATGTATATATATTGTATCTACTAACCAATTTCATTTCATTAGATTTTAAAAACAGCAACTCAGCAAAATCATACAACCAATACGGAATACAAATGTGAAGAATGCAATAGAATTTATAAGTTTTGGAAAAATTTGCAACGACATATAAAAAAATACCATAAGGAGGAGTCTAAGTTTCCTTGTATACGGTGTAAACAGTACTTTCATGATGAACGGACGCTGAATGATCACCAACGAAAAAAGCATGCCGGATTCCCATGTGGAGAATGCGATAAAGTCTATTCAAGTAAAGATTCGTTGCAAATGCATCAATATAAGCACACGGGTGTCCGGGGTTTCCATTGCAGTATAGCAGGTTGTGACAAGTCTTTTTTTAGCCCGAAACAATTATCTGTACACACACGCATTGTTCATCGGCTGGAGAAGAATTTTGTTTGTGAAGTATGTGGATACCGTACCAAAGGTCAGCCTGCTCTTATAGTACACAAACGTTCGCACACTGGTGAAAAGCCGTTTATTTGTAAGCAATGTGGCAAAGCCTTCGCTTCAAAGTCACTTCTTTGCGAGCATGAGCCAACGCATTCTACTGAGCGACCCCATATTTGCGACGTTTGTGGACGAGCGTTTTCACGTCCAAAAGCACTGTATCATCACAAACATCTGCATCTAGGTGTAAAAAAATTCGTGTGTAAGCTCTGCGGTCGAGCTTATGCACAAATGGCTGGACTAGCGGGCCATATGCGTCAACATAAGGCTGAAAATTGTTTAAAAATCCGATCCGGCTAAAAAAATTCTATTGACATAAGTGTGTAGTTTTAGTTAAGAAATGTTTAATTACAATAAAACCGATGGTTATATTTGAAAATTTCTAAATTAAAAAAACTGATCCTGGGCAATGGTGAAAAGTCAGTCTATAAGAAAACTTTTAGAAATGCCTTTTTTCTTAAAATTTTCATTGGTTATGCTATTATTCTTTAGTTGAAGAATTAATTCAAACTTAACGCACACTAGTAAAAAATTGTAGAGGTGGTGAATTAAAACGAAATCAGCTGTTTGTGGATGTTTTGTATTTTTTTGCAAAGAAATTTATTTGGTAAATGGAAAAATTGAAAATTTTATATCAGAAGGAGCAATTATAACCGGAAATGCTTAAAATTCTTCCTACATTACCGAATTTTGGAAATTACAAAAATACGAATTCAAAATGTGCTGAAATCCATTATCAGTCATCAATATTTTCAATTTTGTGTATTAAGTGCGGCATGGAAACGATATCATATGCTGATTTTTGTGAACATTCCAACAAACATATGTTAGAATACAATAACAAATTATCTGAAAGCGAAGAAATTACCATAAGTAATGTAAGCATCAATGAGTCCTGTTTCAGAGGTAAACACGACCCACTTAAAATTGAAGTGAACAATCAAACAGAAGATTCCGCATTGGCTTTAAATTTGCTGAAGGATGATAAAGAAGAAACGGAAAGACATTATATATACCACAAAAAGTATATCGTCGACTTTGAAATAAATGACAAAGAAGTCTTGGAAGATCATATAAAATTAGAAAATTTTGAAGTAAGTTTATGATTAAAGTTATATTTTAACTTTCATTCATTGCGATATTTAATTTTAGGTAAACTTCAATACACCTTCCGAAAACTTTGATGTCGCACAACAAATGAGTTTAGATACTGAAAATACAACGGAATCTAAGGCCGGACGCTTAACGGACAATAATCAAGAAATCGGTTTATTGAAAAAAAGTACTAAACGTCCTTACAAAACGCGTAACACACCAAATATGTGTACATATTGTGGTAAAACGTTTCGACGACGCTTACAGCTTGATACTCATCTAAACATACACACCGGTTCCAAACCACATCAATGTGAGATTTGCGGACGCCAATTTCGTGCGGAAACGACATTAGCACGTCACCGTAGCACTCATGAGCAGCGGGAAGTTTTCAATTGCAAATTTTGTGCAAACACCTTTACACGCCGCGCTGCTTTGCTAAGTCACGAGTTGAGGCACACGCAAAAAAGGCATATACCCTGCGATGAGTGCGAAAAGTTATTTTACACAATCAATCAAATGGATACACATAAACGGAAAGTACATAACAAATCCGATGACGCCTCCCTCCCTTATAAATGTAGTCTATGCGTAAAACGCTACCGTAGTGCTTCAATGCTAAGCACTCATAAGTATAAAAAGCACTATAAAACTGCAAAAATCAGTTGCGAACAATGTGGCAAAAAGTTCATAGACGAAGCTCAACTGGATTCCCACAAAACAATGATGCACGCAATATTGAGGATCACCAATAAACCTTCAATTATCAGTTAAATTTATAAATACATTAGACTGTTAAGGGCAATATTTTTTTAGAAAAATGTGTAATCGTATTAAACTAGTTGAAGTATTGAATTTTCCCTGAATATAGATTTATTAGGGTAAAAGGATGATTAATTCGATAAAACATACAATAAATTGTTTATGTGTACATTAAAAACTATTTCTATAAATAAATTGGTAAAAATTTTCGAAAATAGCCAAAGTATACTGTGAATTACATCAGCTGTCATAGCCTTTTTTGTGAATGCACTACTTATAACTTTATAAAGAAGAAGAAAGGAAAACGCTTGATTTTATTATTTATATACAAAAAAAAAATTTGTGAAATGATATTTTGTTTTATAGTTTAAGAATGAATTCCAACGATGTCCAGATCATAGATGACTTTTCTGATATTGAACCCTCTTCAAGTACACAACTCGTAGAAGGCGATAGTCAATGCGGCTTAATTTTCTTCAGTGAATCGACGAGGGTCTTAAAATTTTTTTGCACTTACTGTGAAAAAGTTAGTGAAAATATTAACTATTTCTGCCAACATTTAAGTGAACATATAACCGACGATGATAAGGAGAGCGCACAGGAAGAAGTTTGCGGTAGTGCATCGGATGAGGGTATTGCTGGCGCACCAATTGAAGATACGGTAGTTTACGAAGGTGATCCAAACCAGTCTCTACTTCCCTGTGATTTGGCCGGTTTTGATGAGTCCAAAATGGTTGTGGAAGAATTGGACGAGGCTGAGGAAATAGCGGCAGAAGTGGAAGATGAAATGCGTCAAGAATTTGAAGGTGATAATATATATCGCATTAATGGAAATAGTTGCGCTGACGATTTCTTTAATTATACACTAACTGGTAATTGTGCTCCAAAAAATCAGCCTGCATTGCAGTGCAGTGAAAAAAAAGTAATGTTAACAAAAAATTTTAAAAAGTCGACAGATAAGCTTAATATGTCGCAATTTAAAAATGTTAGCAAAAAGAAAAGAATTACAACTGTAAAAGTTATTGCCTTAAAGAATAGAGTAGCAGAGCTATATGAACGTATTAAACTCGAGGAGGAACGCCGTTCGCGTATATGCAGCACATCTACTGAGTCAAATGATACCCCTAGTGCAGAGCTGGAGAACGAATTAGACTTGAAAAATGAAAACGTGACTTTAGAGAAAGAACCTGTACAAAAAATTATTGGCGAAACAGTTATAACTCTTTTGCCACAAACCCATTTGCAAGCTGAGCTTACCAAAAACAATGATAGCTTATCTCCTTTGATAAGTTGCAAAAATAAATCTGATGGTGCTGGGGACAAAACTACTTGCCCAGCATGCGGTAGAAAATTTCGGAGTGCCTTCAGCCTTACTATACACAAGCGTACGCATTACTTGGAGTCGGACAGTAATGTAAAGTTGGCGCACAAATGTTCGGACTGTGATCAATTATTTAATAAAATACCTGATTTAAAGGAGCACATACAACAAGTGCACTATCCCGAGGGATTTATTTGCAAAATATGTAATAGAAAACTTACTAGCCTCACACTACTCGAGACACACATGAGAAAAGTGCATCTTTCAAGACCTTTTAATTGTGACATTTGCAAAAAGAACTTCGATACGCGGGACCGTTTCGAAGAACACGTCAAAGCTCATGTATCAGGCCAGCCATATCGTTGTCATATATGCGGTCGTAAATACAGCACCGAGTGCATCCTTAAGCAGCATCTACGTAGACACAAGGAACAAGTGCCACAGTGCTGTGTTGTTTGCGGCAAGATGACCCTACGTATAACGCAACATATGAAAATTCATGCCCCACGACCAAAAAGAGTGCTGAGCTGCAAGTTATGCGGTAAAGTATTTAATTTCAGCTCAGGCTTGAGCCATCACTACAAAGTGGCACATAACTTAAAAAAATCACTTTCGAAAGTGAAATCAGAAGAGTCCGTTCTAATGCCTGAGGAGCTTAAAACAGAAATAATCGATATGAAAACGGAAAAAGTAGAGAATGACGAAGAATTTTGTAATATAATTAAAAGTAATGAGGAAATTAGCCAAAAGGAAGAGGAGGCCAAGCGAGTAATTGTGGAACTGATACAAAATGCAACATATACATCATTCTTTCCGGAAAACTTTAATAGCTCTATAGATTCTGGTCCGCCAATAGCACGCGAAGAAACAATATCAGCAGTAAACAGCATTGTTAGTGAGGAAACCTCCTGAATTTTAATCTATATTCTATTTAAGTGTGTTATGTACTCGGTATTAATGTAATAATAATTGTAGAATTATAATTAACAAAATGTGAAATATTATTTATATAATATGATATTTATATAGATACTGAATGCATCTATGTATATATGTACATACATTTAATCATTTCTGTTATTAGAAAAAGAATTATGCTGATTCGTAATTTTTTATTTGCCTTTATAGCAAATTTCTTGTGAAAAAATCGGTTGAAGTTTTAATTATGAAAAAGTACCAAGTTCTTTAAAAATTTGTTAATATGTATTAAATCTATAATCCAAATTTTTTCATTTATAATTTAGGATAGTTAATTTTAGAATATTAAAAATAATTTACATTGTTAGAAAAATTCTGTCTGCCACATTCATGTTATTTATTGGCAACTCTAAAAATTTATTGTCAAAATTGTCAATCTACCATCTCGAATTCGTTGGCATCGGCAAATAACACGCTGCAACTAAATATTTATTCAGTTTTATTTAATCCGCAAAAATGCATCCCGATCTTACTGAGCGCATATTGCAACATTTAGAAGGAGTTGACAAGGTGAACACTATTGATTTAGCCACACTATTTGGTGTTGGTCACCAAAAAATTGTGGGAGCATTAAAAAGTATTGAAGCCCATGGGGAGTTGGTAATCGCCGAAACAACAACTGGAAAGAATTTAGAGTTAACAGATGAAGGTCAGACGGTAATGCAGAATGGTAGCCACGAAGCCGTTGTTTACGCAGCTGTTCCACTCGATGGTATTCTACAAGAAGAGCTCATGAAAATCAGCCCAAATGCAAAGATTGGATATAGCAAAGCTATGTCGCTCGGTTGGTTATTTTTGGACAAATCTGTTACTCCACCACTAGTAAAAAGAAAGGTGGAAAAAATCGAAGATACCGTTAAGAAGTCCCTTGAAGAGATCTCAAAGAATCAAACCGATTTGCCTCCTCATGTGATAAAAGAATTTAAGAAACGGAAGTTATTACAAGAGATTATAATAAAAAGTTTTGTATTGAGTAAGGGACCTGAATTTGCTACAACATTAACGAAGTTGGAAACAGATTTAACGATTGACATGTTGGCTAGTGGTCTGTGGAAGGATCTTAAATTCAAGGCTTACAATTTCGATGCTTTGGGAGCTGCTCCGGTGAGAGGCCATCTACACCCACTACAAAAAGTACGTACGGAATTCCGGCAGATATTTTTGGAAATGGGATTCTCAGAGATGCCTACAAACAATTACATTGAGTCATCTTTCTGGAATTTCGATGCTTTATTTGTACCACAACAACATCCAGCGCGAGATGCACAAGACACTTTCTTTATTAGTCACCCGGCAAAAAGCTACAAATTCCCTCGAGAATATATGCAACGAGTGCAAGAGGTACATTCAAAGGGTGGTTATGGATCCACAGGATATGTGTACGATTGGAAATTAGAAGAGGCACAAAGGAATACACTGCGCACCCATACTACAGCAGTAAGTGCTCGAATGCTATATAAATTGGCAAATCAGCCCGAAGGTTTTCGGCCAGTAAAATACTTTAGTATTGACAAGGTATTCCGTAATGAGACATTGGATGCAACCCATTTGGCGGAATTCCATCAAGTGGAGGGTGTGGTAGCCGATGTAGGTCTAACTTTAGGTGATTTAATTGGCACGCTATACGAGTTCTTCCGCAAGCTCGGCATTGAAAAGTTGGAATTTAAGCCAGCTTATAATCCCTACACTGAACCCAGTATGGAGATTTTTTGCTTCCATCCCGGACTGAATAAATGGATTGAAGTTGGCAATTCGGGTGTTTTCCGACCGGAACTTTTGCTGCCAATGGGTTTGCCAGAAAATGTTAATGTCATTGCTTGGGGCTTATCTTTGGAAAGACCAACCATGATAAAATATGGCATTAATAATATACGAGACTTGATTGGACCAAAGGTTGACTTGAAAATGGTTGAAGAGGGCCCCATCTGCCGTTTGGATAAATAAATTGAGATGTTTTAGAAATTATCTAAAGAAAAAAAACCATACATTTTGATAATCCTATGTTAATTACTTAATTTAATAAATGAGAAAAAAATATATATATAGTTCATCCTATGGTCTAAGGCAAGTGCTGTTATATAGTATTATTTTATGTATATTTATATACTTAAAGTAAAATCTGACTGAATATATTTGCATTTTGTTCACATCACTTCACACGAGTAGCTAAATACAATTTACATTTTATGTTTGATTTGCAAGCAAATGAAGGCAAGCGTTAAAACGTTTGACAAATTTTAAAATAACTGCAGATGTCGCAAGCGACTCAGATGTCATCGTTTTTTGTTGATTTCCTTTGTTGTACAATTCCGCAATTATCAACAAATTGTAGACACGTACATATATGTTTAATTTCTAAAAACAAGGCTAATATTTTTAAATGGATAATAGTAATAGACAAGATGACGAAAAACCAACCACGGAAAGTGATGTAGCCGCCACTTCATTATTGAATCAATTCATTTTGGGTCAATTGAAGGAGAATCAGAGTTCGAACGGTGTAAACGGATTGCGAAATGGATTTGTATTACCTAAATTACAATTCGGTAGTCCAAAAGCTGGACAATTTGTTATACCGCCTTTGAAATTATCACATCCAAATAATACTCCAATGTGCAACGCGGAATTATCACAATTGGTAATTACGCAGGCTCCAAAAACTAAGCAAATATTGAATGAAAACATTGTTGAAATAAGTAATGGCGTCAACAATTTACAAGTAAATGACGCTTTACTTGAAAGAACAAAAGTGGAAACATCAAAGCATACAATCGATCTTACTGCTGCATTGAGCACCACTGCTGGCTTTATTGTGCAAAATAAAAGAACTACATCAGTAGCTGTTGAGGATTTTCAGATACCATTTATAGAATGTGATCGGCAAGAGAAATCTTTACTACTGCCTGTCATAGAGAATTACAGCCAACGGATTGCAGATGCCAACGCAGTATATAAAGGCAAATTAGTGTCAACCCCATCATCATGCGGACGTATTATTTGTCTCAAATATAAACACAAACGTGCTTTGCCGAAAATATGCCATAGTTTTAAAGTGAAACATAAAATACAACGTTTTCGTTTCGATTCTAAATCGCCAGATGATCTTGTATTAGCTACATTAAGTAAATATCACCGACAATACTGACCATACTCACCAAGACGGGTGGTTCCCAGTCAGCAAAAACTAATCGATTTTGAATGCAGAAATGTAAGCATTCGATGGATTGACGTTTGTAATATTCAAATATTGTACAAAAATACTAAATTAGATGGTTATAAAGAGAAGTTGTGATATTTTAATATACCTTAAAAGGAATGGACATTTTTTCACATTTTACATTCGAATTTTTTTTTTAAGGCACTCAGATTTTTACCAGGTTTAATTATTATAAGACCTAGCGCTTCAATTACTGCTCGTCACCAATCTGGAAACGTTTGCCAATCGGTAGAAAAACGAAATATTCTTATTTCTACTTTTAGCCATCACCACATATACACCAATATCAACTAGTTGAGTAGCTGGTAAAATTTAGCCCATTAGTAAAAAAATTTTATAATGAAAAAAATCATCAAAGGCTTACACTTACTCTAAAATTATTAATACCCCAGACCAATTTTGATTTTCAATCACTCAAGGTTGTGTTCCATTTATTTGTGAAATACATTAAACTCTTAAAAAAAAGATAACCGATAATCTTGACGTGTAGACTACATAAATTTCTATATTTAAATTACTTTCATTTGCATGAACAAACTTCTTTTTTTAATATTTCACGCAAGCTATAATTCTCTGGCAACGCTCGCTGTCAATTTTCATCAAGCGCGAACCCGTTCTCTTGCTCTTTCCACCCAGTTTGGCACGCGCTCTCTTTCTCCCTTTTTCACACACTTTTCACACGCATTTGACAAAATAATAAAAACAATTTCCGAATTCTAGTGAAAAGTTTTTGTACATTGCCGTCTGCGAAAGTGTTGTTTGCAAAAAAATTTTCTGTCATACAAAACAATGAGAAAATAATAATTAAAATAATTCAGTACTATCTTTCATATTTATCTATTTCGGTGTAAAATATGTCAAATATTGCAATCAAAACAGAGAAGCTGGATGAAGAGCAGCAGGAGGAGATTGGCATTGAAAATAGAGCCGAAAGTGAGGATGGTGTTAGTAGTAGACAGGATCATGTAAAAATCACAACGTCGTTGGATATGTGTAATTCGGCTGGTGGTGCTAAAAGGCAATTAGAAATGGGACGGAAGACAAATATGCGTCAGCCCCAACAAATTCCACCCCAACCTACTGCTTTACTAAAAAATAATAGTACCAGTTGTGACAGTAATAGCGGTCTTGTTAACCCCAGCCATGAAATTAATAACACTAAAAAATCCGCACTGTCCAAATCTCGGTGTGGCGAGGTCTTTGTGTCTAATAATGCAAGACAATGGACATTTATTTGTACATTTTGCAACAAAAGCACACGTGACATTGGCGAATTTATATGTCATATTAAAATCAAACATTTGGGTGGTTTCGCAGACGATGGTGATGAAACAGATGATGGAGAATACGATGGAAATCAACCATCCAATTTCTATGAACAAGATCAAGATGTAAGCCAAACATTCAAATTATTACAATAACGAAAGTATTAGTAGATTAGAGTAAATATTTTTCATATATTTTGGTATGCAGTTTTATGATTAATAATTGTAATTTGGACTCACTAAATCTAAATGTTTGGCCCACAAATGTGCATACATATGAAGAAAAATCCGAATCAAAGCGTTAATGAATATCTGTTGTATTTGCTTCAGTTGCAATTCTTTATTACAAAAGCCCACATTTATCGATTTATTTTATTTAAAATAGAACAGGCTACCTATATGTGTGTATACTACCTACATAAGCACATACACACGTATGTATAAGTTTCATCCTTTAATGCTATTACGCTGTGTTTAAAAGATATGTATAAAATCTTTAATAGACCATTGGTGCGTATGTACAGTCCTAAAGGGTTGAAATGAACCGGTTTCAGAGTCTTTAAATATAATTCTCGTTTTAACACTTTGCCATTTTTTTTATATTAATCTTGTTGGACTTTTTAATTGCATTTTAGGCGGTACAACAAAGCGAATAGTGCATTAAGTTTAAACTGGTTTAAAAAAATTGTATTGATTCATATTCTTGTTTACTTAGTATCTATGGGAGATCATCCTTAACAGGTGTCAAACAAAAAAAGGATCTAAAAATATTTATTAAGAGAACCGAAATGAAATTAAATTAAAAATTTTGATTTGTATGCTATTTTGGATTCAGAACTTGAAATACCTACATACATACATATGCATGTATGTACATATGTACAGATAAAAAAAAAAAGTTCTTAAATAATTATTGTATCTTAAATAATTATTGTATCATGTATTTATTAATTTTTCTATAATTTTTTTTACATATATTATAAAAATATATTTATTCATAACCACTTTAAAATAGTATTTGGATTGCGGCAACTACTTAGATGTGAACGTACACACTGAATCCGAGGATTACAGTGTTAATGGGCAAGATCACTTGGCATCATATCGTCAACAAATGGGCATTAATAATGCGCCGCAACGACACACGTCGGTTGATACCGCGGCCAGTGAGGCAAAAAGCCAAGTGGATGGAAACAAAAAGAAGAAAATTAATAATGTTGAAAATATGCAACATTCGGGTGAAAATGACGCAAATTTTCAATCATATCCAAATAAAAACACACAAAAAACTTCAACACCTGTTGTTAATATGAAAAACAATGCGAATGGAGGTGACAGTATGACGTACGATGCTTCCGACTACACTTCTGGAAAAGATGACTTTGACCTAACCAATCCTTATGACAATGAAGATGAGGAAGATTTCGATAATCAGCTATTCATAGCACCAAACGACTCGTTGGATGCCAGCGCAACAGATGGCCGCGAAATGAAAGCTAAACGCCGACAAATACGTGGTACTGCCTATTGTGCCCTATGCAACAAGACCTTTCAATATTACTCCTTGTATCGCAATCATATGATTAAACATTCTAATGAGACACCGTTCAAATGTCCAATTTGTAAGAAGGGTTTCAAATCTAAGCAAGCCATACGTTATCACATGAATACCCATCAGAAGGAGAAACAATTCAAATGCACTGTTTGTAGCGCCTCTTATGGCACGGAAAACCATTTCATTTCACATATTATGACCCACGAAAGCGCTACCGCTTTTCCATGTTTGGTTTGCGGCCAAGTGTTAAGCAGTAGCAAGGAACGCGACATACATATGGCTAATCATAAGGAGGAGCGACCATTTCGCTGTGACTATTGCAACAAACTCTTCCGATTAAGGCATCATTTGTCGAACCATTTGAAGATGCATCGTAAATATCGGTGTGACTACTGCAAAGAGATATTCACTAGCGCTATATATTTGCGTAAACCATACGCTTGTCCTGGCTGTGAAAACACACCAGAAGCGCGACGTGACTCTGCAAATACTGCAAGCGCTAAAGTGGGACGTATTGCTGGTAGTAGTAATGTAAACCCGTTGGAAATTTTTGAAACAGTTATACCGGGACAAACTCAACAAGGTAATGAGTTTGCGCAGATGGTTACAGATTCCGAGGGTGAAGGCGATGAGGATGATGAAGATGATGAGGATGAAGATGAGAATGATAATGGCGAAGATGATGATGACGATAATGAAGCGCAAGGCTCACGGATGGAAGAGGACGGTGTTGAAAATGATCAGCATATGACCAGAAGAGCAGCCGAGCAGATCGATACCGACGATGACGACGAAGACACTTATGAAGACAGCGTATCGGCAAGTACCGGAACAATTGGTAGCGCCGGGCATAGGCTGAATGCGTATGGTGATGCTGCCGGCGGGGGCATTAAGCGATATGTATGTAAATTTTGTTCACGCAAGTATTCTCATCCCAGTGGCTTGAACTATCACATGCGTCATAAGCATAGGTAATGCTAATAATTGGGAAATTTAATGCATTACGTCTAACAAAAGTGAGACTACAGAAGGCAGTTATTTAAATATACAAAAGTACATTGGTATTTTAGACATACACACATAACATATGCACTGACCAAAAGCGGAAAAAATTAATTACGAAGATGAAAAATTTAGCGCTAAAGCGTAAAGGGAAAAATACATTTTTTTTTTTTTGTGTATCTTCTAAGAGATTAGTTATTATTTGATTATACGTAAACACATTTTTGTGCTCCTATTTTCAATTTTTGTAAGCTGGTACAAATATTACACTCTTTCCTAATAACACATCTAGTCTAATCTTAAACCGTTTGTATTGTAATCATAGAAAAATGATTATTTTGTATTATTCTTATAATTATATATCTCCTAATTATATAACTCTAACGAAAATGATATACATATGTATATAATTGGCGACTAAGCCATTATTGAAAAGCTGAAAAATTCTCAAGTTCCCTTTCTTAAGATTTTGCATTATTATTTTAATATTTATATTTACACAACCAGATCTGTTTATGGATATCGTCTCCAAATATTTACACATTTTGACTGCAAACCAAATCTAAAAAATTTATGAAACAAATACTCATGTCATTAAGACGATATACATGCGTTTATTGACTTCGTTTCAAAGTTCCTTCCAATCGTTATATATACATACTAATCATTAATATATAAAATCATTATGTTTTCAACTTCATATCTAAATGTCAGGCATCTATAAATGCGGCTCATCGCATTCCCATTTTCTCTCAAATGAAGTAAACAGTATTCTTCCATATAATCCATCACATCATACAACCATTTGGAAACGTTTAGAGTACTAGGACTGGACTGATCGATTGTTAAAATAAAAATAATAGGCTTTTATTGCAGGTAAATACATTCATACATATATACTCATATGCGTAGAAATCATATATAATGGTACTGTAAAGCCTTGAAAAGGCCTTAAAATTATATACATTATATGCAATTGAAAAACAAAATAGATACCCGAAATATTATTACAGATTTTAGGGAATTTATTAAACAATTAAACAATAGTAATAATAACGAGTAAATAACACAGTATGTAACTGCCCGCATGTTATTAAAGAAATCCTTTTAGTATGTAGTTTATTTGGTTTATTTTTTTTTTTAGCTCACTATTATCTTATGTATACCTTGCAATAATAATTTGTGAAGGATTTCGAATCATAAGATCTTTTTAAAATATTTTCAACTCGTAAAATCGCCTTTTTACATACACTTGTATTACAAACCAATACTTATAAATTACAACATTAATTTTTTGTATCTTAAGTCCAACCGATATTATTAGATATACAAAACTTTACCATAAGATTATAGTGAGTTTAAGTAAAAATTATGCTACTTTTTCATTATTTCAACTATTTACATAAGAAACAAAAAAAAGAATAAATGCTAAGGAACAATAAACTATAAAAAAAAGTTAAAATCATATATAAAAAATTATAAGAGAAAAGACAAGTGTAGCAATAGAATAAAGAGCAAAATAAAACAAAATAATATGATATATTCAAAATTTTGTTGAGCTGTTAAGTATTTTATTTTGGAATAACACAAAATTGTAAAATTATTAGTAAATTAAATTAAAATGATAAATATGAAAAATTTGTTTTATAAAATCTATGCAATCAATATTTTCAAAAAAGGAATACCATATATTGTTGATGAAATGTAGATGCATATGTATGTGGTACGTCCCGAGTGTTATTAAATTTTGCCGATATAAGAAAGCACCTCAAAAGCAGAAAAAAGTCTAATTTCGAACAAATATTATGCATTTTATCAATGTTATATATGCAAGTGTGTGCATGTATAATTTCAAATATTCGAAAATTATTTTGAGCGTAAATTTTAAGTTTTTTAAAAGAGATTTACTAATTATGAGCTCTTAGCATAAATATAATTATATATAACATTTAAATAACCGTATTTTTATTAATGACAACAAACGCCTCAATTGGGTGAATTAGTTAAATAAGCAAGATCAAAATGTAAATAATACTACATTGATATTCATTAATTAATAAATATATATATATATATATAACAAATTATGCGGAGTTCTTATTGTTTTCTGCTGTTTCGCCCGATCGTCGGTCTTTTAATTTGAAAAGCTTCCGCAATTCTCTGCATTCTGTTCTGATTTCACTTTACGTACAAACCGGAAAGTCAGTGTTTCAGGCATTAGTTTTTCCGGACACGGAAATGTCTCATGTTACGAATAATGATATGCAGTGTGTTGCAAACATGTGCCCACATACGCTTTGAAAAAAGGCTATAATATTATCTCTATCTCTCTCTCTATATATATATATATTATTTATTTCAAAACAAATAAGCTTTTCCAAATTATGGAAATATTTATTGAAGAAATTTCAACTAATTCGTATTGTTACGATTTTACTGAATCAACCTCGATTATTTTCTAGATCCTTCGGGTACGATCTCTGGATTGTTAAATAAAAACTCGCCAACTTAATTTGCAGTTTCTTTCGTTATAAAGATTCTATCTAATGTCCTTTATTTTCTCAGTAATTATACTGCACTTTACTATTTATAATCACTAACATCAACTTTCACAATTTCCTCTACTTAAATGTAATTCCCAACGCGTTCACTTTACGTCTTCACTGATGTTAACGCCAACCAATTTGCTTTGTCACTGCTTGATTTGCAGCTGAGTGTCGCCTTTATATAGCAGTCGGCTGCTCGCAGACGAAAGCGTAGAAGCATCGAATTGTTCGCTATGGAAGGTTCTTGTTTTATCGTACTAGTTATCGGCTTCTCTCTTTCATCTGACATTCGCCTCGCATTTTCGCAACAGTATTGATGCGGAAACAGCGTTGCCAACGCTTCAAAAAAGCAATCTTTTCAAGCGAACGAATACAAGATCGCGAACGAATGAATGATAATGCGTGATGAAATTAATTTATATAAAGCTTATAATTCTCTTTTTTTTCGAATATATATGAGATATTTAGTAATCTAATACCTATGTTTTTTGATGTCCCTTCTTTTCTGAACTGTAACTAATTTGCTTTGATAAAATAGCTGTCATTTTTTGATACAAACCGCAATTAGAAATTTTCCATTTCTGGTAACATTTTTCCCGAATGACGACGAAATGAATGGGACGATTGTAAATTTGCTTTTTGCGGAGACGAGTTTATTTTCATTTTCATTTCCCATAATTTTACAAATTTTTTGTGATTTCATATTTATAAAAATTGCAGTGAATAGTAAAGTATTGTGTGGATATATAAAATATCAAGGTATAAATTGCAAATTGAAAATAATTGGCATAATTGCTGAGGCAATCTTCAATTATACTATCATTGGCTGTCTGGGTCGTCTGATCAAAGGCAAAAGCGATTGATAACTTGAAGTGGCAGGGAGTGTAAAGAGGGTGACAAAATCTAAAGCAAATTCGTTGGTTAAGTGAAATACATAGCAAATAAAAGTATTTCAGTATAATAGATTTAAAAAGCCCAAAGGTACATACATACACTTAAAGCTATAATCTTGATATAGTCCATAAAGGAATAGAAAACCTCCATAAAGGAGTTAAAAGAAAACATTCGATTGAAACAGGCTGAAGGAAAAGGCAAGAAAAGTATCCATCAGACGAGACTGCTACAGCAGCGCAGTAGTGTAGCAGCAGAACGGAAAGCACAAAAAAGTGTGAAAGGTCAGCAGACAGACGAAGAGGAGACAGAAATAAAAGAAATCATGCAAAATAGTATACTTAGCCAACATAAAGTATCGTATACAATTATTTCAGACATAAGTACATAAGTCCCTGAAACGGCGTTTTGATACATAAGTATTAACAAATTTACGCTTTATTAAAAACAAATTCTGGTAAAACTAAAACTGTGCATAATAAAGTGTGATTCAATAAGTTTCATATACATATATACACATCCTTATATGTATATACGCAAAATTCTTGGATTAAACCAGCAGACAACGCCAGACTACGAAACAGGCACACACAGACATATTATTCCGGTATAAGTAATAAACAAGAGGATTAATTCAATCAGCTCGCGGGGAAAGGTAGATTTTTTATGCGTATAATTTGTACACTTTTTTTTTCATAATATATCTATATATTACATAAATAAAAAAATTTTAAGTATTGTTTATAATAAATAAATTTAAATTATGTTTTTAGGCTGATTACTACAGTAAACCACTTTATTAATATCCACTTGCCACTAAAAAGTATTTGGCGAAAGAAAAAAATATAATATTAAAACTTTTGTGTGGGTAAAGGTAAATAACAACACGCTTATCTTGAACTGCTTGAAGCGAGCGTTAAATTAGCATTGCGCTAAATCGGTAATATTTGTTGACGCACACTTGTCGACCAGTGCACTCTTCGCGTGCCACGTGCGATGTTGCCATTCACCCCACAAGTAGTTAAACGTTTGTTAGCACTCAAGAAGGGCAACGAAGACACGGTCGAGGGCAAGTGGTCCGAGAAGGCAGTAAAGAACTTAGTTAAGAAAGTTAAGAAAAATATTCAACTCGAAGAACTAGAGCGTGCTATATCCACGCAGAATTGCAATACACGCTGTGTTACCGTACCACGTAGTAAGCCAGGTGCTACTGGCGAAAATTTACGCAAAGGTCAACCGCACGTCATATATTGTCGAGTATGGCGTTGGCCGGATTTACAATCCCAAAATGAATTAAAAGCCTTGGATCACTGCGAATACGCTTTTCATTTGCGTAAGGACGAGATTTGTATTAATCCATATCATTATAAAAAGATTGAACTATCTATTTTGGTGCCAAAATCACTACCCACACCACCAGACTCAATAACCGACTATCCATTGGATAATCACACCCACCAAGTACCGAACAATATCGATTATAATGCAACAATACGTAGTGATTCGTTGAGTCCTCCACAGTATATGGAATTATCAAATCGTCACCAACAGCAACAACAGCATTCACCAGGTGGACTGGTTGGCCTAAGTATGAGTGCCGCTCAACAGCAACAAATGACTGGTTCACTTGTAGGCCCGAACGCTTGCAACATGGACTCACAATCAAGTGTACTAAGTGTTGGTAGTAGCATACCGAATACGGGCACACCGCCCCCCGGCTATATGAGCGAAGATGGAGATCCTATTGATCCAAATGACAATATGAATATGTCAAGATTGACACCGCCAGTCGATGCTAGTCCCGTAATGTATCATGAGCCTGCATTTTGGTGCTCCATATCATACTACGAACTAAATACTCGTGTCGGCGAAACCTTTCATGCGTCACAACCATCGATTACAGTTGACGGTTTTACTGATCCCTCCAATTCGGAGCGTTTCTGTCTCGGGTTGCTTTCCAATGTTAATCGTAATGACGTAGTCGAAACCACACGTCGTCATATTGGCAAAGGTGTACGCCTCTATTACATTGGTGGCGAAGTATTTGCCGAATGTCTCAGCGATTCGTCGATCTTTGTGCAAAGTCCCAATTGTAATCAACGTTATGGTTGGCACCCAGCAACCGTCTGTAAAATACCACCTGGTTGCAATTTGAAAATATTCAATAATCAAGAATTCGCTGCTTTGCTATCTCAATCAGTTTCGCAGGGTTTTGAGGCGGTCTATCAATTGACACGCATGTGCACCATACGAATGTCGTTTGTAAAAGGTTGGGGTGCCGAGTATAGACGTCAGACAGTCACTTCGACACCGTGCTGGATTGAATTACATTTGAATGGACCATTACAATGGTTGGATCGTGTGCTCACACAGATGGGCTCGCCACGACTACCATGCAGCTCAATGTCTTAAGGTGAAAAAAAGCGTTGCGACTTGTTTATGCCGAGTATATATGTATATGTATGTGTAGTGCATTAATTAAATGACTTAGACACATGTAAATTTGTATGTACGACAGTACATAAACAAAATAATTAATTTTATTAACAAAGTTAATAATTACACACATTATAGATACATACATACATATATATGCAGATGTACGTATATGCAAGCGCACAATGCAAACCGTTTTTATATTCAGTGATTCGATTTTAACAATTGTATGTAAGCATATCCGTACGATACAATGATATTTATCTCTCTGAGTAGCCGGAAAACACTCAAGCATCCAAAGCTTTCAGCTATTTTTCATATACAAAGTTATTTCCGAAATTCTGTGTTTAGACTTTTTTTCGATTTGAGATTTTAAGAGGTATTTTGAGCTTTGAAAGCCCTCATCCTCAAATGTTAGACACATATTAATTATTATTTTTATTTTTATTTATACCCACACCGCAAGTGGCTAGCTATCATTTACCAATTACAATACAAACTTACTGTTTACGGTATGTGCTAAAGAGAAGTTTAATTTTGTTGGTAATATAACGTAATTACGCTAATACTGAAGCCAGTTAAACCATGTTATGTGTGTTTTACATATATTGACTCAACATGTTTGCATTAAATAATAATTTATTTATATTTATGGTTGATGAAAAGTAGCGAGGCGCAGGAAAAATTTTTAATTTTATAAGAATTTCGACAGTGAACGCAAAAGAAAAGCTCCATAATGATTATGAAAATTAGAAACATTTTTTGGGCTTTCTACAGTTCGTTGACCACATGCAAAAATGTATGTATACATGTCGAAGCAAAAACCATAGACAAATTAATTAATTATGCTGTAGTCGAAACACATTATAAAATCTATTTACGTGTCTTCTATTTTTACAAACAACTTAAAGGACACTCTCAAGCAAAGCGTATTAATAGTAAATGGGCTAGACTGCCTTTGGCATACAAATTTATATAAGAAAGTATTACAATTCACATTAAGCCAGGAATTGTAAGCTGTTTCGCTGTTTCTTATCCTTTTTGAACTAATCGCCGCAATACAATGCTTGTATTTAATGGAATAATGAGAAGGCATATCGGTCTGGCGCACTTTATTATTAAATCGTTTTGTTCACAAAGTAGTACACTCTCCTTATAGATTCATGTGTATAAATGTATGCATAAACATATCCATACATACATATGCAATAAAAATAAAAATAATCTCAAGTAGCAATATACTTGAAAATAAGAAATCAAGATAAATACAAACAAATAATGAGCTTTTAGATTTTAAAGTTTTAACAATAGATTTTGTACCGTTTACACACCCACACATACATACATACGTACATATACATACACACACATCCACACACAAACTGATTGCATGTATCCAGGGTATGTGGAAGCACATACCTAAAAATACAATATAATTACATATATATATATATACTTTACATATGTATGTATACACAAATGGAAAATAAACACAAACAGCACGATTGGGATAATTGCTATAAGCAAAACATGGAAAAAATTCAAAAGTTTTTAGCACTTTGTAAGTTGTAAAATTTAAAATAAAACTTCTTATTGGAAACCCCGTATTTGAAAAAATTTAAAACAAGATAAAATCTAAGTAAATGAAATTTGAATGAAAAATTATACAATATATATATATATGTATATATATATATATATAACCTTAGCTTAATAAAAACGCCTTTTTCTTGTTCTAAAAAAAATACTAAAGAATAATTTTTTCATGTAAAAGTTGATTACTCAAAGAGTTATAATTTTGTTAAAACCAGTGAGCGATTTAAACGAAGCGCTGCAATTTGTTTTTACAATCAATAGTTATTAGCGACAATGCAATAAATTTTGCTTACATACATATTTACGTACTACACATATAAATTTTAATTGCTACCACACTGTGATCCCTCGTCATGGCATCAATAGCCAAAAAACAATGCAAGTCAAACTCAAACAAGTAAACAAACTGCCATAGAATTTAATATAATTAGATTTTTAATTACAAATACTTGCAGCGCTCGTTTAAATGGCTCTAAAACATATATTTATATACTTTTTACGTAGAATTACACATACATACAAACATAGATTTATATGCAAACTTTCAAGTACCAAAATCACGAAGAAAGAAAGAATGTGTTGCCCCTCGCAAAATTTCAAAAAACGACATATTCGAGTATGCTTTCGGTGAACAATGTAAATATTACAAATATTTTATTTTCTTTTGTTGTTTTTACGCTGACAAACCAACCAACAATTACAATCTTGTGTTTCTTTTTGCTAACGTAAAGAATATATAACAATTTGTATTTTTATTTGTCCGATCTGCGTAACGGTTATTTTATCCTATATAATAACATTTATGAATGTAATTTTGAACTAGAATTTTGGTATTAGCATGTTAATTTATAAGCGAATCTAAGTCCCAGTTATTACCGCTCTATTACTCTTTATATGCATATATCATAATATGAATAATAAGCTATGTATGATAAGGATACTAAACTAATAAAGTAAAATAAAAAAATAATGTTTCACTTGGGGTTTACATTAATTTCTTACCTACCTTCTTTTGTTAACTCCGTCGGCTCACCACAGACATGGCAAACCGCGGGTAAATTATTGAACATCTGGCCTGTAGAAAGTTTGTTTCATGTCCTTGTTGTTGTTGAAACTGAAAAAATATTCCATAAATATGTTTTCGGATCATTTTGCGGGGGTAACTGTTCTTGGCCGGAAAAAAATCAGGGTTCCTCCGGAATAAAGAAACGACTGTCGCGGGAGCTGTTAGATTTGAGTCGCCTCTTAAAACAGCCTAGCTTTACCGCAGGTAAATTGTTGATCACCTAACTTGCAGGAGGATAGTTTCATTATTCAATGAATGTGGTTAATTTGAATTATAAAACACATTTAATATTCAACACAGCACTCAGTTTATGCAATCTTCCTTTTTTTGTATGATCTCAAAAAATAATCGTAACGAAAAAAATTTAGATTTTCATATTCTAATTCCCGTTATTTTTATAGTATGAATGGTTCAAATATATCGAGAGACAGACGATAGAGAACATTTAATAGGAGGAAAAGAAATAGAAATGAAAAAAACGTTTTAGTTTTATGCTAAAACTTTTCTTATTTTGTAACTCTGCAAAATCAAACGTTTGACTGATATTCCAAAAATACATATTTATTTAAAATGTTTCAAAGAGACATATAGGTAAATAATAGCTAGTTAGATGTAGAATCGAAATGGAAACAGCGCAAAATCGCCGTGTACTGCTTAAGCTTTAAGACCATTCTTAAAAGAAGGTGTCTTGACAAGAATTCTGGATCCGTCTTACTTAGACAGAGAACCTCAACAAAGAACGTATATTACTATTATATTAATATTCGTTCTTTGACCTCAAATTATAATTTAATAAACGTTCTCTGGTAACAGGAATCATTCACAATAAAACTATTTATCGACTATTAAGGTATATTGCACATATCTAAGAAAGCAACGAGCTACAGTATAAAATAAACAAATTTTTGTCTGCTGAAATTTTTTCCTTGAGACAAAATTAAAACTATAAGATTGGAATGACTGACACCATAGTTCAAAAATTTCACTGTGGTGAAATATTTGTAACCGACAATTTGTGTATGATACTTGAGTGCAAAACATGCAAGGAGCAGTTTGGAGTTTATTCAAAATTCCTGGATCATATATTTCAAAATCATTATGATAATTGGACGAGACCTAAAAGCTGCATGCCTACTCTCGAAAGAAGTACCATAATTAAGAAGATTGAACCGACTGATAATCGGGACTTGAGTGATGATGAAAATTTAGTGACAGAACAACTGGAACCAATAGAAGACATGATCATGGAAGATGACTTCACGGTATAATTAATATGCTAGTAATTATTTACTTCACAAAGTAATGTAAACAATAATTTCAGGAAGGAACATCTGTACAAAAATCAACAGCAGAAGGAAATCTAGAAGGCCAGCGGCTATCTATTAAGAATGCACAAAGCGCTGCAAAGAGAAAATATAAATGTAAAATATGCGGCTTTTCCGTAACTGGTCAACATAATTTACGTGGTCATATTCAAAGACACAGTAATATAAAGCCATTCACTTGTTTAACATGTAACAAAGGTTTTTACACGAGCACAGAACTGAATATCCATACTAGACGTCATTTAGGCGATAAGCCGTATGTTTGTTCTTTTTGTGGGAAAGATTTCGTTTCCGCAGGAACGCTAACTACTCATGAAAAGAAACACTTGGGTATACGAAAACATAAATGTGATCAATGTGAGAAGAGCTTTTTCACTCCATTTCAGCTTAGAAATCATATTGTGGTGCATACGCAAGAACGCAACTATTCTTGCGAGCAGTGTCAAGCGAAATTTTCGCGCAAGAGAACTTTACTGACTCACATGAAATTACATGAAAACGCTCTAGAGTACGAATGCATTATATGTCATATGCGTTTCAATCAGAGACCTACACTACTATGGCATGTGAAAAGTAAGCATAACGTATTGCGTGAGGGAAGTGAAGGAATGGACCCATCACAGTCGAAGGCTGCGAACAACATTAATTGAAAAATTGTAAAAATTATAAATAATTAAATAAATGTTGATATTTAGTATATGAATGTAGTAATGCATTATTCTTAAAAAAAAAAAACAATCGTTATAAACAAAAGATGTTCATTTTGATACGAAATTGTATTGTGCAGAGTATTCATTTATGTACTTCACAAATTCCAGAGATTGGAGTTTGTTTCTTAAACTTTATTCTTTTACATTGCTCTTGGTTTATCTTCCATTTCGTTTCGTATTCGGCTTTATTATTTTCAGGATCGAATTCAGATTTTTCTAAGCAAAGCTAAATCAAAGATGGCTAGATACGAAACTGCGGTCTGATTTTGTGTTGTTAGTTTGAGAAAAAATGAAAAACCAAAACGGGTAGGCATATTTTAGGCCTGGAATTCATTAAAGATGAAGAAAAACGTGCAAAAAGCTGTATTTTAAGCAGTTTTTGAGACTAAGCTTTTTTTGTTGTCCAGGCATATTTTCCATAATTAGGATCAAATATTTATGATTTAATGAACAAATTAATAAAACTATTTAATTTTTTTGTGCACCGTCTTTCATTTCGATGTGAATATTTTTCTTTTTACTTTATCAACTGGCAAATGTAATTTGACGTAGACGAAAAAAGCAGTGTTGCCAATTTTTTTTTTTTAAATTGTTATCAGTTCGCCAGAATACCAAATTCAACTTCGGGTGTTAAAGAAAAGTAACAAGATTTACTTTATCGGTAACAGTGAGAATACGCCCGATAATGTCAAAAAATCGTGTCTGTCAATTTTATTTTGAATGAAAGTGCCTTCCTTTTTTGTATCATAATTACACCTACATATGGCTAAAAATTTAGCGAATTGGCAACCATTTCAAGTATATAAAATGAAAGTCAAGGCGAATTCTAATTCTGTCAAGACGAATTAATTTGGCAAACTTCTTTATAAATGTAAACAAATCATTTTGCAGAATTGTTAGTTACGTGCATTAAATTTACCATTTTTACACAATATTAGTGCATAAATTATTTCTTACTTAAACATATAATAGGAATGGCTGAAGTGGCACAAGAAAGACAACTTTGTGGTGAGGTGTATATAACAAAAACCAACTATGTGTTGGTAGTGCAATGCAAATTTTGTGGCCAACAATTTAGTGTTCATGATAAATTTCTCAACCATATCTTTGATAATCATTTCGATGTCATAGACGAACTTGATGATTACCAAGATATTTCAAATGAATATGATGATATCGATGTTGGGCAAGCCGAGAATGCTGGCCCGGAAGAGAATTGTGTATCAACTAATGCTAGTGAGGAATTCCAAAATATTGTCGAGAATACGCTTTCAAATGCCAGTGAATGTGAATATATGGAGGCAGATAATATACTAAAGGAGGAAGATAATATATTAAAGGAGGAAGATAATATATTAAAGGAGGAAGATAATTTTATTTCGGGGGAAGAAAATATTTTGACGGAAATTGCTATTTCAAAGTTGGATATGGACAACGATAAACAAGACACTACAACCGTACAAGTTATCGTAAGTTTTTTTTTTTAATTAAACAATCATATACATGCATTTTTTCATAAAAAACATTGCTTTTCACTTTTAGAAACCCAACCGGAAGTGTAAAGCTTCAAATCCCACAGAACTAAACGAAACAAATATTCGGCCAGTATGTTATAAATATCGTTCAAGAAATGGTGAGGAACGAAATTTTAAATGTAAATATTGTGAATACACATTTGCCAAAATAACGGTATTGCGGAGACATGAAGAGAGGCACAGCAATAATAAACGCCATTCATGCACAATTTGTGACATGAAATTCTTCTCAAGCACAGAACGGACCGCACATATGAGACGACATTCCGGCGAACGGCCTTTTGTTTGCACTTATTGTGGTAAAAGTTACGTTACTCACAGCGCTTTAAATATACATGAAAAACGCCACAAGGGCCAAAGGAATCATAAATGCGAACATTGTGAGAAATGTTTTTACGATGCCCATCAATTGCGTAAACACGCTGTGGTACATACTAAGGAACGTAATTATTCATGTAACCTATGTCAAAGGAAATTTACAAGAAGTAGTGCACTAAAAATGCATATGAAATTGCATGAAAACGCACTACGATATCAATGTAAAATATGTGAAGCGCGTTTCAATCAGAAACCCACTTTAATTTGGCACGAGAAAAGCAAGCACGGTTTAGTGCGTAGCAGTGGTGGTAACAACGTGGGCGGAACGCTACCGGCATCGCATAACGATGATATAATATATGAGTGTAAACGTTGTAAAGTAAACTTTGGAGATAGAAGTGCGTTGTTAGAACATCAACAACTTGTACACGCTAAAGCTGATGCTTTGGCTACATTTGAGGCACTCGAAGAAGTAGAAAGTGAATCCATAGATTATTCTTCTATATGAATGGAAGATCTATTGTATTTTGATGCATAATAAAACACATTATTTAAAAATGTAAAAGTTCCGCAAAGGAGATCCTTGTATACATTAACAACGAGGTTTATTGAGCTATATTTCGATATGTTCATGCGGTTTTTGCTTGCAAATTATAAAAAATATTTTCATCCTTCTATTTTATAATCAGCTCAACTATTTTATTTCGTTATAAAAATAAGAAAATTAAATATTTATTTTATTTAAACCATGATTGACAAAATTAATATCAAAATACCAATTAATTAAACTCATTGAAGGTACTTTTTCTTTAAATAAATGGAGTTTTGAAATAGTCGTAGGCTTTTATACATATACGTTCTATATCTTTTATTTGATTAATTATCACTATTCACCACTGTTATTTCATAACAAAGATCATCCGGTTGCGCATGCAACTGTACAATATCTGGCTGTTGCGTTACATACTGAAATTCTTTTTGATCTTCTGATTCCTCAGTTTGCTCTACAATTTCTTGTGGTTGCAGCAATAAATCCTCTTCTTCCTGTTGTTGTTGTAATAACCGCTCCTCTTCTAGTTTTCGCTGTGTGTTGTTACGACACTGAATGGAGCGTTTATGTGCATCAAAGTAACTAATGTCAGTGAATTCCTCTTGACAAATCTCACAATGGAAGTATTTTTGATTAAGATGTAATAGTTTTCGGTGCCGTGCCATTTTATGTGCATCTCGACATTGCATGCCACAGAACGGACATACCAACATACGTCTATTACCCATATGTACATTGCGTACGTGTTCTTGTAACGAAAAATTTTTATAATACGCCTTCGGACAATGTTCACATTGAAAGCGTCGCATTTTCTCATGCGTGGACTCACGATGCCGCTTTAGCATTGTATTTTGCGAAAAGGTTTTACCACAAATTTCACAAATATGTTCTTTCTCTTGATGTCGTCGCTGATTATGCACACGTAAATCTTGTTTTGTGGAAAAATATAGTTTACATGGTTCACATACATAAGGCCTTATCCCCATATGACGCCGCGCGTGACCAGCCAAGTAACTGTGATCTTTGTATGATTTGCTACAATAAATGCAGGCGTAGCGGTTCGTACCGGGAACAAGGTGTGTTTTAAGGTGCGCTGATAGTTTGGATTTATGCATAACATCGGGGCAAATGCCGCATTCTACAGGCAGTTTCTCATCAGAATCTGCACTGGACAAAGTGAATTCTACAATGGGGATACCATCAGCATCGTGGTCGACAATGTTGGCCACAAGATCGTCAAATAGAAGGTAACGTTTAACGCCTTTACGTTTTTGAGGAGCAGGTGGAGGAGTTTCTTCTTCTACCTTAGGTACAATTTCTTCTTCCTTAATATACTCAATGGAGGCAGGCATGATTTCTGGTACTATTTCGACAAGGTCATCGGTTACTTCGTAACCTTGTTCAGTGTCATCCTCCTCAATTACCTCCATTATAATCGATTCAGGCTTTATTGTCACATCTTCCAGCTGTTCCACTTCAATATCGTCTTCCTCTTCGTATATGAAAGCCTCTCCTTCCACAGAGTCGCAATTGTTGGTAAACTCATATTCGATATACTCAGTAATTTCATCTACACCGTCGCTCATATTAGTCAATAAATCTTTTAGTTAATTTTTTTTGAGAAATAACTTCTGAAGAAAACTGTTAAATTAATTAACGTTAACAGCAGCGTGCGTAAGTGATGCAATGGACATTGGCTAATGCTCGCCTCCCTGTATTTAGCGTTTGTTGGTTAAGATTTCGTATTTATTCACTTCACTTTATTTTTTTATTCCAATTGTTTTCTAATCTAGTAATGTTGTTTATTATTTGTTGACAAAATAACGTACTTCAAATTCCCGCCCGTGGACGAGTTGATTCGAGGATTGTAGGAAAAATTCTGGATGGCTGCTAAAAGCAGAAAATACTTTTAATGCGTCACTGCCAGTTTCATTCACCGCAGATAAAACATGGCATTTTGTGCAAACGTCAAATGTAAATTTATTGTGAATGAGGTGGTTTTAAAAGGCTCTTCATCAGAGAACTTATAATAACGAGAAGGTGCAATTGACTTTTTGTTCGATGCTCGATTGAAGTTTCTACAGAGCTAGAAAATCTCGGGAAAGGGATTCACCACTCTGTTAAAATTTGGCTGTAAACTAACAGTTTTGATAGTTTAGCATAAAGAAAAACTGTTATTAACGACAACAGAAGTAAAACCAATAGAAATATAATAAATTCAATGAAAATCAATTGATTCATTAATTTTTTTCTTCTTCGTATGGTGTTTTGCTATTATTTAGTTAAAAAAAAATAAAGAAAAAGAAAGTACTAATATTTAAAAAAACGAAAATATATTATATAAATTAAATTTTTTTATTTTTGTTCATTACATTATGATTTTTTATTATTACAAAAAAAATTAAATGAATAAAAATTAATTATTTGGAATATATGATATTATATATTGGCTAATTCGATAGGAATTTGAACTTGCGTTAGAAGCAAAAATGCCAAAAATGTAAGTATTTTTGCGCGCTACCAACTGCGCCACAGCACAATATACACTTTTGTTGGCATATTCTGCACTTATACCGAATCAAAGAAATAGACCAATAGTTTTTCTTCTTGTTATTCAGTTAAATATACGAAAGAATTGTTCTCCCCGCGCGCACTTCGTCCACAATCGACTTCGTTTATTTGCACAGTGCGCGCGCGTGCATGCGAACAATGCGTACATTACTTCAAAGGATTATGCTCATTAGTTTATGTTACTGAAAAGTGTAGTTTTGCCAAATTATACTGCATTTTGAATTGATTTGATATTTCCAACCTCTTTTAGATCTGAATTCAAATTATATTTATTAAAATCTTATGGTTTGGGGGCATTTAGGAAACATTAATTTTTGAATTGCAATACATTTGTTCGCCTTATCGAGAGTATGTTTATGCGTAACGGGTACAGAAATTTCTTCGACTTCTGATTTTTGTGAGCTGTGGCTTGTGGAAGAGCTGCGCGCGGGGAGAGGTATTGCTTTCGCTTACATACATACGCTTTGTTGACGATGCGAACAATATTTTTTGCAAGTTCAACTAGGCGACATATATGTACATATGTATATATGCTGTCATGGCAATGTTGTACATATGTACGCAAATGAAGGCATAATATGTACATACAAATATATGTATGTATGAATATTTAAAGTGGATAATATATGATAGATTTTTGTTTTGAGAAATCCAAAAAATTTAATTAATAAATATAACATTTGAACCAAGTCATAAAATAAATTGGAAAATACTATGAAATGAAATTAGAAAATTAAATAGTTATTTTATATTAAATTATTTAAAAAATTTTTATTTTAATATTAATTAAATATTTTAAATACTATATTAAACATATGTGTGCATACATGTAAATATGGACATTTATATGTAATACCATAAAGTTATTTAAAGCCAAATAATTTCAAATATTTTAATTCATTCATAAACACAAGCCATTCATGCTATCAATCACAAAAACAACTTCATATGCGCAGCTCCTTTTACTCTAGGCGCTACTCTATTCAAAAAGCTATTTGCTATAAGAAGAAGAAGCATAAGTGCAACAAAAACAACTACCGTATAGAAACCCTCTACCCTTCTACTCTTCATCAACAAACAGTTTCCTCAAGCGAAGTCAAATTTTGCTAAAAATCCCAATTTGATGTTCAACTCACGCCAAAGTGAAAACACATACATTTAAGCATTTTAATATGTATACGAAAAACGCACACAATCTTAATAACGCGCATACCCTTCCCTCTTTCATTCCGCCATCCACAAACGTTTTCTTCGCGACGATGACAAAATTTACAAAAATCAGAATTTAAGTTGCTCTGAAGTTGAAGACACATGCATTCAAAGCGACCAATGTGTATACGAAAATCACACACATGCCCAAAAACTTGCCTATTCTCTTCCCCTATACCCGCCATCCACAAGCAGTTCCATTTCGACGATAGCAAAATTTGCAAAAATCAGAAATTCTAGTTGAGCTGAAGTAAAATACAAACACATTCAAAGGTACCTGCATGTATATGAAAGACCCATACATACACAAAAGTATGCCAACTTCTTTTGCCTCGCACACCGAATCAACAAGCAATTCCTTGGCGACGATTTAAAATTTGGCAATTTCAAAAAATAAAACGCGAAAAGGAATCGAGAGAAGGATTTGAACCCGCGCAGCTTGGACAAAAGTCAATCGATGCAAACCATTTTGCCACTGATCACTTCGCATTTTCGTTGACAGAATTGTTATTTATTTAGATCGCTGACAAAAGTATTGACAAAATCTCAAATAATATTCACTATGAGCAACAAATACAATTATAATTTCAGTCATTCATAGTGAAAACTCTAGAATTTTTTTAACAATATTTTAATACTTTTGAAACTTATTTCTTTACATCGAACTTTTTAAATAAGTTTTAATATTTTTAATGATTTTTAAAAAGAAATTTTTTTTACCTTTTTTAAATTTATTAATTTTTTTATTATTTTTTAAAATGTTTGATGTTTTTCTTATATTAAATTCATATTTAGCAAACTTGAAATTGCCAAAGCAAAGGTATGCAATAAATTGAAAAAATAATTTAATACGATTCTCTGTTTTTAGCAGAAAATCTATTCCGATCTCTGCTAACTTTATCAGTGACTGTTATAGAAATCATGGTGAATCCCTTTCCCGGTGTGGTGAATCCCTTTCCCAAAGTTTTTCAGAAAATGTTTGAAGCAAGTTCGATGTTGCAACGAATTTGCACCTTCTCGTTATTATAAGTTCTCTGCTTCATGATAAATTGTGTATAGTTGTACCAGAGAACGTAAATATAAATTGTATTTACGTTCTCTGGTTGTACTATATCAAAGAACGTTCATTAATATACGTTCTTTGGCACCGTCATTTGTAAAATCTATTGTGAATGGTATACGATTTTTTTAAACCATTGCAAAAAATAAACAGGATTTCCTGTTACTGCTTCCTTTAAACCAACTCTGTTTAAAAAGAGTTTATTCCCAAAATAATCTACATCATTGGCTTACATTGGCTTTCAACAGTGCTATAGCCGTGATTCATTTGATTAAAAGTGAGCAAAAACTCCCAAAAGGAGTGAGTTGGTGCAAATTTTCAAGATAGAGTTAAATTGTAAAAATTGTATCTAAATTAAATGAATGTTATATAAAATGCTTTAAAACTAGAAGCCTGCTAATGGACTCACATCTATTTATAAGTATATACACATACTTATATTAATATATGTATAAGCATATATAAAAGCAAAAACAACGAAAACCAGCCGGTAAGCTTAGTGGACTTCCACGTAGTGGCTTAGACCGTTTTAATATTTTTATAGCATCTGAAAATTCTCATGACCTTTTCAATATCATAAGAACATTCATATGAATATTTCTATACTACATGTACGGTCGACATCACAGTTAACATACAGATGTATGTATGTTTGTATTTGCAATTGACTTTACAGTTTTCTTTTATTTCCGTATTATTTTAATACTTTCGTGTTATGCGATAATACATACTTGTAAAATGAAGAATAAGTTTTACATATTCTGTGTGTACATACCTACATACTCACATATACATACATATGTATGTACATGAACAAAATTTTATAAAACTGGCTTAGTGTGACACCCAACGCAAGACTGTACGCGTGCAATGAACGTATTAAAAATTATTGCTACTAGCACCAGCTATTTTAGACACACATACAACATATGTTAACATTAAGACGGATTGGATTTGAGCAGTAGCTAATGACTGCTTCCAATTACGTTTAAGCGGCTTAAATAGTGAACGAGCGAGGTGTTAACTGTTTTCGGAAGTTGGCGATAACAAGATCCCGAAAACAGTTTCGCACTTACATCAAACAGCTCATGCTGAAGGCATGCGGCACGCGTGTGCATGCTCTGCAGTGTTTCGCAGCATTGCAGTAGCCGCAATATAATAATAGAAATAATCTATGTATATGCATTAAAAGGTAAGAGTAAGACTTTATCAAGTGCAGCGTACAGTACACTAGCACTTAGTCCATTCAGTCTTTCGTTCATTCATACATCTGTTAGATTTAATTTTTTCTATTTACTTTGTTTTCGATTTGTTTTTGTTTTGCGGTTTACATGACGCGGTCGCTCGCTGCTTATGCAGCTACTCTTGCTGTTGGTTAAATTTTCTGCATTTCTTTCAAGTCACTCGCTCACATTTGGTGGCTTCTTCGCTTATTATATTTTCACACTTGGCAGCGTTTGGTCGTTCATTTATTGTGCGCGTTAGCTTTTGCGTCTGCCTTTTCGTTTCACCATTTGAAAAATGCGCGTTACATTCGTACGTATTGTGAGTTTTTAATTTTGTGCTTAACTTCTTGCGAATATTTCATAGCTTCAGACATTTCAGTTACTTCCGTTCGTTCGTAAACACAGTTGCAGTTCGCTTGCCGCTTTCGATACAACGGTCTGCGGTTCGGGCGCGTATTCAACGTACGAGTATTTTTCTTAATTTATTGGTTTGAAATAAAACTGTGTCTGAAGCGCGTATACCTTATATGTTATTTAAGGTTTGCCAATAAAAGTGTCGTAAAATGTTTTAATCGATTAGTACCGATTACTAGATAAGTGAACAATTGAGAAATCAATTAAAATAATACGATTTTTTATCCTTCCAACTCTTCAAAAATGAAAAAATAAATAAACTATTGTATAGTATTTTGAAACAGTTTTGAAAACTGAGTACGGATTTTATCCGGTAAGTTATTTTTAACAATTACCTTTCATACATTTTAAAAATGCTCGGACTTTAGTTTAAGAGACTTAACAAATCGTATAAAGGACGTAATAGGTCTATTGTTCCTGATGTTAAAGCGGCTTGCTTAATTTTGTTTTGGAGAAGACAACGTTAGACGCATAAGTCATCTAATAGCTCGTAAGAGCTATTTCCATCTGCTCATTCAGGATATACGGCCGGATGTACATATGTGAAGTGGGTTAGAGACTGCAACACTTTTCAACCGCAGAAAAACAGTTACACAACCTCCAAAGAGAGGTAGTAATGTTCAATAAATGTTTTCTTCAGTTCTAGCAATAAATGATCCCCCTACCCTAAGGTTAACCCAGCTCAATAAGAGAATATCTTGAAATTCTTAAAAATCCCTCATACCATTTTTTCGCACGCTAACAATGCAGTGATATTGAAATTAAATAACCCCGAAGGCGGTCTTCTGAGCATGATTGCCAGCAAGTAGACAAGCTGGAAGCCTAATCACAAAACCAATGTAAAAGCGCCCTAATAAGAAGACACAATGATGATGCTTCAATATTTTTATGTTTACCGCTACGTCATCATGCTTAATCATTGTGCACATTGCAGATTTCAAATTGTGGACTTATCGGCTACAGGCCGTCAAAGAAAGAGCTAAAAAAAAAAAACAAAAAATAAACAAATTATTATGTCAGTGGTTATCGGCGGAATATTGACCGATGTTCAGGGTGAAGATGAATGAATGATGATCATGCTGATTACTCAAGAAAGCAGACGAAAATAAAACAAAACGAATAAAAGTAATAAAACGAAAAAAAAAAATCAACATTTATGATCATTGATTATGAGTTGAGCTGATCGAACAAAGATAAGTGACTACAATTCGTGGTTGGCTTCGATTTGAAGGCGTTGGGGTGTTGCCGGCAAAGAGGTCACAGTCATATATGCGGGTTTTGTAACTGTAAATGCATGCGAAATGCACGACGCATTAGTTTTGTAATAAACACCTGAGGCATAATTAATAACGCGGTTTTTTTTTTGAGGAATCTTCCACGGTATCTTTAGCAACTTAGCTTTTCAAATAGGAATGTAAATTTACATATGTACATATATTTTATTGTCAACGCGCCAAAATAAATAGATATTACTTAATCAGTACACCGTTAAACGCCTTTGTTTATTATTACAATATTATTTTTATTTTTTTTATAATATTTTGATGATCACTCAAGGAAAGGCTGAGTAAAACAAACATGTTAATATTTATTTTTTCTGCACACTGAAGGTTCACTTCAAGCTCATATTTGATAAAATAAATAAATATTTATGCACCTACATACATATAAATTAATATATGTTTTCTATTAGTGCTATCAGTGACTCTCTTTTCAATTATATTTCTTACTGATCTTAACACGCTCAACTACAATAATACTTTATTTAATCGGACTTTATCAGCTAGTGGCCGGCTGGCCAACGTAAATGTGCTGGCACTGTACCTTTCACATGGGCTGCGAACCCTCTTTTGACCCTCGCCTTGCCACACAATGGTCACATTTTGCCGACATCGCTTTCAAGTTAATGTCATGATTGACTCCGTCTCGTAAAAACCACGGCAGCGCACATAATACGTTCTGATATTGTCGTCAAAAAGTTTATTTAGAGGTACATTTGAGAAACCCCTCCTGTTTGTTCTGATCAAGCATCGAAAGCGCTTCATTTGCCTCCGAAAAGAGATATTAATGGTAAAAATACCGTGAGTGGAGGCATTGTGGTAGAGCTCTACAAACACCCGTACCGACACGAAGCCGAAGCTTATGTAGAGGCTATTAGAGATTATTCCATAAGTACTTAGAAACGAAGACACATACAATAAAATGTACATCTTAAAACATGGACTATAAGAAAATTTAAAAGAATATAGATGTTGGTTCTAAAAGCCATACAATTTTCATTAGTTTACTTCTCCAACAAAATAAAAAAAAAAACATAATTACAATTGGTTACCTTCGGCGTTCACTTTCCATAGTTTTCACTTTCTATTAAAATTTCTACGATTGCCTTTTAAAAGTCTTATTTTAAATATTTTTTATTAAAATAAAAATATATAAAATATATGTATATTAAGTTTTTTTGTTTGAATCAAATTTTATGCGTAGATTTAATTGTATTATTGTATTATTTTGATTGGCCTTAACTACCAAACGGCAGCCGAAATCACAATAAAAATATTTTCTTTTATTCACGGCTTTATAAATTTTAATCTTCGGAAAATGTTGATTGTTAATAATGAATGGTTGTAATTTGTACTAAACGACATACATATATATGTACATACTTAAAATGTACCCTATGCCTGCAGCATCAATTCTCTATTCATAATTTTTCTTTATCGCTTCTTTTTTCTTATTTGTTTAGCTTCCTTTATTCGTTTTACCCAAACTAACCTTCAGCTAAGCCACTTTTGCAGCTAAAATAAATACAAACACAATAAATGATGGTCATGCTCGCATTGTTCGGTTGATTTTCAGTTGACATTTTTTCATTTGCTGATGAAGAAGAAGCGACGACGCGCCGCACATAAAGCTTCGCTGCTGCGGCTGTCAGTATCGTTGGACCGTTTGAATTTTTTCGTTTATTATTTTTTTTTTCTGCCGCCCCATTGGCTTATGCAGGCAATTTGCATTTGTAATTAACTGACTTGCGATGACTTAGTTAAGATTTTGAAATTTTGAATAAAGCTACGTAACTGTATTTGAACAAAATAGTTATATATGTATGTACAAACTGAGTGTGTGTTTGTGTTTGTTTCATATTTGCAAGTGCTGCCCAAAGCCATTTAAGCACCCTCCTGCTTTTGTGCGAGAATTTAGGACGGCGGCTCACGTCTGTTGTTGCCTAAGCTATACTCTGGCATCAATGTCTTTCCGATCGCTGTGTTTCCCAGCCACTTTTTGTCACGTTGAATTTGCATGTCTTACACAGTTTTCCAAAATGATGCTTCTAATTTCGAATTGGAGCATTTGCATTATGATGAATTGCTTTTTTTTGGGCAGAAGCGGCTGGGAATGGATTTTGTATGGCAACTTAATGAAATGGAGTAAAATTAAAAAAAAAAACTACGATTGTGATACCATATATTTATGTGCATATGTGCGTACGTTTGCTGCCTATGCAAATATCTGTGTATATATGTACATATGTATTCGCGTAAGTAGTGCGACGCATGACAACCGGTTCCGGTGACAAGACGTGTGAACACTTAAAACAACATTTAGTTATAATGTCATGTTGTGTGTATGTATTTTTTGCATATTAGTTTAAGCGTTCATATGTATATAGTTATTGTGATTATCAGATAACGGAAAAATTAAAAAAAAATATATATATAACAAATAAAATAAAATAAATTAAAAGAAAATTTAATAAAATATTAATATAAAATAAATAAAATAAAATAAAATTAAAAAATAAATTAAATTAAATTAAATGAAGTAAAATGGTATGAAATGAAATAAAATAAATTGAATTGAAATAAATGAAATAAATTTAAATAAACTCAAATGAAATGAACTAAAATGAAATTAAAATTAATATTAATTAAGTTAATGTAAATATATTGAAATGAAAAATATAAAATTAATTAAATACCGCTGAAGCGATGTTTGACCGAGCTGCTCCTCCAATTTGTGTTTTTCCAAGAAATAGAGTGTCCTACAGCTGCCTTCAAACGTTAATTAAATAATTTGTTTTTATTTCAAATCATATTAAAAGAAAATAAAATGCAAAATAGAGACACTGCTTGGTCCTGTTTTTGGTGCTTTACGGTGTGTCATTAACCTCAGGAGCTTTATTGGCTTTAAGTTTGGGCGTCTATCTCGGGAAGTGTGGCCCTTGACATACGTTATATCACAAGTTGGGAAGTTAAATTCAGTTAAAACTTCAGGCGCCCCATTTACTTGTGTTGAACGTTTAATTCAATACGAGCATAGCAAATATAAGTTGCATTTTCTTCTCAAAAATCTAAAAACACAAATAGCATTCACGCTGAATAGCTTTAAGACTCGAAAACTTATGTTTTTTTAACGAAAAAAATACCAATTTTCTTTTATTTTCTTGAATTCCTCACAATTAGAAATTCTTATAATCTAAATTCAAAATTTTCTATTTTCAGTATTTTTAATTATTGATCGATAGTCCACGAAACCGCAAAAGCTACAAAAGCATCTCCATTGAGCCACTGCTGCCAGCGAAGCGCAACAACGACAAGCAGCTAGTGCCTTTAGAGTCTAGACGAAAAGAACGAGCTAATCGGCAGTTTTGAAAAACTCGAGCCGTTATTGTTTGTAAGACATGGGAATAAAGTAGGAGGCCAACAGAAACAGAAGATAATTTAAGAATAACGTTAACCGCACTGAATATAGAGACATTAGCAGCAACAGCAACAGCAACACTTGCACTCAACCACAACATCTGACTCCGAAGCTGAAGCGTTGATAATTACTTCCATACCATAAAACACAAGTGACAAAACAGTTGTTTTCCCTTTTTACCTTATTACTTGATTAGTGGTGCATTTATAAAGAGAATAAGAAGAAGCACAAATGCTCTTGCAACGGTCGCGAATATCAAACATCGTGTTGCAGGTGTTGTCATTGCTGTTCATGTGTCACGCTGCCTGGGCAAACAGAACAACAAATGCGTCAGCTGCCGCATCCCCAACACCGATGCCGTTGTTGGTTGCACCGCTGGTTTCATCATCGGAAGCTACACTTCTAACTACGCAGCGTCTATTTCCGACAACCACGTCAACTACGACTTCAAGGCGGCAGCCTGACGGCCGGCGCTATGATGACGAAGTGGCAGATGTGGAGTCGGTAAAGTCGCACTCCAACGCTGCTACCGCCACGAACGGCGGGAGTAAAATTGGCCGCAATATTGGTAATTTGCCAAAGAAACGTTATAAAGTTGTGGCCATACACACGAATTGTACGCGCGATCTCTTCACAATGCGCATAGATTTGAATCGCGACTTCCGCGGCCTTGTCTACGCCAAGGACTTTCCGTTGGAGTGCAGCGCACGTGGTAGCGCCCATCAAAATGTTACATTGCGCTTACCCACGTCCGGTTGTGGTGTGCGTGTTGAGCCGCGTGCGGATGGCGTGATGGAGCTTTCGGTGCGAGTTATGCTGCAAATGGAACAAAAGCTGCGCCAGAGTTCGGACATATTGCGCACGGTGCGTTGTAAGCTGCCGCCCAAAGCCATGGGCATGATAGTTGGTCCATTTGTGGGCATGTCGGCGGGTAAAAGAGCGAGAATAAAAACCGAACAGCAGCGGAAAGTGGCACAGAACTATAGGTAAATTGATTCGGTAATTTCTTGGTAATGGCGGAAAAATACTAATAATTTATTTCGTTCACTATAGAAACGGACGCATGCGTGCACTCGGCGCTTCGCATAAAAATAACGTCGCATTTGACGATGAAGATTCCTCTGACGCACCGCAAGCAGATACATCGCAAGAGCAGCAGACGAATGAAGTGGTGGCAGACAAGCAACAACAGAAAGCCACCGAAACCGCCAAAATAGTCGAATCAACAGTTACGGTAGCACCTAAAAGCGACAGCATAAGCGATGATGGTGAAGGCAATGGTAAAGAGGTTGGAGGCGGCAGCGCTTCAAACACCACCACAACCAGCAACAGCAACACCACACCACGCGTGCGCATTTGGCTAGAGCTGGGTGGCCTTGATGGTTCCGGTGCAGTTGAGGTGGGCCAAGCTACAACACTAACTGTGCGCGCTATTGTGCCTGGGACGATGGGTGTGCGGGTGGTGGACTGTGCTGCACTCGATGGGCTGGGTGAATCGAAACAGCAGTTGTTGGACGAACGCGGTTGTACAATAGACGAACAGGTGAGTGAGTTGCAGAAGCACAAAATTAGAATAAATAATTAATTGTATGAAAAGTGATATTTGGAAATATGCGCAAGGCTACGCAGGTAGTCAAATAAAATTTTGTGTAAATGCATGAGTTATTACTTGAATTTATATATGCATATTTAGCGCTTAATAAATGCTGAATAGATTTTTATGTGAGTTCCTCCTTCATTTTGCGGCGTGCTTCTTGATGATTCCTAACAAGTCGCCGAACCTACACTTTCAAGACCTGTCAGAAACGCACTTGGACGGCTTTAAAACCCTGTAGAGGGGCGACTGCATTTAGATATTTTCTTCTTTAATTTTGGATGCAGCAGTGGCCAGTATTTGAAGCCATGACCCTCAACATAGTTCTACTCAACCACAGCGACCGAATTCACTTGCAAATTTTATTCCAAAACTTCTTAAGCCGTTGGACACCGTTATTGACCGCATTACTGACCGCGTTGCTTAAAATTTTTAAAATTACGCGAACGCCGACGAGGGCACTTTCTATTCAACTTAAACATACTCAATTGTCGACGACTACAACTGAAACGAAAATTATCAGCCTCGCGCTCAATTAATCAATTTAATAATTTACACATAACAGTGGCTCACAAACAGTCAGTCATTCATTCATATTTTGGGCATTTAACCCACATTTATAGAAATTATAAGTCTGCGTTGTCTTTACACGCTGTGCTGACGTTTCGTTGTTAAATCTAATCACTTTGTTTTATACTCAATAGTAGTTGAATGGTCGCAGTAGCCGTTGTAAGAATGCTGTAAGAGATATTTTTGTTGTCTTTGATAAATTAGCACGATAAGCGTAGCTAATGATTTGGTGATTACGAATGGGATGACCATTGGGAAGAGAGATGTAGCCGTAATTATGTATGTACGTATGTATGTGCATGTATATTGTGGGGCAGAGTAAAGTTAAAAAGACTTTCATTTTTCAATATAATCCAACTAAAATTTCTATTATAAATTTTTTTTTTCACTTTTTCCCTTTTTGGCTTTATTCTTTTCTCTTAATTTTTCTTAAACTTTAATTTTTTTCAACAAAGAAAAATCTATTTTAATAACTAAATAAATTTCTTAAATAATACAATTTTTCAATATTAAAAAGATCATTTAAAATATTTTTTTTTTGAGGCATGTAAACTTTCTGCTTTCTTCAAACCTTTTGCATTTATATTGCCTTATTTGACACTCGATTATTATTAATGTTATTTCTTTTGATTATTCGATTGACTGTCTCATTGCCTCTTAATTTATTAATTTATTTTATTCAACTAAAGATTTTGCTTAGACGTCAACTCAATGTTTTCATAAAGTTAATCCGTTTATTCTTCACTTTTACTCGCTAATAACAGAGACAGGTATGTCATTGTTATGAAAATTCTTAATGAAAGAAAGTGATTTTTTGGTGAAAGTGCGAAATTCTTAACAATTCTTATTAGAAAAATAGAATTATTTCAATCAATTTTTTATCTCTTTTATTTTACATTCATACGTACATATGTACATATGTATTTCGTGTTTTTGGTGATCTGTCTATTCCACACCATGAGAAGAGTACATATGATCGGTATTACTTCTTTTATTGCGCTGCCAGAAACTTTATGTAGCAGTTAAACAAACCCCTTCCCCAGGTCTTGTGAAAGGACAAGCATTCTGTTTTGGACCATGACAATGACTCTACTCACACATCGTTGCTTGTGCGCGTTTATTTGGTCAAAAACAACTCAGTAATGCGTAATATTTGCCTGACCTGGTCCTCTGGAATTTTTTTGTGCCCTCAACTGTAGAGGTCTACGTCAGGATGACACTGAGTCCAGCGGTAGCTGATGAAAGTATGAATTTTCCAAGTGTTTTGAAGAATGGAAAAACTGTTTTCAGTCGCCCCTCAGTAGCCCATCTTGGGCTGAACCGTCTTTCGTAGTCTCCTGCGTAATCTTCCGGTTCGTCTTATCCAGACTGAAATGCTTCTAGACTGTTTCAGTTGCCGAACGAAACGAACTGATGCTCGGAAAATGCTAAGAGCGGAAGAACCAACCATTAGAAGAATCACTGGCATCCTTAAATCAGATTATATATACACATACATACATATATGTATATGTAAAATTGGCGATTTGAACATGGCTACTACGACCAAAATCGTATTTTGAAAAGAGCAAAATGAAATTGCCGAAAAAGCGCTTATAAGTAACGTAACGAAAGGATGCTTCGCCATGCAGATGCCTATTTTAGTGTTTTTAGTTACAATTACACACACAATTAATATTGCTGTATTCTTAAGAGAAAAAAAAAAACAGCAACAACCACATTTACGGTCATTTAACGTTACTAAATGGAAGGTAAATCGGTTACAACTAACGCTTCTGCGCTACTCCAAGATTGCGGTTACGTCTGCCTCTGACATTTTCTAGCTAAATGTGCCGCCATTTATCTATTTTTCCATCTATCCGTCTGCTTGTACGCCCTTTCATTGTTACGACTCTATTTTTATTCTCTAATTATGCTAAACGTTAGAACACTTTTGTGGAGTATCTGCTTCTTCCAAACAATAAAGCGGCTTAAAATAGCTAAATACATACATACATATATACATACATACATTGTTGTGGTAATTGCGGTTGTTGTTGTTGTGGTTGCATAGCAATTAAATTTTTCAGCAATTTAATTTTTTTTTTCATTATAACGGCTGCCTCCTTCACATTACACTTGTTTTACGCGCTTATTCGTCTGTATATATGTACGAGTATGTATGTATGTGTTTCTGCTGCTTGTACATACACATACATATATTTATATCTCTATTAAGTTTTATGAGCAAATGGTAACTTTGAAACGGGATAGGAATCACCGGAAAAACTTTTGGTTGTTATTGTTTTCAGTTTGTATCTTCTTCTTCTGCTTCCCCCATTTCTTTCGTAGTGATTCGCATAGTTGAGTAGATTAAGAGGTCAGAATAATTAGCCAAGAGTGAAATATTTGCCATTAGCATATTTGCCACGATTCTCCAGGCATACATATATACATACATACATACATATATACATATGTACAGACGTAATGGGTATGTAACATGTAACAATGTTTTCCCGCTGGCATTCTGTGGAAGTTGGTTGGCACACAAGAAACAGGCCAGCAGAGAAGGTTCTCTCTAACCTAACATCCATTGTCTTGCCACGGCGTCTTCGCATATGCCGTGGCAGCATGACACTGTGACCTAGTGGCCGCCAGTTAGCGGATGCTAATAGTTTTTTGATACGCTTATGACTGCGCGCATTTGCATTTACGTATTAATGCGCCTCTCCAGCCAAACGCCAAGCACAAGGCACACACTTTGATGATTCAGCAAATCGCAGTGGCAAAAAGTACAAGTCAACTTCTACATACACGTATGTGTATGTATGTATATTTTTGTCTAACAAATAATTTACTACAGTTGCGCGTAGTTGAGCAGATTAAATGCGCTTGATGGAATAATGGAATAATAAAGCGCCGGTGTGTAGAAGTCGCGACGCACGCAGCTTGTGATTTCCCATTCTCATTCTTTGTGCGCAGCCAACAAACGTCTGCAGTGGCGTTTAAATAGATATTCAATTGTTTTGGTTTTCATTTTAATTTCCCTTTCATTTTCCGTCGGTTAAGAGGCCAGAGATGTCAGTGGTGCTGCTTTTAATTTATTGCTGCTCGTTTCAATTCACACTCGTGGCTGATGATCGCATGCGGTATGTATGTACATATGTATGCATGTACATATATATATAGTATGTGTGTATGTGGTTTTCTCTACATTTTATGCTTATTCACGGCAAATAAACTTATTTACACTTTTACTGAAATTTCGCACGGCAAATCGCTGCCAAAGGTACTTCCCTGCTTATTTGTGCTAATTCGAAATGTCAAAAGTGTCAACTGGTTTTACAGTTATGAAGAACTGTTAACCTTTAGGGAAAACTCAAGAAAGTTTTACTACTGAAAACTAAAAAAGAAATAAAGTTGCTTTCGGATTTAATTTCAAGGAGAGCGAGTGTGTGTATAACCAGTGCGGCCTTTGGTTGTTGTTGATGTTATAGCAGTTTGCCAACCCGGCTTAGGAGCAGACGAGACTAATCAAGGTCCGCGATGTCATCGAACGGAAGGTCTAGGGAAGGAGCTGTTTCGAGGAGCTCGCACCAATGCCTGCGGGTTATGGGCTCAAGAATTTAACCGTTGTGAAGCATGCCTGCCGTACGAGGCGATTAATATCCAATTGCTTTCGCGACAGTCGGGTCTTTATACCGGAACGACGCGGATTTTTATGCGGCCAAGGATTCTCACTCCCGCATTATTCCCCGAAAATAAATTTAGGGAATATTTTGCGGTTACACCAACAATAACAACAACAAAGGGGAAGGGTGTTGAATGAGTAGCTTTCAAGGAGTATTACTCGGATATCTCAAGCTCGAGCAATAACTCTTTGTCTGCAATAGATGGTGCTTGGTTTCCAGACCGCTCTTCACAAGAAGAGAGTCCAAAAGTTGTATATAACCAGATATTGCTTTCACAACATCCTTAACTATCAGTCCTTAAGCGTCAGGGACAACCAAAGGTTTGCTGTCACGTTCCGAAGGGCAGTGTTCGGACATGCTGCTTGTGCCTTCTTCTTTTGAATCTCGCTAATCTTCGGCGTCCAAATCGGAGCAGCGTAATTTATGAACAGCCACCAGATCTGGTACAGTTCTGACATAATAATATACGGAGAGACTAACGCTTGAATTGACGCCTAATATTATTTCTCTTATTGGCAATGGTTAACTCCACAGTTTTGCTTATAGCGAAGGCGTCCATCTATATAGTTCTACAAAAAAGCGACAGTTTGAGGGCTTGTCTAGGATGACTAGGTCAGCGTAATAGATTCCGGTTCTGTCAGTGATTTTTGTTCCGTCCGTATAGATATTATGAGATGTAAGCTTCTCTAACTCCAAAGCAGCTAGTTGTTGTTCCGAGGTATTTGGTGTATTCTTTTAGCACAAATTCCTTTACGTGTCGGCGGTTTCCATATTTTCAATTCATTTGAGCATTCTCCATCACGTAACTGTTGTGGAACTTGGAGGTTCGCCAAGGCGCTTTAATGTTTATTCATAAACTCGTTTGCTGTGAGTGACCAGTTGGTTCTAGCTTCAAATTGCCAACCGATAATTGTCTTTAAGCTGGACCCCTCTCTATTGGGTTCAACTCCAGTCATTTTCTTTATTACTATCAACGCTTTCGAGATCCGAGTCCGAGTTTGCTCTCTTCAAAGCCCGCTGGTGGTAGTACCACTTCTCCTACCGACCGGTCGGGGTCAGTGCTATTTGTTAAATGAAACGAATAAAAGGCAAAAGCTCCATTCGGAACTAATAAATATCCAACTGAATTCCGCATGAACTTCCGTTTTCTTTGTTGGCAATGAAATTTTTTCTTTTCAGCGGCAGATTCATATTGTATTTCTTCTTATTATCACATCACGGTCCTTTGTTTTTGGCCACTTTGTTAACTTCATTACCGTCAACGCGAGTGAAGCTGAGCCGTCTGCAGTTGCGTGTATCCGCTGGCGCGCTTTTGTTCACATTTCCCTCTCCGCTTCACACCTCCATCCCATTGTAAAGCGTGGATTTTCACACATCAATTACGCTTGGAGAAGTAAAGCGTTGCCAGCGTCAAAGTGGTAATAATAGACGCAAGTGCTTCTTTGAATATACATATATATGTGAGTGTGTGTGTGTGAGTGTATGTTCGTGTGGTTAACGCCCGCGCATTGCGCACTGCTCATGGGGACTTTTGATTATCCATCTGTTATGGATGAGACATTGAACTTGACACAAGGCGGCGTTGCATTCGCCGCGAAATACCTCCAGCGCCACCTCCTTTGTGTTGAGATTTACTCATTTTCGTATTCACAGTTTTACGAGCATTTACGGTGTCAATTGTTGCGTGTATACGAGTGCTTACGTACATACATACGGAGCTCTTGTTGCGGTTGCTGTTATGTTTTGTTATTTGATAGGGCATTGACGTAAGGCGAACAGATTTGTTGTTGCGTTGACTGATCTCTGGCGGGAGTCATGTGGATATGGGATTACTTGCCTTTATTTGTTTGTTAGCGAAATGCAACACCGGAAAAGATGAAACCTTTTGTAACGTGGTAACAAACACCCTTAGATTTTAGACGTTGCAGCGTGATTTCTCCTTTACTGACGCGGACCCCGCTTATGCGATAATAGCCGAGTTAACAACAGTGCGCTGTTGCTTCCTCCTTTTCGCCCGTTCTTGGTCTGATTTTTTCTACGGAGCACAAGTCGTCCTCTTCCTCTACTTTGGCCGCCGGGTACTGCCTCTAAAACTATCAAAGCTGGAGTGTTCGCCGTGTTTCGCGCACATTTAATCATCGTTTTCAGGCTGTTACTGTTTTGATGATTAACAGGAAAGATTGACGAAATTATCTACGACTTCAAAGTTATGACTGCCAACAGTGTCGTGGGAGCCGAGTCGCAACGGCAGGAGATTTTTCATCTTGTTCTCGTTTACAACAAGACCCAAGCGTTTCTCTTCCTTATGCAGTCTGTAGAGAGCAGAACTCACGGCCCGGTTGTTGAGACCAACTATGTCAATATCATCGGCATACAGCAGCAGCTGCCCACTCTTATAGAAGATTGTATCTTCTCTATTCAGCTCTGCAGCTGCTGGTATTTTCTCAAGCAAACGATAAGGAAACACCCTGTCAGAAACAGCGTTTGATATCAAACGACTAGGAGAAGACCTACGCTATCCTGTCGGAGCTGTGTCAGCAGGAAACTGATGAAATTTTTTGTTCTCGGACCAAACCGAAAAACAGCTATGGAGCCATAGAAGATGAAGTATGCTTGTTTGTTAGGTGGAGCTATTTCTATCTCATCGAAGTTTTCCTTTGCTGATCCGCTTGGCTCGACTGTATCTCTAAAAATCTTAGAGACGAAATTCTGCAGAACATTATTGAAATTCCTCTCAATGAGGAAAGAATTGCTGTATGAAAATTTATAGATTTTAATTTCCCGATATCCAGTTCCCGGTCTCTACTGAGCATGAACTGCGCGCTCCCGTACCGCTTTTGCGTTCCGATCGGAAGAAACTATTAGGATCGCTAGGCATAATAGTGCGGCGCGTTACGTCTTTCTAATTTTCCCCGACTCGACTGCTTACTGTACAAATAACCGTAATTTTTATGCCAGATTAGTTGAGGTTAGGAGTATCTCTTGCCTGATAGTACCTGCCTGAGAGTACCCAGGTCGTGTACCAAAGATCCATTTCTCCCACACCACTACATAAGTTCCCGTCAATATGTATGTGAGTATGTATGTAGGAACGTAACGTAAGTTCATTAAACTTGTTAACACATTTTTTCCATCTTTTTGTTGTTGTGCTACGTTACGCTTCATATAATGCAACTGGTTAAATAAATAAAGAAATAACAACTACAACAACAATTGTTACATGGTAAGCCACTTGAAGCACAGTAATAAAGACATTACAAACGGTATGAGCTCGAGTTAAAAAAAAAAACACAAAAATCAAGTAAGCAAGATCTAAGTTCGCGTGGATCCGAATGCTAGACGCCCGACTGTTTCGATTGTACTGGGGAGAAAAGAAAACAAGGGTGCTTGGCGACAACTTTGCTGACTAAAATCATTCATAGGTTGAAGTAGATTAAGTTAGGTTATAATGGCTGGCTTTTGCGCGAGCTCCCGATAAAGCACCATCAAGCTTGCCTCCCTTCATGCCTACACTTCATGTGTCATTCATACCAATGCCCATACTGCTTGATTGCGAAGAAGGATGTGTCGCATCAATAGGCATACAACTGTGGTGGGTTTAAGATATTCCGTCCCACTATGATCTGCCTTGCAGCTCTCTCAGGTACTGGTTCGATTTGCCATACGGTCTGCAGTTTTTTCAATCTCCTCAACGAATTCGGTCCGCACAGATATGCAGTTGCTTCCGTGCCTTCCTTGGTAATTGCTAGGTAAAGTCAAAGACCAAACTCTACAAGTTGCTCATGTGAAGAGTCGGCGATGGGAGTTTTTAAGATGAAGGGCGTAGAATTTACTGCAGCCGATGGAACGATGGGCTGTTCGGTTATACGACAAGATTGTGATAATCCAGCGAATAAAAGGGACAGCGGTTACATTGGCTAGGTCATGTGTTCCGGATGGATAAGAATACTAGGCTTTGAAAATCTGCGATGCAATACCTGCAGGAGGTAGCAGAGGTAGAGTGAGACTTCAACTCCGGTCGAAGCATTCGATGGAGAATACCTGGGATCGCTTGGTGTCACCAAATGATGTCGAACGTCCGAAAGAAGGAATAAACTGCGTGCTGTTGTCAACTGGGCTCTAATCGCGTAAGCAGTGTCTACGCCGGTAATGAGAAAGTTTGACCAATTGACTCTGTGGTTTTTAAGTAACACCGAATGTGGGCGTGGCCATGGTCCCAATTTTACAACAATTTCTGAGACGTCGAGTGTAATTAAAATGCCTCAATTCATACTCTGCTCTTCCACAGACGGTCGGGCGGCCAGACTCATCATCTGCATACATATATTTGAGTCCACAACTGAACAAAACCAATATACCCCATGCACTGCTCAATTTCGTGAGGTACAAAAACGGATTTTTCAAACAGCCGGTTTTGTAGTCTTTAAGTGGCGTTAAAAACAAAATGAAAATCTCATTAATCATAATTGAAGCGTTTCATTTTTCGCAAAATAACAATAACAAAAAAATGTATAAAAACCATTGGCGTTTTAATTAAATTGATATTATGCAAATCAGCTTTTGTTTATTAGTAAAGAGAAAAAAATTCTGCAATTCCAGGTCATGCCACCGTTGAGTAAGCACTTCAAGCCGGTGGACGAGGGCTGGTCCAAGCAGCAACCGGACGACTTGATGGAGAAAACATTCACGGCCACATTTCCAGCCTTCAAATTCCCCGATCGTGAGCGCTTGCATGTGAGCTGTGGCGTGCAACTCTGCAAGACCAAATGTCCGAATGTAAGTACAGAAGATACAAGTACATACATACATATATGTACATATTATATGTTTAAATTTTTTTATTGGAAAATGTATGTGGATAAACCGAGTCAAATTAGTGTTTTTATGAAAAAAGTGAAGCTCGTAGCTCGTACCTAAATCGTGTAGACCTAAGCGTTTTGGCAGTTGCTCGCTTTTACGGGAATTCAAAATGGCCAAAATTATTGCTTCAAACTCTTTTTGAATTTCTCGCTTATACCTGGCCTAACTTGTCGGAGTACTGTAAAAGAAGATCGCTAGACACCGCTCTTAATACCAGTAAAGTGCGCAGAGGAAGCTTTCACACACAGAGTAAGCAGCGCGAGCTTTTCTGCGTTATTCTGGGACCTTAAATATTATCTTTCCGAAGAAAATATGTGCAATAGAAGTCAATTTACTCTGCGACAGTATTGTCGTGGGCACGTGGGGTGGTACGTGCATGCAACGCAAGTACAGTAGGGACTCCACAAAAGCTCATGTCTCCACTTCCTGCTATGGATCCTGCTCATTGACGATTTGTAGGACTCGCAGGCGTCAGCCAACGGGGATAAAATTGTTCTATATCCAAGGGTACCACAAGTGGGCAGAGCTTGTTATGATCTCAATGGTAAGAGTTCGTTTGTAGGTCCAAAGTCGCTGAACAGTTGGGTGAGCTCGATGACACTGTCAAGCATTGTCTGCTCCTAAGCAAAGTTACCTAACTGCGACAAGAACATACAAATGTGTTCAGAATTTCACACTATCGTGGGCATGCCTCCGACTTTGGCTGCCGAGAGCCACTGTTAGACGAAAAGTTCGACTTATTCGCCCTCGGCAACAGCACAGCCAGCTACCAACTGGCTAACAAACGCACCAACTCACCCACGACGGCCGCAAATTTGAATTTGCATTTGGTCATAAAATCCTAAACCCAAAAAAAAAATTTTTTTTTGGTTATGATTTTTTTTTGGTTATGATTTTTGGTTTTGTTTTGTTTTGAAGGTCACCTAAATGTATCAGCGTACATTAATAGACTGGCTGAACATTAAATTACTGCGTAAATTTAATTTGCCCCACACCAATTACACGCTGCTAACGGCATTCCGCGTATGCCTCCAAAGATAACGTGATGCTATCGGCCGCTGTGGCAGATTTGAAGAGAGAAAAAAACCAAATTGCACATTTTTATTGCGATGAGCTGGCAAATATGTACGTATGTACATACATACATATGTATATTAGATGTTAAAAATACTAATTTCGTAATTATTCGCACGCACTTTGCAGAAAACGAAAGAAAAAAAAAACATACAAATGTTTATAAATATGTGTAAATATGTATGTAATTTGTATTTCAATTGTAAAGTATTTGAGCAACGTAAAACTTAAGAAATGTATTTGTTTGCAAACAACAACAACAACACAAGTGTAGTGTCTTGCACGCCTTTGGGCAGCCACAATTTTGGCGCGCGAGTTGAATGGCTCTTTTAAGCAGCGAGTGGCACCAGTTGGGTCGGCAGTTAGCAGTTGGACGGCGGGGCGGGAATGCCCAAATGGCCCAGCGCGTATGAGTAACAAAATGTTACACATTTGAATTTTTGTTTTTTGTTGTTTCTTTTCTTTTGCTCATATTTGACAAGCCGACTGGCATGAGCGCTTTACGGTTATTTACACGCTGCAAAACTATTACGTTTATTTTGTGTTTACAAGCAGAAGCTGGCTCATGTGTGCAGACAGGCATATGTGATTTCATACATATATACTATTTCAACAATTTTACTGCTACAAGTATTTCAGCTCAACTTGCTCATCCGCTGCGTTTAGACGCAGCTGCGTTGGCGTTGTGCACGCATGCGCATTGCTCAAGCGCCAAGCACATGAAGTGCGCGAGTGGGTGAACCAGACGCAAGCTGACAAACATACATACATATGTACATACAAACATACATACATGTATTTGGTATGTAGTAGCTCTAGCTGTGCTTGCTGCAGTCCGAACGCCGATTTTGTATGGGTAATGATTTGAGCGAAGCCCGCAGTGGCTTCAGTTGGAATTGTATTTGATTGTTGTTGTTGTTGCTGTTGCTGTTGCTTATCGTAATGTTGTTTCGCTGTTAATTTGTGTGATTAAGCGATATGACCGCACTGCTGTAGACCAATTAACAAGTTGCAAATGCTCGAAATAGCAAATGCAATGCATGAAAACATCGTTATTTTTTTGTTGTATTTTTACATTTACGCATTCTTTTCGTTTTTCATATTGAACTCTCGATTTCATTGCAAAAATGAAAAAAGAACAACAAATAATAATGATTTTTTATTTTATTTGTTTATTTTTTCAATTAATATTTTTCACATTTTAGGTGAATTGTCGCAGCTCGGAACCGTTACTGCTGAGCGCTGACAAACACTTGGCGCGCATTGAAGTCTTTAATTCGCTGGCGGTGACGGCGCCGCAAATTGAGGTGGATCGCTTGCGTTACGATCGGCGTTACAACATGAGCGGTAAGTGGTGGCGATGCGAGGCAAATTAGTGAAGTGAGAAATATGTAAAAATTATATAATATACTCGTATATATAATATATCTTTATTTTATTTGATTTTTTGTTTCTTAATTTGATTAATAAATTTTGGTTTATTGTTTTTTTGTTTATCGATTTCGTCTATTTTTCTTATTTTACAGTTTATTTTATTTACATTTATTTGAATTGAAACATTTTATTTTTAAATTTTTTAGTATTCCAATTGATTTTTTGTAATTGTATATACATTGATTAATTTTTTTTTATTCTTTTTGCCTATTTTTACTTTACTCTAATTTATCCATTGATATTTTGTTTATTTAATTAATTCGTTTTTTAATTATTAATATTTTTCTTTCTTACCCCTCAGTCGAAGAATATCCCCCACACATACGTCACATTCACAGCGACGGCACGCTCTGTCTTTCTGTGTCTAAGTTAGCCATCTCGTTCTGTGTGCTGGGTCTCATCTTTCTGGTGGCAGTTATTGTGGCAATTTATTCTCTTATACGTGCGCGTCGTCGTACCACCGGAGGCAGCACCTGTGCATTGACGCCGCCCAGCAGCGGTACGGGCCATATTGGCCAGCGTGCAGAGCTTTGCACATCGATGTTTTCTTCGAGGTAAGGCACTGGCAAGTTATTATATATATATATATATATTGTTTTAATATTCATTTATTTCTCCATTGCAGCAGCGAATCAGCGCAATCAGCGCGCTTTGGCAGCAAACTGCTTATGCCCTACTATCCGAATACGCTGCCCTATGGCAGAGTCTATTGAGCAGTCGAATTCGAATCAGCACTTATTTTATATTAAATATGTTTTAAATCTTAAAAATTACCTTTTAAGCTTCATACTCATTTCATTTAATATCTAAAGACTGATTTTATAAATAGTTTACTTTTTTGACGAAGGCATTGGAAAAACAGAGAAACAAATATTTTTTCTCCCAGAACGAACGCAATATACCCCAATACTTATTTTTTGAATTTTAAGCTTAATTAACACATTTTTATGTGTTTTTTTTTCATATGTAAGTTATTACGAAAGAAATTTGGAAACATTTTTGAAACACTACTATTTAGTTTGGAAAATGTTTTTTGACTTCTCTTTCCTGTTTATTAAGTAGCTTAAGGTTATTGGTAAGATTATGGAATATATATAAAAGACTAAAATAACAAAAAAGTTTATACTATTCGATGATAACAGTATCGCTTATTATATTCTTCAGTTTTTAGATTTTCCTACGAGAAATGCACCCAAAGAATTTGTTTTCTATGCTTGAAAAGTAAAAAAATATCCAACTAACTGGTAAAGGGACTTATTATGAGTGATTTTAAGTTGGCTTTTAAGAAAAAAGTTTTTATTTTTTAAATGTATATTAATTTTTACAGATCAAATACATATGTACAACGAAATAAATTTTATGTAATAAATTATCGAACTTAACTTTTATTTCCAAAATACGTTTTGCTGTGGTTTTAACCTAATTTGGTTTCGAGGGTTGACAACATTTGGCCAGATGGAAATTCGCATAGTTGCGGTATAACGACCCCACTGTCCTGAGAACTATTGGACTTGCGCCGCCTATTACGACAGGCATTCCTCAAGAGAAGTAAATTCCTGAAGCTCCCTAGAGTAAGTATTTTCCAAAAAAAAGTTCACTAAGCTCTTCGGGTAAGCTATTTCTCAAAACCATTATATGTAACCCCACCCAAATATTATATGAATGTACATATGCAAAACTGAAAAATGCAATTTACATAATTTATAATGCAGTTATTGCAACTTGTTTATTACACTGTGTAAACATTTTGCACATTTTTACAAGCTTACACTTTTTGAGAGATATATTTATTGCATTTTTAACGCATTAACACGCTTTTTATATATATTTTGTTTAATTAAATTATAGAAATTAAAAGAATCACAACTAATTACAGGTAAATTACACAAAACATCAAATTTAGTACAATATGAATCAACGATTTTAACAGTATAGAATAGCGGTTGAATATCAAACACATGGAATTATATACACTTATGCTCACTTCTTTCGGTTTGCTGTTGTTTTCCTGTGCACGCATAGGTTCATTTTTGTTCTTTTTTAATATGTATGTGTAGGGTGATGAAAAAAAACTGTTTGCCCTTTTATGAAGTTCTGAATACTGTTGAAAATGTAACATTTAATTTATTTTACTTTGTTTACGCTTTGGCTAAGTAATTAGTAGTAGTTTTCGAAAACATTAAACAAAATAGCAAATATATACACCCTAAATATTGCAGGGGAACGCCAAAATATTATGATTTGATTTTTCTTTAAACTTTTCCTTTGCTATATAAGTGTATGCATATACATAGATGAATGTGGCTTAGAAGAGTACATCATCATCGCCTTCATCCAATATATTGGCCTGTTGACGCACATCGATGCCCTGTTGCAGTAGTTCTGCTTTAATCGCTTCGGCCTTCTTACGCGCAATACGTTTCTTGTCTTGGATCTTCTTCAAACGATAGAATTCCTCACGCTCCAGCTCATCCAATTCGGAGATGATGTAAGCGAGTGTACGGTCGATACGTGGAATGATGACTGAAACGAAAATCTATATATATAACTACTTGTGATTGTGATTTTATTTACAACCTACCATGCTCAATAGCATTAACTCTTCTGTTTGTGATTTTAATAACCTCATCCAATGTAACGAACGATGTCTGCAGCGATGCTAGCTCGACTAATAGCTTTACTGCGCTTTGGTAGTTCTTTTTTAATTTGGCCAATTGTTGACCACCACGCGCGAGACCAGCTAGTTCATATGTATCTGCACCATCTTGATAGGATTCGAATACGGGCAACGTAACACCAGCAACGTTATCTTTCTTTGTGCGGATCTTGATTTGTGCCTTGGTCACATTCTGTAAAACCACCTGATTGAAGTCACCAGTAGTGAATTTGGCTTCGGCAAGAGAGAATGCAGCCTCCTTCATAACGTCGCCCATAAGAGTTTTGGTCTGTCGAATGATAGAAGCAGAACAAAATTAAAAATTAATAGAAATGCAAAGTTACACACAAAAAACAAACAACCTATCACGGTCATGCTTATAAAGGGGTGGGTGGGTTGCTTTTGAGTCTAATAAGCTTACCTCAATAATTTTACCCAAAATCATACGGAAACGCATTTGCAGCGCATCAGCCTTCTTCTTGAGCAAACCATGACCCTTTTGTGCGCCCGCCAGACGTGACTTCATCAACATCTGTGCACTGAAATAAAGGAAACAGCGAAAAACACGAAAAATTTTATGAAGAAAATTTTTCAGATACTGCGAATGCAAAACGTAATTTGAAAATCCGTTTTAAGAAATTCCTGGCAAACAAAAGGCTTTCTTAACTTACCCACGAGAAGGGAAAATCGGTAGCCTGTCTTTGCCTGACATTTCTTTTTAGTTTTTAACTGATTTTCCAATAATAAATTCACTTGAAAAAAAATTGTTGCACACACGCAGCACAAAATACAAGACAAGTCGTCGTCGTTGGGTCAGCTGACAAATGTCAGCAGAAATGTCATATGACCAACAAAAGCTAGAGACATCTAGCGGTAGGACATACTTAGTGCTTGTTTAGCGACATCTCTTAGTCAAACTTAAGGCTATTAAAATGACATGTAGAGTCAAATGAAATGAAGTAAACCAAAATTAAATGAAATAAATAATAATAAATTAAATTAAAATAAATAAAATAACACAAATAAAAGAAAAATAAATTTATTGAAATAAGATTAAGTAAAATGTAAAAATAGAGAATAATTAAAAAAAAGTTATATAAAAAAAATATAATTAATTATTATATAACAAAATGAAAAAAGTAATAAATTCAATTAAAATATATAAAATATAATAAAAGATAAAAATAAACATAATACAATACAATAAAAAAAATAAAAATTTAAATAAAAATAAAACAAAATTTAATGAAAATGAAATAAAACAAAAGAGAGAATGACAAAAATTAAATCTAACAAAATAAAATCAAATTAAAAATAAACTGTAAATTGTCTACATTTATTACTCATCCGACGAGTATACCTACATATTTTCCTATACGGGAGTAGTAGTAGATACATACATATGTATGTATATAATAAGTCGATATATATCGCAATATGTCGGAGGAAGAGTAAAAAAACAGCTACGATGAGTGCTAATAAATATGAAAAAAAAACAACGACAATATAGAGCAATGACTGCAACGTGACTGCGGCAGCGGCTGCGACAGCGGAAATCAACAGTTGTGCGGCTGTCGGCTCCGTTGTTGTCGGTTGATTTTTTAGCTTCGGCAATGGTTGTGTGAAACGGTGTAAAAGGGGACAAATTGCTCTCAAATTGCATTGTAGTTGTTGTTAAACTCTATATGTACATCCATGTGTGTGAATATATGTATCGTATATATTATATCAACACTAGAGAAGTCAAGTGAAAGCGAAATTACCGATAAAGCTACTAAAGCCTGCCTGGCTGCCTGCCTAACAGTAAGGGCCTTGGTTGTGTTGTGCTCTGTAGTATTTTGGGAGGAAAATATTGGTATTGGTCACGTACAATATGGCGCCGACGGTGTTTATGGCGACGAGCCTAACTTTTAATACAAATGTATACACGTATGTATATGTGCAGGTTTGTTTGAATATATGCTCGCATGTATGTATATGTAGACATTTTGTAAACAAAGCACAACAATGCTTTTTATGTTGTAGTGGGCAGCCGAAATTACTGTTGTTGGGTCTTTCTTACTTTCGCTCTACATTAGTGTAAAGAACACACCCCCTAAAAAAGAAAACAAAACAAAACAAAATTTTCGAAAAAAATATGTTTATATGTAAGTGTAATTTGAGTGCTGCTTGTATTCATGTATGGAGATATGTACATGTTCCTAATAGTAATCCTGTGCTGCGCAGCTTCGCGGCCTTCAACTGTAACTATCAGCCATCATCATCTCGCTGGTTGTCGAAAACGTCGGCAGCAGCAATCAGTTAGTATACTTTTGGATTCCGTTGGGACGCAATCGCACATTTTTCTCATACAAAACTTGGAATTTTTCTTGCGAACTAAATTGATTGATTATATTGTTAAATAAGTGAAAATTATAAGAATTTAAAAACTGTCATCCTGGTCGTTTTTAGTGGAAATAAATATACCAACAAATTACAGTGAGTTAATTAATTTTACTTATTATCATTTTTTACTACTGTTTAAACCTGTTGATATCAACAAGTAGAAGTTTTTGATTGATATGTATTGTTATCAACTTAGCTGGAGAGTGAAAGCATTTTCAGTGCTCTCCTCAAGCTTCATAGACTACATATAGTGAGTTTGTGTGTGCTTTTCGTGTCTTTCGTGTGTGTATTTGCATGATGGCTGTAATTTTCGGCTTACGCATAATTTCACGTTAAAACTACTACTCGTTTATGTGTGTATGTATGTACATGCATACGTGTGTATATCTGTCTTTATAAGATTTCTTCTTCACACATACATAAAATTATATTTGGCGCTTTATAACATAGCCCGGGAAGAGTATTTCAATCGAACTCCATATCCAAATTATGGTGTGCTTTTTGGGCTTATTGTTCTTCCCACTAATAAAGGGACCTTACTGTTTATTCTAAGCTGCCTCTGAACAGACGCTGAATTTTCATGAGGAGCTATTTATTATTATCGAATAAATATTTTCAAATTTCGGAATTTCAGTATGTAAAGCCAAAAAACCAGAAAACCGATGAGCAGTTAGCAGGTTTGAGACTGGTAGAGACCGGCCACCACAAAAAGGGGTTGGGATGCAAAAATTTGAATCAGAACACTGAAAAATGGAAAAGAAATGGAAAGAAAACAAAGAATTGTTATTTTATGTAATTTGAGTTTTTATAATTAAAAGAAATACTTGTCGTGGCAACTTTAATTAGTATATATATTAATAAAATTATAAGCACCACATTTTCAAAAATTTTGCAAGTTGTTTATTTGATGGATATACTGCTTTAGATGGAAAAAATAAGTTTTCAAAATGTTCTTAATGTGTGAATTCATATTTGATTACAGTAGTTTTATTTGCGTCATTCTATCAAGACGCACTCGCCGAAAAGTACACTTAAATGGGATTTAAATAATCTCTATCACACTACCATGACCAAACCTTAACTTCATGAGTATATGTATGTGTCTATAAAAGCATATTTCTACTCTTCACTTGTGGCTTCCTAATGCCTTGTGACACTCGAGTGGCGCTTAGCTATAAGTCAAATCACGAAATACGAAAGGAATTTTTAGATCTACAAAAGGATAGAAAAATTGGCTGAGAAGACCAACACTTGTAAGCGACTGTGCTCTCACAAGCCATTACTTATATATATGAAGTGAACTAACCAAATGTAAACACAAAACTTTGAAAAGCAGTCATTTTTATTTTATTTATTTTTTTTTACTGTTGGCAACGCGACACCTGACACCAACTTAATTTCCTTTTAGCATTTTGATATCTTCTCGTCAATTAATATATTTACATATATATATATAAATCTACTACTTATGCCCTGTATAAAACACTAAAATTTCTAAATATGTTTGAACAAATGTGAGTATGTTTGTTCACCAGCAATAAAAATGACCAAACATTAATAAGCGAATACAAATGGCATGGTACTCGTGCATCAGGGCGTATACGTAACTATTTATCGCTTGAGTAGAAGAGCAGCAAAAATGTGTAATAATACCAAATGAGTATAGTATTTCATGGAAAGATATGCTAATAATGAGTTTTCAGAACCTATAGTCTACACCAAATTATTTATTATATATTTAAACTGATTTTGATGCTAATTGTTCCATTAAGAATATTCCATATGGGCATCCCTATTAGCGTTTATTGGTTATTTCACTTTCATTCGAAAGTTTGAAAATCAAATTTTCTCACGCTTTGCACTAACACGTTTAGTCATAATAAGCTTCCTTTAACTTATACCCTTCAATTGATAATTTTCTGCATTCTCCTTTGCACACTTCACACATCATGCATTTGATTGATGGGTTTTTAGTGTAGCACAAATATGCCATCGACAGCATGTACTTGAGCGATTAAATGTACATGTGGGTGTATACTCGTACATATGTTGATTTATAATACTGCTATGAGTGTAATGGATCCGTTACCTCGAGGTGCACTTTACATATATATGTGTGTATAAGAATACTAACACACTCACTATATTTTTCCAACAACAAATCACTTCATACCCATTCCAAAATAATAAAATAAAAAAATTGTCAAAAGTAGCTGAAATGGTGATATTTTTCTGAAGTTGGATATCTATCTTCACAAATTTATATAAATAAATATTAGACGCATCGCGGGCTGCGTTCAATATCCGGACGAAATAATCGATCAGGGGAGTCGGTAATTCGCACCACATTTACTCTAGTGGATAATGCGCATCCCGCACAGAAACCTGTCGCATTTGGAGTGATGATAGTCCAAACGCTATTGTTGAGACGCCTTTACGACCTCAAAATTTACTGCTCTATATGTGCTCTATGGGCAGAGAGGGTCATTGGTTCATATTTCTTCAAAAAATGAAGCCGCCCATAATGTTATAGTCAATTGGGAACGCTACAGTGCCAAGATCAATGACTTTTCGTTTCTGTGTTTGAGGATGGTGATGTGGAGGAGCTTTGCTTCCAAACAAGGCGGTCTAAAGAAACATCTCTGTGTACTTTTTAATCAGTTGTCAGTCCTTTCTTCACTCAGTCGCCACACCGTCTACACATTCAAATAGCTTGGAGGTCCAATTTGTTAATTAAATATTTTATTGTGACACTTTCAATTGCATTACAACAACATAGTCATTAAGTCAAATGAATAGAGAAATATCTGGTATGTTGATAATTTAAATATAAGCAAACAAAAATTTAAGTACAGTATTTTAAGTAAATAGAAACAGTTTCATTATATAATATGTAATATCAAAAACTTTTTTTTTTCATTTTTTTAGTTTTAAATTTTTTCTCTTAACATATAATATATACATATATATGCTTGTAAGTATGTATGTACCGTATATTATTTATTTATATGTATGTCCATACAAATAGTTAATTAATTCTGACACACAGCTTTCCTTAATTTTTATACAACACAATTTAATTGCCAATAATTAATTGAATAATCCCAAAGCTCATAAAGCATTTAATGCAGCAAATAATCACTAATGCTGTACTCATATGTATCACATACATATGTACATATACATTTTTAGAAAACAACATAACTCGCTTCAGAAAAGTTTCCAATTAAGCCTACACTAAACACGATTTTTAAATGCAATTTTAAACGAAGAAAAAATCTTAAATAAATTACCAAAATGTACATATGTACATCATTTAACTTTTTTTTTTTTCAAATTTAAAATTTTCTGTTTTAATACTTGGATGCTTTCCCATAAAAAAAGAAAACAAAATCAAACTTGATTAATTTATTTTAAAATTTACTACACTATATTGCATGAGAGAAATATTGAAATAATTCGTTTCGCCAAAAGACCCGCGCTATGTGCCATAGCACACTCCCGCCAATCTCCCTGCCTCGCCAACTAATTCGCACATTTAATCCACTTTCAATTGCAGTCATCGAAATTCGCCGCCATTTGAAGTGCCATACAGCGGCGTCTTCTCGTGTCTACACCGTCCAGTTGTCAACCACAAACCGCCAGCCACCAACCGTCAGTGTACAACTCTGTACCGCCTTGCATACCGCAGTCCGCTTAGCGCGTGGGTTAGCGATTTCTTACAACATAATGGAATACAAGCTGATAACTGAGGACCGTTATGACGATGTGGTTCGACATTTATGCGATAATTTCTTTGCTGATGAGCCGTTAAATAAGGCGGCAGGCTTGTGTCGTCGTGGCGAGGGTCATCGAGAGTTGGAGCGTCTTTGCTATGAGACACTCAAGGATAATTTGAGCTTAATGGCTGTGAATGAGAATAATGATGTGAGTGCAGCGGTGATAAAGTGAAAGTAAATAAAAAAAATACAACAAAAAATTAAGCAGAAATCTTAAATAAATAAAAATAAAAGGAAAAAAAAAACTAAACAATTTTTAATTGAAATTAAATTATACAACATAAAGAAATAAATAATTAAAAAAAAAAGAAATAAAAACTTGAAATAAAGTAAAATCAATAAATAAATTAAATAAAAATATATAAACTATATATAAAAAAGTAAAATGAAAGATAAAATTATAAGTTAAATAAAATGAACTAAAATTAATTAATTAATAAACAAAATTATTTATTAAAAGTTAAACAAAAAATAAAATAATTTTTTAGATTATATCAAACTAAATTAAAAAAAAAGTATAAATTAAAACAATTAAATAGAGCAATATAATATAAAGTTAGAAATAAAATATGAAATAAAAATATTAAAAATAAATATTATCAAAAAAAAGAAGAAGAAAAAAAAATAAAATAAATACAAATGAACTAAATTAAGGAAATTAAAAATTAATTTTATTTAAAAAATTCAAAATTATATATCTATTACATTATATTATATTGAATAAAAAATGAAGTAAAATAAAATTGAATAATACAAATTAAAATGAAATGAAATCAGCTGAAAAGAAAATTTAAAGTAAAATAAAATATTAATAAAATAAATAATTGAAAAATGTAGTAAAAAATTAGTTAACTAACTAAAATAAAAGAAGTTACATAAAAAATTAAAAATAAAATAAAACAACAAATAAAGTTAAAATCAGAGAATAAATTAAAATATAGTAAAATTTTTATTTTACTTAACTTTACTTTAAAACAAAAAGCATAGAAAATAAAATTCAAATAAAATAAAATGAAAAAATTGAGGCAAATATAAAATTTAATGAAATTGAATAAGATAAAACAAAAAATTAAAAAAGAAACAAAATTCAAAATTAAGTAAATAAAAATATAAACTAAAATGCAAATAAAAAAAAAATTAAAAAAGATATATATATATATACAAACATACATACATTATTAAAAATTTCAAAAATTAAAATAATAAAAGGAAAAAAATTGAAATCAAATAAAGAAATTAAATTCAAAAAGAAACTGCAGTAAAACACTTAAAGATACCAAATTAAGTAGAAAAAACAAATAAATATTAATTCTATTAAATCTAAAAATAGCCCATGTTTAAAAAAAAGTTATTTTATGAAACAAAGATAACAAAAACAGCAAGAAATATTTAAAAAAGTTGCTTATGAGAAATAATCATTTACAGATCGCCGGTGTTCTACTTAACGGTGTTGTCCACCCGCATGATATTGTACAAGCACACGAACGCATCGAACTCAGCGATGATGAGCGATACAAGAAAATTTTTCGACTATTAAATGAACATAATTTGCGTGCAAATATTTTTGGACACTTGAACGTGGAGCGTGCCTTCGAGGTACGTATACTGTCAGTGGATGGACGTTTTCGTGGACAGGGTATCGCCAAAGAGCTGGTGCGGCGTTGCGAAACGATTGCCAAAGATTTTGGCTTTAAGGTAAGCAAAGCAAATGTTAGATTAAAATTGTAAAAAAAAAAATTTAACACAAAAAAAATTTTGAAAAGAGAAAAGTATAGAAAAAATTATGCTAACTTATTCTTCCTTTAGTATATGTAAATATTCTATTTCTTGTAGCTTATGAAAGCCGATGCAACAGGAATTTTCTCGCAAAAGATTCTGAAATCAAATGGCTTCAAGGTGTTTAGTGAGTTTTACTATGACAAATATACAGATGAATTTGGTAAACCAATATTACTAGTGGAAGCGCCACATATTAAGCTACAGTTGATGTACAAATTGTTGGAATAAAGTAAAAAGTAGTGAAATAATTTTACTTTTGTTGAACAGGTGATTGGCGTAAAGGGAGTCTGCATTGAAAATAAAAATTCTATAATTAAAATCAAAAAAACAAATAACTGATAGAATTGGGAATTTAATGAAGTTCAAAATGTTTGATTGTGAGCAAAATGCCATCTAAGTAAAAATAAATAAAAAAGATATTTATTTATGCATATATTGAAATTATTTAAATATAAAAAATAAATACCTACTCCTATGCATAAATAGTTATTACTTAGATGAAACGTGCTCAGTTACTCAGTAAGAATTTAGTGCTATACATACATACATACATATAATCTATTTAACCACATTAAAAACTCAATATTATAACAGGCTTTTTAAAATTGTTTGTAACAAGTCCATTTTTATTGGCCAAATAACGCATTTTTACATTACTACTTACATACGTACATATGTACAAATTAGTTGTGAACAATATTTAGCGCAAAGACAAAAACACATACGCTGTCATTGCATATTGTATGTGTAATTTCGAATATGCCCATATAAATGTATACGAAAATCAAAAACAAATCAGTTTATACATTAGTAAGGCGGTAAATTAAATAAATGTTACAATAAATATTATATTATTATATAACCGCGACAATAAAGGAATTTTGTATGCGAGTCATTTATACTTTTCTAGTTGGAAATTTTAGTAGACAAAATATAATGAAATAAAAAATATAAAAAAATCAATAATAATTCATACCACCGTACTATGAATATATATACATAAATTAACACAATAATTTACATACGATAGGTCCTTGAGATTTCGTGCAAATGCGTAGGTACTATTGTGTGCAGAGTGCAGACTGCATTGCATATTAAACAAAAAAATATTATAGTAAAATTTAATATAATAATAATTAAAATACAACTTATATGTAAGTACTTAAATTAATTTATAATAAATTTATTGTAAAAACTTGGAAAGGCAAACGAAAGGATTGAAGTGTTTTACAAAAATAAAAATAAATTTACCTTCAAATAGTGTTTATTTTAATAACAAGTCACAATTTACAACTTGTTTTTCTTGGCACAGAAGTTATTGGTTATTGGTTAATTTAAAAATATTCTTACAAAAAAATTCCCTAACGGCTTTGTTGTTGGTGTTCAAATCTATACCTGAAGCTTCTGCAGTTTTACCGCAAAACGAGCAAGCACTTTTAAGTTTCAAGTTATACATGTGTGTGTTTATTTTTTATCAGAATTTAATTTTCTGCTCAATAACACATTTATATTATTTCCTACAATACACATATGTATATATATACATAGTTACAAATTGTGTTTATATACTTTTTGCACTTATTTATTATCACAATTTTTTCACGCATTCTTTTAACAAATGTATTACAAAATATCTCAACATTTTCATGGTGGAGTTCTTTAATGAGCTCCAAATACTTTTGATTGAGGCTAGGAATTATTGTTTTGACCATATCATTTTGTTTTGTTTCTTAAATCATATTGCATCTAGTAGCTTCCGGAACCAAGCTGAGACGCACAAGCTATGTATATTGAATAAATGATCGAAATGCTTTGTCTTAAGTTTTATAAAAGCTTCAACAAGTAATACTAATTTTAAAGCATTAAGTGTTCATTCATAAATTGAGCAGGCTTTCTTTTATTTTCGCGATATCCGTAACGACGTTCAGCATGTTTTTTATGTGGTTAATTTTGCTAAAGGTTACTTCTTAATTTCGAAATATTAGTATAACATCTTCATCGGTGCCATATGCTTTCCGTGCTGTATCCATTGCCGCTGTGGTACAACGACAAACATCTGTTGGGTAGGTAAACAATTTGTTTAACTTACATCATATTATTATATTTGCATACTTACGTTCATCGTGCACTTCCGGGTTATGATAGAAGAGAGTTTGTGTTTTTAAATCGTAACCGCAAAGCACAACATAATGTCCAGCATAACTTTGAGGCGTGCGTGTATTGTTAACGATACAAGAGAGTTGGAAACAACTTCAAATGGGTAGAAAATTTATAGATATTAATTTACATTTTTTTTGCTTTTATTTACCCATAAAAAATTATGAAACCTATAGCCAAAGCATAACTCGTTCTATATTTAAAACTTATCATTACCTCCACCTTATACTCTTCTTACCCGAATTTCTCCAACACATTCTTTTTACAAACTTCGCATGTCAGCAAGGATGCGTTGGTCAATAATATCACAGGCCCCCGTTTGCCCAAATGTTGTAGGAGCTCAGTCATCTCCACTGTACGCTGTTCAACGCGCAGACCATGTTGCCGTGCCTCTTTAAATTTACGTGTAACACGTTTTTCGTCCTTATCGATAATTTTGGTATAGTAACTGTGTTCACTGTAGCTTGGATCGATACCCAGTGTTTTTGTGTAGTATTCATGCCGTATTTGGAAGCGGTGTAGAAGGAAGCATAAATCGATTGTCCAAGTGCTCGAGCCAAAACCCTCCTCCGCACATATTTTGTCGAAATCGTGTAGAAGTATTTGACTTTGGGATGATGAGAGGATCATGATAATACAAGATATGCCGCAATCCCAATTAAACCGTTGTTGGTAGTGTGTCAGGTTGTAGTGTTTTTGTTCGGGTATGCCTAAAAACATAGCGAAATTATATTTTATGTATACGAATAATAAAAATGCAATAAAATACCTTCCATATTAACGTAGAATCTTGAATAAATTGTGCCGAAAGTAGTTTATTTACAGTTTTTCCAATTAAACAACCAACAAGCTCATATATGTTTGTCAATTTTATCTTCCACTGTCATTCGCTCTTATTTTATTTACTGTGTGAAATCGTGTAATGGCAATCATGCAACTGTTCGCTTACAGCAAAAACAGCTGATCGCGAATATTTTGATCAAAAACGAGTTAATAACTACCGGCTACAAAGTTTTAACATTTTTATCAATATGCAAAAGAAAAGAGTGCGTGTTAACAATTTATTGGATAAATTACATCGCGGCGTTGTTTATACCTGCATTGGAGTCACACTCTATGGCACATTCTTGCTGGGAATGCGTGTGCATCGCTACTTGACTGTAGTGCGCCCGCAGAAACAAGCAGAACAGTTGAAAATGATTGAAAACGAGGATTTGGACAAGGCGAAAACTATAACTACATAGAAATGTCGTTAAAAAGGTGTTTAGAATGTTAATAGTAATGCTAAACTTTCAAATGAAAAACAAGAATTTACTTATAACTTTTTGTTCCCAAACTAGTGGCGATGCTTTCCGATAATAAAATGTATTCGGTTCCCTATATGATGTAATATTTGCACATGATGTGTGCTAACAATAAATGTTAAAACTAAATTGAAATACTCAACTGTTTTATTTCGAAAGGTTTCAAGTTAAAACTATAATGGTTTATAACTAAAATTTTTCATAAATAGCTACAAATTTAACATTATTTATAAAATTCAAATTTCAATATATTAGCGAGTACCCATTAAAAATGTAATAGAATTGAATTGTCTGACTGTGTAACCAAAAAGTTGCTTTTACTTACTCTTTTATCTGACATTCATGCTATGATATTTCTTTTCTTGCTGCTTTCCGCATTCCCAACGTACCATTTATATTTTCTTTCGCATTTAATTGACGCATAATTTGGCAGCGTTGCGAGATGTCGGGCTTAAATTTAACTGTACGTGTGCATCCTGTGGTGCTTTTCCAAGTTGTGGATGCTTATGAACGTCGGAATGCTGATTCCCATCGTGTAATTGGTACCTTGTTGGGTAAGTGCTAAGAAAACAGTGCAAATTAATAACGCTAACCACGTTTGTCTTTGATGATGGCATCGCAACTACAGGTTCCGTTGATAAAGGCGTCGTGGAGGTCACCAATTGTTTCTGTGTGCCACACAAGGAACACGATGATCAAGTGGAGGCTGAACTGAGTTATGCCTTGGATTTGTATGATTTAAATCGTAAAGTGAATCCAAATGAAAATGTCGTCGGTATGTATAACACACCTAACCTCAATTTTGCAATTGTACGTTTATGCTGACGTTCCCTACTTTCCTTTATGCACTACACAGGCTGGTGGGCTACAGGCAATGAAGTTACTAACCACAGCTCTGTCATACATGAATATTATGCGCGTGAATGTAACAATCCTGTGCACTTGACTGTAGATACATCGCTCCAAGGAGGGCGTATGGGACTACGTGCATATGTTTGTATACAACTCGGCGTGCCTGGTGGCAAAACCGGTTGCATGTTTACACCAATACCAGTTGATGTGACTTGTTACGAACCAGAGACATTCGGATTGAAATTGTTGCAGAAAACCATTGGAGTATCACAGCCACATCGCCCAAAAACAGTTTCACCAATGTTGGACTTGGCACAAATCTCCGAGGCATCCACCAAATTGCAGGGTCTGCTTGACCTTATACTTAAGTATGTAGAAGATGTAATTGCACATAAGCAACCACCAGATAATGCCGTAGGACGTCAATTGCTCGACCTTATCAACTCTGTGCCACACATGTCACACGAACAATTTACACAGATGTTCAACGCAAACGTACGTGATTTGCTTATGGTAATCACATTGTCTCAACTAATCAAAACACAATTACAATTGAACGAAAAATTAACTTTCCTACCAACAAATTAAATTCTAACAAAACAATTAATTTAAACAAAAAAATATTTTTAAATTGTGAGATTTAAGAAAAGTTTGTAAGGGTAGTGTAAGCGCGCAGATATTGACACTTTTAAGAATGTTGGCATGTAGAAATATTAGTAAAGTATTTCAATATATATGTATGATGCGTGCGAGAAGGAAATGTGCGTCTTTTATTTGATTGGAGTGGAGAGGCGGTAGGAGACTTCAGCCATTTATTAATTTATTGTATAAGTTTCTATTTTTATTAAACAGATAAACGTAATTGCTGTTGCACGCTGTTGAATTTACATATTATATTAGCTGATATCGTGATTATTGTGTGCGGAAGTTGTCAGCAGCGATATATTCTTCAATAATCTTATTAATCGAGCGTTTGCAACTCCCATTTTATAGGCTAACAACGTTGCATACAGCTTAAGCATGCAACGTGAAAAAAGACAAAAGAATATTAAATAGTTTTCGTAATAATCGCTAGTTTGTGCATGCTTACAAATGTATATACTTATGTAGGTATTTACTTCTTTGCTGCTTGTCGGATACTAATATTTGCCAATAATAATATTTTTTCTCTTAACAAATTTTCATAAGTTTCTGCTTCTCCACCGTTATAAAATGAAACTGCGAGTTAAACTATGTTTGCTCATTGGCACACTCAAAACGGATTAATTCCCATGCGATTTATGTCTAACTAGTCTAGAAGAGCTTCTCCAATGAAAAGCAGTCTTAGGTGGAACGCTGGTGGTGGGAAATACACAAAGTGGGTGGTAACGCAACGGATGTCTTGAAATCGTGTCATGCAACAGTAATCATAAAACAACAAAAAAAAATGAATGCAAGCAAATATAAACACAGACACTGCATCAATTCTATTGTTAACATTAGCTTCTGCAACAACAAAGACTAAATTCGATTTACAAGCAGACTGGGGTCAAGGTCGTTTGGCTAAAGGAAGGAAACCAAAAATTTGCTTTAGCTTCTTGCTTGGCAGAAGCAGTGGGTGGGAAAATTACTAGCGGCGGAATATTGATTAGGTTCATGTATTGTTGTAAGCTGGTCAATTTGTCAGTTATATTTTCTAAAGTTCACGAATTGAAAATAATATTAAGACAGCTGCGCTAATGGCCATCGGGTGGGCGTGTCACTTAACGTTTTTCTAAAATTAAACTGCCATAAACAATTTTATATCAAATCTAAGCATAAATAATGACAGCTCATCACAGACCAATAGCAATAAATAATAAGAACAACAACAATTAGAATATGGAGTAAGAAAGGACCATCTTCGGGTAAAAGAAAATATGATGCTACTCGAATAACAGGGGTTAATAAGCAAAAACACCGAGAATAGTAAACTTTGTATCCCCCACGATATTTATGTTCTAATACATATAACCGTTAGTTGGAAAGAGCTATTATACCTTGTTTGCACAGTGTACCGGGTATAAATATGTACACTCTACGTCAAATGAAAAAGAATGGCGTTGTATTAACTGAAATTTTTTGGGAAACATATGTATATCTATATACATATATTGTTGCTCTGTGAAATGATGAAATCAGAAGCAAAATCTGATTCTTTCTTATTTCATAATATATAATTTTGAAAAGAGTACTTGTCATGAAGCAAAGGAAAAATCTTCTTTCTCTTGATTTCGTTTTCATTACAATAAAGTCTATTCATGTTATTTTCCATCAGGAGTTTTAGGTTTTGATGTTGAAAATTTTTACCAGAACTTTCATATGAATTTCGAGATAACACAGAATATGAAAAGTTTTTTCAAAATGAATCTATATTATATTATGATAAAATCAAATATCCGCTTGGAATTTACGAAGCGAGTAAGTCTTGAAATACAAAACACGGACCAAAAATTTATTGACTTAATAAATTAACTGTTACGATTTTTAAAATTTAAAATTGAAGAACCAATATTCTATGTGTCCTATTTATATGACCGCTACTGTATGTTGCAACAAATCATTGAAATCAAATAATTATAGTTTTAGTTAAAAGGTGAGGTCACTTACATTGTTAACCGTTAACCAAATAATGCGATTACAAAACGGTAAAACGATTCATTGAACATCCGTCAGGAGGAGCACAAAAAATTATTAATATATGGACATACATATGTATGCATGTATATAGTTTTATTTTCTTCAAAATAGAAGTTGAATTGTTACAGCGGCTTGCCAACAAAGTAATAAATAATTAATGTAATAAAAATCGTTAGATAATAACAGATAGAAATAGTAGCCATTGCTTATTTGTTGTTGTTGTTCTTATTGTAACCGCAAAAATTTTACCTAAAGTACTTTTAGGGGAATGTTTGGTGAGTGGCCGGTTAAAAATCCGGGTCGTTCCCGTATACAGACCTGATTGTCCGGGGAACTATTGGATTTTAGTCGCCTCTTACGACAAGCATGCCTTACCGTGGGTAAATTCCTGAACCTCTAACCCGCAGGGGTCATTGGTTATTTGGCAAGCTCCATGGTTCGCTGATAACAAATTAAGTATGTTTGGTATCCAGCTTGGATTTCTGAACCAACTTCTTCCTGTTTGGTGGCTTACATATCTTTCTTCTATCCAACTCATTGTGTCATACCATTTGTGGGCGTAATTTGATGCTTAACATATTTTTGCACCCTCCAGTTGCTGCATAGTAGTCTTTAAGTATGATAGAAAAGCCGGTGCTGTAAATGAATACCTTGTGAGTAAAATGTACCAATGGTAATTACATACATATAATTACACTCATGTACAAAAGCATGCCCAAGCCAAGCTAACCACCAGACACTTTCCCAATCAAAGTCGGCAAATAGGGCAAAGTTAAAAACAAGTGATGATATTAATTACTAACTAAAAGCACGACGATGTTTGTATATGCCGGCGTGTGCGTATACGCCTGTTGATGTCACGCTGCTGGAGATTTAAAAGACATGGCCAATATGGTCATATTACAAGCACTGAGAGCCAGTAGAGGGAGGCTTTCCATCCGAAGGGGAAGGGATTTAAGAATTTTCCCCCAGCAAAGAATGTATGTCGTAAAGTCCAAAAGTTTCCACGACAGTCCGGAACGCCCTGGATTTTTGTCCATCGAAGGACTGTCACTATCACAACATTTCTCATAACTGCTTTGGAGAATATTTTTGCGTCTACAACAACAGAGAGACTTTCCCTAGCTCTATATTCAAGACTCTACATGGAAGATTTTGTAGGGACAAATTTTGGGACTTGGAATTGCTTAGTCTAACGTCTATCGAAACAGTTCAAGCGCTACAGTGCAGTATGTTCTAAAACTTTTTCTCTTGCCTCCCATCAGTCCTCGGCATTCTGACAGATGCAGAGTGATGCGCCTTTGTATCATCCAATCACAATTTTTTGTATATGTACTCATGTCTAGTCGATACTTCTCTGTCTACCTACAAATCAAGAGTTGGTTGTACGCATCGGACGTTTACCCAGACATTTCTATCCCTCCTTCTGTCATAACCGCTCTCAAACTAGGAGATGTTTTGGTCCGATCATAATTACCTTTGTTACACATTAGACATTAGGCGTATCGTCAACCGAAAAGTGATCGACAAAATTCAAATACCAAACTTTTTTACCGTTAAAAAGTAAGCAGCGTCGTGCACTTATTGCTGCTGACGTTTTTTCTGTTGCCGCAATGCTGTGCCACCAAGTTACGCAAAGCCGCGTTGCAAGCTTAACATTGCCGTCGCTGAATCGAGCGGATTCGTATAAATAACCGCCACAACCGACGACAAAGCATCAATTCAACATCAACAACCGTTAATACAGCATCAGTAAACAGTAAATATGAAATATTTGGTGAGTGGAAGGGAGCACATACTTACCTCGCAACATAGGATAACCAATATTCGTATTTTTCAGCAAATCTTCCTCGTTTTTGCCATCTGTATGGCCGCATGCCTGGCAGCCGTTGCCGAGCCGGAGGATGCTAGTGCCAGCTTGGAGGAGAAGAAGACCAACAAGCGTGGTATATACGGTTTCGGTTATGGACATGGCTATGGTCACGGTTTTTACGGCGGTTACGGCGGTTATGGCGGTTACGGCGGGTACGGCCATTATGGCGGCTATCCGCAATATGGAGGCGGCTACGGCTTCCATGGCGGTCCACTCCTTGGGGGACATGGTTACTTCCCTTACCATGGTGGTTATTATGGTGGATATCATTAAGTGGCTCAAGCGTTTTCACGCCATAAAGTGTTCGTATGGAGCGGGGTGTGCTTTGTCAAATGTTTGACGTTTTCAGCCGAAAATAAAGATTTTTCTAAAAAAACCTGAAAAGTGTTCTCAACAAGTTACTGGGGGATATCCTGAGCTTAACGAAGCGTTTGGCTTGGTGAAACTAATAGTTCGGGCTTTTATTAAAGACTTGAGGCGCAAAAGACGTAGATTGGCCAAACACACCTTCATTTAGCATATGCAAGTAAGGGATCTCAGACTCTGATGACAGATACTTTTAATATATCTTAACGCGACTCATGGCCCGCTAATTCTAACACTTATATTCTTGGTACAGTTGCAGCCCCTTAACAGTTTGTACTTTCTTCATTGTGTTAATGGCAGCCGAATGCTTAATTTCCGTTCGGATGGACATTTGGGTTCTGATTAAAGAAATTCATCGGCCTTTCGGGTAAAAGAGTATTTTCATATCTCGTTTTAGGCTCTAGAGCTCTTTCGTTGGTTGGTTTTTTAAGTTTCTAACAACGAAACTGTATGAATCTTCATTCTACAATATATTCGAATTACCCAATGGAACAAGGATTAAAAACCCTAAATGAAAGTGTGCTGCGAGTCCGAGTTCTTTTATAAGCGTCAATGTTCGCGAACTCGGATTTCTCTCCTTTTCGTAAATTCTCGTCTTACTTCGTGCCTTCATGGCGGCCGCATTGGACAAGTATTGCGCGGAACTATGCGGAGTATCATGGGTTCGTATTTTGGACGGAAATCTAAAATCATAAGAAATAAATTTTTCTATTTGTTTTCGCTCCCCGGCAGCGGTTGTCAACATCTGTGAGTGCTTTCCAGCGATGAGATAAAATGCTCTTCACAAAAATCCATCTGCGCCGAGGAAGTGATTTGGAAAAACTGGAGATCCCTTCATTTGTAGGAAAAATATCGAGACTAATTCTATGATTAAGACCATTTTATAGTTTTCTTTATTAAATGTAGACTTTATGTAATTAATACATATTCATCAGCAATTTGATTTCACGACAGATTTTATAGATAACAAATATATTAAGAAGCGTAATGAAATAAAACTTAACATCGATAATTTATAGTTTTCAATAACAAAAGCCAAATGTAAGCTTTCTTGATTCCCCACCATCCCTCACAGTCAGTCCGCGTTTAGTAATTTCCGCTTCCGTTCCAATTTCATCTCCCGTTTAAGAGCTTTCTGCTCCAACTCCTCTGCATGCTCCGCGAATAGAGCATGCAATGCCGGGTACATGTGATGAAATTGCTCTAAATCTCCGAGTGTCACTTGCATATTATCGAAAGCTATTGAGACATTACTCATCTCCGGCGTTTGCTCTGCTTCAACGCCCATCAATTGCTGCATACGTGGCAGCTTAGCATAACGCTGTGAGAAATGTGTGAGTATAATGTGTTGCGCATGCATTTCTCGGCCTTGCGAAATCGCTTGCGATATCGTGCTGTGCATCTTTATCTTTGCCTCCTCCACCAAGTCATCCTCCATCGTCGCTTCGTGTATTAACACCGTTGAGTTACGTCCAAGCTCTACTAAATCGCGACAGGGCATTGAATCACCGCTGTAGGTGATCTTAATGGGCTCATTGCGGCCCGACGCAGCAGCTGGCAGCGTAAGGCTAACGCCAAACGAATGTGGACAATGACGCACCAAGCAAGTGGAAACCGCATCAATGCCAATATCAGCACGTGCTTCTTGCAGGTACATTGGCTCATCCAACATTTCCGCATTACCGACAAGCGTGTATGTCTGCTCAATGCGTTCAATGCGTTCGTTATAGAAATTGAGCCATGGTTGTATTTGTACAGGCGCAAGGAGTAGCACTTTTTCTTCTGATAGTAGTGGTATTTCAGAGTGTTGCAGCAATCTTTGACGCTCGTTCAATAACCCTATTAGGCCGATGTGATGGTCAGCGTGCAAATGTGAGATGTAAATTGCTTTTAGATTGCGTATAACATGCTCGGCTTGGGATTTGCCGAAGAAACGCACAACTTGGCCGAGTGTACCTTCACCACAGTCGAGCAGAATATATGAGTTTTCAGCGGGCTGGATCATAATAGCGCTAACATTACGTGTTTTGTTGGGTATACAAGAGCCGGTGCCGAGAAAAGTTATTTTAGGGTACTCTACGTTGGCGTTTGTTTGTGGCAACCCTTGCTGCAGAACCTTAAGTTTGGTGAGCGCCGCAGGGAAGTCGGGTAACGCCTGTGTTTCACTAATGTACTCAGTGGGAGTCAACTGCGCTTCAGAACTACGATCCAGACCTTAAAAGAATAATGACAATGTGTCGAAATAAATTAAAAAATAATTAATATATACAATTTAAAAAATAAAATTAAAAAAAAAAGATTTGACTTAGAATACGCACCTTTTCGTGGGCGCAAGTGAAAATTTGTGAGCGAGTTTATGTTCATCAGCTGTGTGGTTGCTGCAGCAGCTTTTGATTTCACTTTTTTTTCCGCATTCTCCTCGACCTCCGCTGATTCGCTCAACTTGGTACGTTTTAAGGTGCTGCTAATATTTGTGCTGTTGCATGTGTCCTGCAGCGCCTCTGCGAGTAAGGGAAATGTTTTCACATTTAGCTGATTCAGTTGGTATTGTATCCGATGGGCTGCTACATAACCGGAAAAGCTGTTTTTCGGCGAATTAAGATAAAGATGCTGCGTGCGCGGTGAGAAATTTTCCATAAAATCGCGGTAGCAATTATTCTCCAAGATTTGAGCAGGTGTAAAATGCACCACTAGTGCCACTTCACTTTCAGTTTCCTTTTGGAGTTTTTGAAAAACTTCTGATTGTGCTTGTAGTGCAGGCAAATAATCCACTGTGGGTATATCCAGAAAAACAAACGAGAGCGCTGTTTCGCTGGGTTCACTTACATCCTTTGACAACACTACTGTGCCATCGGGCAGGGTGACATCAATGCCATTTTTCAGTTGACCCAACAGTGGCCCAGGTGGAACACCACGTTCTACACATTTAACTAAGTTAAGCGCGCCGGGACGTGGTTTCAGTTTGCAAATGTATGAGACAACCATTTGATTATCAGCGTCTATTGGAAATGAAGCATCTTTTTTGTCCTCCGGCCGATTTTTATATAATGGCACGTATTTAACAGTCATCACTGCGTCCTCGAAATCTGGGGAATGTGTGCAATCGCAGGTATTTACCTGGAAAAGTGAGTTTTTGAGTTTAATGTGTAATTAATTTCAACCATATAAACTTACATTAAGCGTTTTCAGCACAACAAAACGTTTCATACTATGCAAAATGCTACTCAAATGTGGTGGTCCATGTAAAGATAATTCTTTAACGCCTGCATCCTGTATGGTCAACGCCAAACCGGGAAATCCGCCCACCATCGACCATGTATTTCGCGTGACAAAAATGTGTTCTAAACGCGCCAACTTAGTTTTATGCTCATGTGCCAAACGTTGCGTGCCTTCACCACAATTGAAAAGGTAACGCGCCTGATCGGTAAACAAATAGATGGCGCTTGGTGAACCATTAGCGCCGGCACCAAGGACTTGTAAATTCACTGTACCTGGTATGTAAGGTGTCGTTTTCTTTTTGGCCGCTTGCTGGAGCTTATCACGGCGTAGCTGAGGTGGCACTGGCTTAGAGGGACGCGGCTCTACGGTAACTTTCGAGAGTACGGCGTTAAGTGTACTTTTGTTTCCATTTTCAAGTGAAAATGTGTCCGCATTTTTATGTGTTTTTACTGCGATACCTTGCTGCTCGTCGACTTGCTCCGCAGTCGTACTAAATAGTGGAGATTCCATGTGTAGTAATTTGTTTACCTCTGTGCGATAGGTATTGACACGTGCAAAGCTACGCCTTAATGTGAAGTTGAACAACATTCGCGTTTACCTATAAATAATCCATAAAGCTGATGATCTTCAAAAGTATTGAATGGTGAAATAAATATTTCCTAGTTCATTACTTATAATACCGATAATTACCTGGGCCGAACACATGCGTCGTCTACAAAGTCTGTTTTTTAACAATTGGACAACATATCACAGCTGACTTACCTTAAATGTGAAGGGCTGCCAGAGTTTTCTGTAAATACTTTTTGCTGAGGAGTTTGAAAACGTTTCTGTGTTGTGTATTTTTATTTTAAGACACTTTAATTTTTTTATTACTTAATTTATTATAAGCCTTTATCATCGAAGAAATTCAAAAATGTTTAAAATATCATTTATCCACTAAATTCTTGTGGACAATCCATTTAACCAACTCTTATCTCATTTTATTATTGGCAACAATCCCCCAAAAAAATCGTCGTTACTTTGGGGTCAAACGACAGCTCCAAAACAAATGACAACTAAATTGCATTTGTGTTGGTGCCCGAACGCGCAAGTGGGAGATGAAATGGATGAAATTGTAAAGAACGTGTGTGTGGAGGAGCAGCATTGCAAAGGCAGCAGCCAGTAGCAGAAATTGAGGTTCAAAGAGGAAAACCGAAAAGACACAAAGATAAAAGCTGGAACAAAAAGAAGTGTGTTGGGAGAAAAATTTTTCTTCGATATTGAGCTTAAATTCTACAGAAAATGTCCTCGCGAAGGTAATTAAAAAAACAAATTGCTGGAAGATCAAGTCAATTAACAAAGTTTACGCAAGTAATTGAACTAAAGGCGTTTTAAAATGTGTATAAAGAGTGAAATTGGCAAATTGGCATAGTACACTCGTTTGACATATATGTACATATATGTATGCATGTATGTACTGTTATATGCGTTTATTTTGTGTGTACAAAGATGTGCAGTTGCTGCTGAAGCTATTGCAGCTGGCTGGCAGTTGTTCTTATAGTTGTTGTTGCTGCTATGGCTGTCTGATTGTCTAGCAATGTGTTGCGTTGCTGTTGCTGCTGCTACTTCTGTTATGGCCTTCTGTTGCTGTTGCTGGCTGCCTTTTGGTGTGCCTTGCCTGGTGCTATCCGCGCTGTTGCTGAGTGCATGCTATCAAGCGTTTACGCGTGTGCTTATTAATGTGTATAAGTATGTGTGCGCTCTTGTGTGTATGAGGGTATATGCAATCAGTGGGCATGTATTTTTGTATATCTATACAAAGCTACTGTCGTCATTGCCACCACCCTCACCCAACCAAACGCTAATAATACTGGTAAGCAAATTGGTTTGCCCTCTACGTCCACTACATACCCAAGAGTACATCGTCAAATAAAGCAGCAGTACCATAATTAACATAAAAATCAAAAGCAAGGAAAATCTTTAAAATATGTATATGTAGGTAAATATAGCAGTTGATAGATAAGAGAATTCAGAAAAAATCGTTTCTAGATGCTTATGATACCAGCTGTGCTGTGACATGGCCTTCCTCACGTTTTCCTATGCATCTGATAACAAAACGCTTGTCAAATCAAGATTACACTTGTATATGCAAACATAAATATGTAAGTTTCGTACCACCCAAGAGCCCAAACCGCGATGCTATCAATAGCAGCTGCACACGACCGGCTTTGCACTCGTGTCCTGTGCGCTCAGCTGACGAGACGATTAAAAGCACACAAATACATAGCTACACACATACATACAGGAGTTAGGCATACATACAAAAAAGTAAAACTTCACGTTTACCAAACGCAAGGATTTAGTTTGGAAATTTGTAATATTAAAATGGCAAACAGTGAATCCATGTGCTCCTTGCAGGCGGAGAAACGTTTTGAGCTACTTCGTCGCAAAAAGTTAAAATTTATATTTTACTTGTGAACACTCTAATAATGCTCATTTCTTTTTTCTTTTTTGTTCTCACCCCCGCACAGATGGTTTCACCCAACAATAAGTGGTATAGAAGCCGAGAATTTGCTACGGGAAAAAGGCTTCGATGGTTCATTTTTAGCACGCCTCTCATCCTCGAATCCAGGCGCTTTCACGTTATCCGTACGCCGTGGCCAAGAGGTGACGCATATAAAGATACAAAATAATGGCGACTTTTTCGATTTGTATGGCGGTAAGTAGTGCAGTGGGGTTTATATATATACAAAAGCAGAATTAATTCCCTTCTTTCAATGGCTCTGCAGGTGAAAAATTTGCTACACTTCCTGAATTGGTGCAATATTATATGGAAAATGGCGAGCTGAAGGAGAAAAATGGTCAGATTATTGAATTAAAGCAGCCACTCATCTGTGCCGAGCCAACAACCGAAAGGTGAGTGGGAGTGGGAGTTACCTAAGGGGGGAAAATAGTTATACATAAGGAAAATGTAGAAGTCTACGATAAATAGCTGTGTTCATAAGCAAATATTCCTAAAATTCAAATGAATGTGCTACATATTATTTTATATTCATTTCATTTTATTATGGAAATACATATTGGCGTCGCTGGCGTATGAGTAATTCGGTGTTGATTTCGAAAGTGCATTCGCTAATCGCAAGCTTGTGCAATTTATAGAATAATACAAGTACACTTCTGTACATATGTATAATGCAAAGTACAAGTATCGGATTATTAATTGATAAGTACATAAGAACGTACAGTAGAAAGTATATATGTATGTAAATCATTTATAAATTTACACAATCAGCGCTGACTTTTTGAATATGGAACAAAGGAATGTAAAGAACCATGCATGCAAATAATTTTTTAATTTGAAAAGTACAAGAAAAGACATGGGTAGACAAACTAGTACTAACTCCTCAAAGGGTATCATCTTTCAAATCTCTTATTATTGAAAAGTCACCAAACCAAAAAAAAAAAAACAAATTTATTTACTTGCTTAAACGCATTTAAAATAAAATAAAAAAATATACATTTTTATAAAAAAAGTAAAATGTGAAAAACCTATAAAGAAAAATTGTTATGATGAAAATTTCTATTTTTCACCTTCAATTAAATTTTTCACGAGTGCTTATATGTGCATATATGTTTTACTAACCACATTTTCTTAAGTAACAACATCCACCTAATGCTTGATTTTTTCGTACTATATTTGAACTTGTTGTTGCAACCCAAAAAATGGCTTAAAACCCGGTTCGTTTCGACATCAACTGTACGGGTACTATTGGATTTGAGTTGCCTCTTATGGCAGGCATGTCTTGAATTCCTAGCCTGTAGTACCTTTCACTGGGATACCATCAGCCTGGGTGGTGTAAATATGTATAAAAATATATAAATATGGAAAAATAACTAATTGACTTTTCAACAGCTGGTGATGACCTCTATGAACCAAGTGATTCCTTAGTTTCAGCAATAGCGTTAGAAAAACTGTTAATTAGAGTGCAGAATGAAGCACTGAGAACGACAACATACATACATAAATAACACCAGTAGAGTAGAGTGTCTAATAAGAATTGTGCTCACAATTAATCAGAGGAAAATTTGAAATTTTCTACACATTCAAATAAATTATTTATTTCCACCAGATCATGAATCATGAAATCATTTTACTTTTATTATTTTGTTTTATAAATAAAGCAATTTATTGCTATAACTAAATAAATTTATAATATACACATGCTGTATTATTTTTTTTATCTGAGCTGGCCGAAAGGGTTAAAACATTTCATGGTATATTCTTTATAAATTTATTGTTATAATTTATTGCAGCCAATGGGCTATTAAAATGAAGTGAACGTCAACGCCAACGCAAAAGCATTTTTGTATGTATGTAAAATAATTCTTTGTTCTATTTATGGGCAACTACATGTACATATATTTGTATATATATATTTGTGTATATTATATATACAGTGCACATGTATGTTTATATATATACATATATATTAATTATATTTGTGTATATTATATATACAGTGCACATGTATGTTAAAAATTTTGTTGAACTCTTCAAATGCTGTGCGCATGCGCTTTGTATTGACCATTGTCATCTCTTTATGGTGTAAATTAAAAACTCCAAAGCATAATACGAGTGAGTATAAAAAGAATTTACTAAAAAAAAAGATCGTCCATATTATATGGATAATCACTTCAATTTGATTTGAACTTTTTTGTAATTTTCAAGACACTTCAAATGCATAATTATGCTTTCCTTATTAGACAATGATGATTTTGATAATAATAAAGATAATTTTGAAATTTCTTTGGAAGTTTCTATGATAAAGTAGAAAAAAAATTGTGAGACAAATTATTTTTATTCTTTTGGGTTTTAAATAAATTAATTTTTGACATTTTTTTATGCTTTCTTTTGATTGAATTAAATTATTATTATTAGTATTATATTGATTTTTTATTTAAATTTTAGACAATTTCATTTATTTGTTATTAAATATGTGATGTTTCAATGTAAACCTCTTCATAGCTTATATACATACATATATGTTTGTTTGAATACTGCGCAAATATTTTAATACAAAGAATTTTAAGTTTACAAAACCACACAACTGCGGGTTTCAACAGTGGACAATTAATTTTGTAAAAATTCCATAATTCAGAAGTGGAATTAAGCGCGAAAAGAATGCAGTATAAAAATGAAGTGTTTGAACTTTCCGCTCAAAAAATATTACCCGTTAACCTCAAATACATTCGTGAATTCCTTTTTTATATATTAATTTAAGAAATTTATTTGACCAATCGATGCTCGAATCGGCTTCAAAATAACTTTTTGGAGCAAAAGTTATGCATTTTGTGTTAAATTTTCTATATAAAAATTTATGAGCTTTCATGGGTACATTCAGGTATAGTCGATTAGTTCTTTAATCAATTTTGTGTTAAGCGAATATATTTTTAAATTAAAATTTTTAAAGTACAGAGGACTCTAAAAATTACACAAAAAAGTTCGCATTAAAAAAATCAAAAAAAAAAAATAGTTTTGAAAATAATATTATTTATATTTAAATTTCTAAACTCCAGAAAACATTGAAAATTTTACAGAAATTTCAAAAATAATAATAATAGAATTTTACGCCAGCAAAATAAATCCTTTTAGACTATATATTAACGAAAAGAAATCGCAATGTCTAAAAAACGTGCATCTATTTTAATCTAGTTTATATAACAATTAATAGCGTCCATTACAGCCGCACACTTTTTGTGATTAATGACTTTAAATATAGGGTTTTCATGTCATAATATTAATTATTTATTTATTTATTTTTTTTTTTTTGCAAAACGTAGCACTCTCATTTCATTTCGCCAGATGA